GTTAGTGATGGTTAGAGTATATAAAAGACTGCAAAGTACAGTGCAAGGATTGCATTTGCTACACTGCACTCTGCATAACAGAAGTCCACGATATCTGTTATGCGTGGTTGCTACCTGTGCAATATCTATCCAGGTTGAAACTGCTTAGCTTCCAAGACATGACGAGATCAGGTGAAATTCCAGGGTGACCGGTGATTGGCACAAAGTAATTACAAGGTAATAAAACGATGCACTGTCCTGATTCTAGACTTGGTTGAATAGAGATGCAGGTGATAGGAAACCGGTTACCTTAATGTCCTCAATGTCAGCTGTTTCCAGTTTCTGCTTGAAGTGGGTGTCCTTCTCCAGCACATCGATCACCTCTCGTAAGTAGCGGTCATAGTAGAGCCCAGTGTCCTGAGAGAGACGCGTGTCAGATTCTCCCTGAGCGGCATCACAATTTTTCGTGTTCATTTTCCAGTGTACATCATCTGCGGCCTACCTCATGATGTACACTATGCTTCCAAAGAGACCGGCAGTTCTGTGCAATGCCCCATTGCTTAAGTGCATCAAAATCACTTTTGTTTTGGTGCAATTTCTTAATTACTTTAATTAACTTTTGATTTTGCTTGGTAGTAGGGTTTTCATTTACTTCGTAGTGGCTGTATATGGGATTTGGTCCTCGTGTGTAATTAATATACAGCGTTATGGGGATGTTATCAGCATTAATGATGCAATATAAAATGTAAGTAATATTTATTATTATCTAGGTTATCCTCTCGTACATGTTATTTGTTGTGGCAGCCATTCAACTGCTAGGTCAGCCATTGGAACTTACTGTAAAAATGCTTTCTAAACAAACAAATGTGCAATACGAGGACAACGTGGTAGTGGTGCAATTTGAGAGCTGTAAGAGTACTGTATTATACTGGAACATCGTTTACCCACTGATTTCTCACGGCTCCCTTCCGTTTCGTCTCCACTAGTGACTGATCATCGTTAAGCTGATGGCTCTATCTTACAAAGGAGTGCATTTACATTGGTGGCCGACAGGTAGAGGCTTTTAAATGAAATGCATTTTTTCTATTAATTCTCCATCTTATTTTATTGGGGTATCTAAAAATGTATCACCCTGTACACTATAGATAATTACATATAAATACGCCCAAGGTACAAGATAACTATGTTGGCAATATTTCCGTGGACCACTAGAGCTACAGTGAGCTAAACCCTTAAACGGTTGTATAAAAAAAACATCAACATGATTTTCTCCACGATATTTTCTTAAATAATGACTTTCTTAAATGACAAATGCAAATAAAAATGCTCGAAGGTTAGGTAGAACTCACCTCTATCTGCTTTTCATCTTTTGTATCCTTAACCTCATTATGCTCCTTTAGTTTTGATTTGTCGATAGGAATAGCGCTCACGAAACTCAGCAATGCAAGCAGGAGGGTAAGGGCCAGAGCCCTTGATTCAAGTGCCATTCTCATCTGCAAGAGACATTTCATTTTAAGGTCACACAGCCTGCTGCAGCAGTATATACGCTGCTCAGTGAAGCTTAAAATGTTTTCAGCTTTATTGTATGGATGTCCAAAATACACTTCATTTTTAATATAGAGTAAAATATTAACAATATTTGCTACTACAATATGGTCATAAAACATCGTTCACTTAACGTCATTCTAAAAAGAGTGTTCATATCCAATGCATGTTCTTTGGTCACTGCCGCCTGTTGACACTGATGATTGGAAATGCATTCTGGCCGTACAAGAGTATGTCCTCCTCCTGATTAAATATATCAAATATCCACTTAATTTAACGTACACTGAGACCACACATCTCTTTCAATTGCAAGGGAACACACGATGAAAAAAGGCCGAGCACAAATACATGATTATAATTCCTGTCGCACATTATTGTAATTGTTATTTGTTTACTGTTAGTGTCACGTGATAAAATAGGCACCTGTAACTCAATACGTAGCTCGTTGTGTCAGAGAATAGCTTTGCAATGTGAAGTCACAAAACTAATCAATAGCCTTTATCTACCCAACAGTAGGACGGACACCTTTATATGACCCTCAAAGTAGTAGTATTACAATGGAAATAAACCAGAAATGTGTCATTCTCACAGCTGCAATATGCTACATGAAAAACTCCATAACATAGAATTATGTTGTTTGTGTATTTTGAGACGATCAACTCACTACACTTTAGCACCTGGTTTAATTACCGACTGCTGCCTGAATTAGAACAAAGGATCCCAGTGGTGTCTATTAAATGCTCTAACATGGTGTCAACCTTCTAAGAAACAGCACATGCATTTAATTGTATTACATTTCCATTAGCTAATTAATGTAAATAAGCCTACGTGTCAAACTAATGTAATCCCGTTTTAATATACAGTATCATGTCATATAACTGACATGTAAATACTGTAGTCAAAGTGTATTTATGCTCAAGGGGGCATAGGATGGTGCTCATTTCCATTTGTGCCAGTTACACATTCCCATAACAGAGGCCAAAATATCCAAAGGACAAAAACAATGATACCAAAATGTGTACACCTGGCACTGTATGTCTGCTTACTCCAAAGGTCTGACTGCCACGTGTGCATAGAGTGCTTATTGATTAGGTTATAAACAAATAGCACAGGCCTGAAGCTTATTTGATCAAATAAGTATACTTAAACCTTACAGCCATAAGCTTGCTTAATATAACACTAATGCCACGACATTAATGTTAACGTCAATGTAGTCGGAATACAGAAAAATCAGGGTTAGTGGTGATTTGGGTGGCCACCTTACACAAAAGTGGTGATGATGCATTGGCAGTGGTGCTGCTACAGGTCCAAAAAAACTAATTCGGCAATTACACTGAACTATTCTAATTTTACCAGGTAAGACCCACTGAGTTATATAGCTCTTTTTTCAAGAGCGACATGGCCACAAATGGTGGCTCAACTAAATGGTTTATCATGTGGAAAAGTATAGCAACCAAATACTCTAAACGCATGATTCTAAATGTGGAGGGAAAAACCAGAGGGCCAGGAGAAAAATCCATGCAACCACAGGGAGAGAAACACGCAAATTCCATATATACAGCAGGCGTCAGGGTTGGGATCGAACCCACGAGACCTCCATACCAGGCGAGGTAAAGGAAGCCATATACGGGCGACGTTTCGAGAAATTAACCTTCCTCATAGCACAAACAGGTTGTCATGGGATGTGGGGCTACGTTGTGAGTATATGACAGTGCAGTAAAATATATTATTGTACAATATACTTCTATGACCAGACGTCATTGGACACATCACCTGGAACTCTGCCAAAATCTAAACGTGACTCTAAAGCTCACCTGTTACCTCACAGCTAGACGGCGATTTCTTTAAATAACATAATTTAGTTTTTCGATTTAAAGCTTTCGTGACTGCAGGAATTCATCTTCTTGGTTCTTTCGGTAAAGTCACGTAGAAGGGAAATAATAAAGTAATAAAAATAAAACATAATAAAATAATATATTACTTTATTATGTTTTATTTTTATTATTTATAATATATTATTTTATTATGCTTTATTTTTATTATTTCCCTTCTACGTGACTTTACCGAACGAACCAAGAAAAACATTATTTTGCTCCCCGCCACCAAACCACAACAATCGGCATGGGTGGGGCGCTGCGGTGGCGAGATGTTAACTACCTCGCCTTGTATACAGGAGGTCGTGAGTTTGATTCCAATCCAGACACCTGCTTTACATTAAGAGTTTGCGTGTGTGTGTCTCTCTGTCTGCGTGGTCGCGTGGATTATTCTCCGGGTTATTTCCCTCCACATACAAAAAAACCCATTCGTTTCGAGTCATTCGACTGCTAGAAATGTTCCACATCACGATACGCCACTTTCGTCGGGCTATCATTTGTGGCCCAGATCGCTGCTGAAACAGAGCTACAGTAAATAGCTCGGTGGGCCTTACGTGGTAAACAATGTTTAAGTTTAATTGTAATTATGTTCAGGGCTCCCGCCTCGACCGCGTGGCTCGACCAAGGTGCCGTGGACGCGGTGTTGTGACGCCGGGCGGGATGGCGCCGCGCCTGAACCGAGACTTTTAAATGATTTTTCACAGCAACGAAGCCGTCACGCAGCCCCGGAAACACACCACCACACACACAGCCACACCGCGAGGTGTTGTTTATAGCAGCTTCTCGTCTTCGGCGCGACAATGAACGTCTTCACCATCACCTGCGTGACAGCGAGCGCCGTCATCAACAGTGCAGCCCCGGCAAAGTGACCTGGCAGGCCGACAAAACAACGCCCTGGCCACGAATACTGCGTTTGTTTAACGAGACACGACGCAGAGATGTATGGAGAAATGAACGCGACAGGAAACACCAACAACACCGGGGCGATAAAATTCAGCGGACTTACCCTCACGCCTCCACTGTACTGTACGTGGCATACGCTCAGCGACAACTAACGCGGTGACGTCAGGGGCTTGCGTGATGACATCACCGCACAGTCTCCATCGTGAACGTGGCCTTACGCGATTGCGTCATCGTACGCGATGGCGTCATTTACCGGGCGCACGCGATCCGCGACGTTCGGCAACATCCGACCTTAACGCCATGACGTCACGCGCCATGGCGAAAGGAACACTGTCGGCGTTTTGCCTGATGACGTCACTCGCTCGATAGCTCTTCAGACTTCGCGGGGCTGGGGGGGCGGGGCGGGCGCTCGGCGGGGGGCGGGGTGCGTGACGTCATCGCGCGCACACTGTCGGCGTTTTGCCTGATGACGTCACTCGCTCGATAGCTCTTCAGACTTCGCGGGGCTGGGGGGGCGGGGCGGGCGCTCGGCGGGGGGCGGGGTGCGTGACGTCATCGCGCGCACGGCGACGTCCCCCAGCGTGCGGGCGCGATGACGTCCCTAACGGTCCCTTTGCGAGTGCCGCGGTACGGCAACGTGCGTGATGACGTCACGACGGGCCCCTGCGCGGTGACGTCACGCGTTCGCTGTCAGTGTTGAGCAAAGTGGGGGGGGAGGGAGTGAGGGAGGCAAGGAGGTTGCCGGCGTCGAGTCGCTGTGGGCAGCGGCGGCAGCAGTAGCAGCAGCAAGCGGCGGCAGCAGAAGTAGCAGCAAGCGGCAGCTGCCGCATCGCGGCGAGTGGCCCGACTCCCCCCCCCCTCCCCTTTGTTAGCCTCGGCGTCCCGCGTGAGACCGCCAAGGGGTTACACTGCGTCGTCGTCGTCGTCTCCTCATCGTCGTTGTTGTCTCCTCATCATCGTCGTTGTCGACGGCGTCTCTCTCTCTCTCGTGAGTTGGTCAAGGCCTCGCTCACACGCGCCGCTGTGTAGTTCGTGTCCGTGGTGGCGAGGTGAAGGGAAGAGGAGCCGCTTGGAGAGAGAGAGAGAGCGGCCACAGGAGGAGGAGGAGGTGAGACTCGCACGGGACTTGGACACAGCATCATCACTGCCGATGCGTAATCTTGTCCAGCAGTGGATGTGAGCGTGGCTGGTAACGGTGAAGACGACAATAGTCATGTTGTTATGTAGTCACGAATTAGGTTAACAATGTAATGCAAGCTCGTTCGCTGTCAGTGGTATAGCAGTAATAGTCAAAATATGGATTTGGCACTTACAATGTAACGTGTCTGCATAAGAACTCTGTTAGATATTTCACTAACGACTTGTCTTAATCTACGTGCGATGTCCACCGTATTAAAACAACGTCGGTGTGGATGCAGTATTTATTGTTATTGTATCTATAAAGAGATTCCAAAGCGTGCCCTGGCACACACTTCGTTTTAAGTGGACGTTGCCATTCCAATGTTAATACATTAATATTAATAATTAATGAAACTGCAGTTCCTAGAGGAGACGTCTACATAGGCGGTGACATGAGGCGCTAGGGTGGATTATTTAGTCGACTTGGGGAGGTTTTCATCCAGCAGTGGATTGATTGTGGGTGGTGGTGGTGAGTGGGTGCGTGGTGGTGGTGGTGGTGGGTGGGTGGTGGTGGTGGTGGTGGTGGTGGTGGGTGGTGGTGGTGGGTGGTGGTGGTGGGTGGTGGTGGTGGGTGGTGGTGGGGTGGTGGTGGTGGGTGGTGGTGGTGGGTGGTGGTGGTGGGTGGTGGGTGGGGGTGGTGGTGGTGGTGGTGGTGGGTGGTGGGTGTGGGGGTGGTGGGGGTGTGGGGGTGGGTGTGGTGGGGTGGTGTGGTGGGTGGTGGTGGGTGGGGGTGGTGGGGGTGGTGGTGGTGGGTGGTGGGGGTGGTGGGTGTGGTGGGGGGGTGGTGGTGGGGTGGTGGTGGGTGGTGGGGGTGGGTGGGGGGGGTGGGTGGTGGGGGTGGGGGGGGTGGTGGTGGTGGTGGGGGTGGTGGGGTGGGTGGTGGTGGGTGTGGGGGGGTGGTGGTGGTGGTGTGGTGGGGGGGTGGGGTGTGGGGGGGTGGTGGGGGTGGGGGGTGGGGGTGGTGGTGGGTGGTGGTGGGTGGTGGTGGTGGGGGTGGTGGGTGGGGTGGGGGTGGTGGGGGGGGGTGGGGGTGGTGGGGGTGGGTGGTGGTGGTGGTGGGGGTGGTGGGGGGGGGTGGTGGGGTGGTGGTGGTGGTGGTGTGGGGGTGGTGTGGGGGGGGTGGGGGGTGGTGGGGGGGTGGTGGGGGGTGGTGGTGGTGGGGGGTGGTGGTGGTGATGATGACAGTTCTGATAATGAACATGTTTTGGCATTCCATCTGTGACCGCCTCTCCGAAATTCAAGCGCTTCGGTATTCACGTTGAACTGTAGGTGTGGGAAGCTAAGCAGGTTTGAGCTTGGATAGTGTTTGTATGGAGGGCCCACCAGGCACAACACCAGGGTGCTATAGGCAGGCTACATGGGGGGGGGGGGGCTCTCAGTGTTGGGCAGCAGAGGGCAGTGGAGCAAAACTCCTTTGTTAACCGGTAACCTCTTGGCTTTCCCCGCATTCACCAGCCGGCACTAGTTCAGATGCCAATGGTTGAATGGTCAAGTAGCTCCCACGATCCGTAATTTGGCGTGGGAAGGCCCTTCATCCAGCAGTAGATGCAACAAACATGTCACTTGACTTACCTAATGTGATGTCCGCTGCGTTGCTAAACACTCGGTGTGTCAATGCTATTGCGGTTGCTAATGTGGATGGCGTTGACTGACAATGACATTGTGAATTCCACTCTGCTATTGTAAAGTATATAGCGTCCAGCGCCGATGGTGAAATTGTCGTTCCTGTTATGATAGGAAGCCAACCAACATCTACTGCCCATGTTTCACTCAAGCACGTAGTATTAATATGACACTTGGTTATAAAGCGAGTTTGTTGTTCATAATTTAAGATACAACGTTTTTAAAGCACTGTTTAGGGGGATTGGTAGTATCCCTGATATTGTAGTGGCAGCACTACAAGGGGGCGTTGAGTATCTACGTGACTTTACCGAAAGACCCAAGAATATTAATTCATGCAGTCACGGAAGCTTTAAGGCAATCGGTGACATTGTATCTTCTGAAAATGGTCATGAGCGCACCCAGCATGAACCACCAACCACCCACCACCTCATTGCCTTCACCAACCCCACTCTGACCAGCATGGGGAAATGTGGTCAAACAAACCCCCCATCCACCAGTGTATAAAACGGCTCTGAGCATTCACACGAGGATGCCCACACAAATACTAAAACTTCAAAGTTAGTTTTTAATATATAACGAACAATTTTTTTTACAAGTAAGCGGTAACGTTTGAAGAATGCTAGCGGATGGCTCCATGCCATTGCACTCTGTTCCAACTTTACAGCATGTATGGTGATCGCTCTCAGCAAGGCCATACCTTCATAGTGCTATTATTCCTGCAGTATTAATATTCGTGTTATTATAAGAGCGGCTATGCTGAGCCAGCAGAGGTGCCTCTTTGGTCAGGGCAATACACGGTACACTGATGACACTGTTATTCATGTCATCTATTTTATTGTTGCATCTGTCGGTACGCTTCTTAAAACAATAACAAATTTGGTCCTGAATTTGAAAAGTTCAGTAGCCACCACTGAACGTGTAGTCCCAGTGCCCTCTCTGGCATTCGACATTTACCACTTCCATTGGGGGCAAATTTTGTACAGCATGAATGATGTTGAACTCCCTATTTAGAGGATGTATGTATGCTGAACGTCTTTCGTTTCATACATAGCCAGGATCTAGATGTTAAGGAAATTTGGGACTCATGAGAAGGAAAGTCGTAGCTAGAATTTATGACAATAGTGGCATGACTAAATGATTCTAAAGACTTTTTATGCTTTGGGATGTCTGGCCGATTCCACTTGCAATTGATGTTTCGAACGAAACCGGAGATTCTGCGGCGAATGCACGTGTACAACGAGGAAGCACTCGGATGTTCTACTCGCTATTTAACAACAGTATGAAACAAACTAGGGCATGGTCAGTATTACATTCTCAAACATTTACAGTTCAGGTATGCAAACAAAGGCACTGTACTCGGTAGGTAATGGCAATATGTCTTGGTAGTCCAAAGCATAGTGGCTGTACAACATTTCAATTAGAGAACTTAGAGTAGTGGCTATCTCAATAGTGCTCAATGAGGTCAAGGTGCTACATTCTAGCCCAAAGAATGTTGTATTTCTTATCTTTACAATGTCACCTTTCCGGTTTGACTGTAAGAATTATATGTATATTTTATATGTATATTTTATTATATTTTATTAATTATATGTAATTATATGTATATTTTAATGTCACCCGGCTACTTGCGAAAGAAACATGGCATGCTAATACACCTGCCATTTGAATTTTCAGTTTTAGTTGGTCACAATTGTACACCACAGTGCATGTATGCATGCATTAAAATGCAATGTTTTCTTGACTACACGCACAACTTAACTCCTTGTTCAGCATTGGACCTACACCATTTCCCAGTGGTGACTCGTGATGGCTGATTATGCCATTAATGTCATGGGGAGCAAGGTTCAGTGCACAGATTGTGGGCAGCGTGATCGATTTGCTTCATGTAAAGATTAAGAACTCCCAAGTGGCGTTGTTATGTGCTTCCACCGGCCAGAGTAAGACTCCGAGAACATTTCCATTATCCATATGTGCACGTTTGCCTTTGTCGGCAAAACAATGGAGAAAAAACAGTATTTACACAAAAGCACAAACATCCGCTTGTTGTCGTGTTGCTGACGCACTGGCAAAGGAAATATGTTTCGTGACTTTTTTTCACGTTGGGCCTTGTGTTAGGTGTCAAACATGTTATTGGAATACGTTTGATGAGCAGGCATGTTCGTAAATGTTTAACTGTCTATTTGTGTGTTGTCATCGGTAGGTTCTGGTAGGTAGTAATTTTGATAGGTTCTTTTCACAGTGCAATATTACTCCTGCTATATAAAAAAGCATTTTCATTTAGTTTATTACATTTTTTTCCCACCATAAGCATCCTCATGATGTTAGCGCCAGGGTGGCGAAATGTTGAGCTATCATTTGTGGCCAGGTTGCTTCTAAAAAAAGAGCTATACAGTATATCTCAGTGGGCCTTACCTGGTAAAAAAATTTAGTTTAAATAGTTTTAATTTGAGCATAATTATTTGATTCTGGATCTTCCTACAGCCATCGGGGCTTCAAGTCTTCTCCGTATTGACCCTGACGGCAACATACTGTATAAGCCTTTGCCCATTAACCTTCAAGTCTCTTATGCGTTAAATACATCATGCTTAAATTTTGTTGAAATTGCAGTTGAAACGCTTGCTCTGTGCGTGCCTGTTGAATGGGTCACCAGTGTTAGATTTCAGCGTATTCAGTTCAAAATCTGGCGGTAGCTGACCATAATTCACACCCTGGATCTCATTGGTCCTGGCACAGTGCTCTGATACATGGAGCCGATCATCCTTCTGAGATGCCTAAAAACCTCTGAGCTCAAAAAAAAAAGTACAATCCGAGATACCAGTGAGATTCGTCTGCACTGTGCTGTGGTACTGAACAACTGTCTCAGTCAATTCCTGCAACATGGGATGTGGAGAAAGTGTCAAGGTAGACACGTTTTTACTCTCGCATTTACATAATATCCTTTGATAGTAATTGAGTTACATTTTATGATGAGCGCTTAGGCTTTGAATTTGACGGTGATTGTTTTTGATGGAATCAGTTCTTATGAGTTGTAAAATAACTCAAAATTGAAACCCAGTCAAACTATTTGTTCCTCATACCACCTGGATATAGTTTCTGCTCCCTTTTGCTTAAGAATGTATTTGTGCCGGCAGTGCTATTTTTGAATTGTGTCCAAGATGCAAGCATAAAACCAGGCGCAGCACACATTAGTGAGCTTTTGACCGAGAAGAGTGCATTCCAGAATGCTTGTGTTCCATGCCGTGCTAACCGCTCATGTCTACCTGCTTTCCTCTCTGCGGATTGTTTTGTGATCGGTTTTTTTCTGTGTTTATTTAGAAATTGTGGAAAAGGGATGTGTCACCGCTTATGTATTTCTTTTACAGCTTTGAGGCTGGATTTTTTTTTACTTATTTGTTTGACTGACCAGGAATTATAAAAAGTCACCATGCAGAACTTAAACCTGTCATATCTAAAATGAAAGTTTGTGTGCATTGAGCAAAGAAGGGCAAAAGCATATAAGCTTAGGCAATGTTTTCGTTTCAGATGGTATATTTTTGATGCCTTTTAATTATGATGTAAAATGTAGCTGTTGCCAAATTTGGTACCACGCCTGCACGTGTTCTGCAATTTTTTCTTAACTTCCTCACAATCTACAAAGAGGGTTCTTTGTGACTTATCAGGATGGCCAGTCATAATAGAGGTGTTTGGGTTACGTGTCATCAATTCACTCCACGGTTAAATGCATCACATATTTAAAGCTGTCGTGACAAGTAGGGCCTAAGTTTACTTTTGATGTCAGCGCTTGTAAAGTTCTGAAAAACATTTTGTATTACCTGGCCACGTGCCGAATGGTTAACTACATATGGGCATGACAGCAATGCGAAGTTTTGGCATGTAAACTTAACGGTAATTGCGTTGCTTAAGTATTTGGGTGCATCATTGTTCCGTGTTACGATCTCGTGTTACTGTTTGATATGTAAAGATAATTTAGTACTGGTAGGAACCTCCTGGTTACACCAGCCCACAGGGGGTTATTGTGTCCGTCCGTCGTGCATCTAAAAATGGGAGGGGTGGGGCTGGGTGGAGATGGGAGGGTGGGGAGGGGCTGGGTGGGGAGGGGAGGGTGGGGAGGGGCTGGGTGGGGGGTGGAAGGGGTGGGGTTGGGTGGGGAGGGGCTGGTCACCCCGTGGTGCCCTTATAAAACTCAACGTTTAACCTACTCACGCCGGCTTGTGCCCGCCCTCACAGTCGGCCATATTTGCGGAATACACCATGCCGCCGTTGACCCTGGCCATTGACCGAGCAACCCAACGTTCCTACTAGCTCCCTCCGCATGAATGTGCTCATGTTGATGTTAGCGCAATGACAGCAAGTACGTGGAGAAAACAAGTTTCGTTTGTAATTTGAATACTCCTTCTCTGGGGCTCCTGAGTCTTGAGAGCTCTCGATACAATTCTAAAGGTCACCGTTATAATGCCTCTTTCCATGCAAGTCTTATCTTCATTCTTATCTGTAAGTACTGTTTATGTAATAGTCATTGATGTTGTGTTTTACGTTAAATATTCATCATTCTGTTTCCACTTTCTGTACTTGAATATATTCCGATTAATATTTAATGTCAAGTGTTTTTTTTTACAAATTGAGTGTTTCTACACAGCTATAGCCTACATTTCTGACCTTCACTTTTTAAAAGATAACAATGTACGAATTAACTTAATATAAATTCATTGTCCTTATTGAAACAAAATGAAAGATGGTTGAGGTTGGTAACTTGTTTGTGCCATTGATAACGTTAGGAATGGTTTTTATATGCCATTTCACCTTCGCGTTCTCGTCATGGATTTGGACTGAGAGTAATGGCATGTAATTACACAATTTTAAACTAAACTATTTAAACTATACTTTTATTATTTTACCAGGTAACACCTATATAGCTCTTTTTCAGAAGTAGCTTGGCCATGAAGGATAGCTCAACAAAGTGGTTTATCTTCTTGGTTCTTTCGGTAAAGTCACGTAGAAGGGAAATAATAAAATAATAAAAATAAAACATAATAAAATACAATTCTCACGACGTTTCGGCCACAACGCAAGCAGCCGTCCTCAGGTGAAGAACCGGTCTGTCGGAAAGACAGCGTCTGAATGAACACCACCAAGCTTGGCAGCGTATATTTAAGCTGGGTTAGGGGAGACAAAAAAGTGGTTTATCGCGTGGAAATTTATAGCAACCAAATACTCAAATGGATGTTGATTCTAAATGTGGAAGGGAAAACTGGAGGCCCTGGAGAAAAATCCACGCTACTAAGGGGAGAACGTGCAAACTCCAAATATACATGTGTCAGGGTCAGGATTGAACCCACAACCTCCTGCATACCAGGTGAGGTAGTTAACATCTCGCCACCGTGGGGCCCCTTTTGAAAATCATGTCACAGACTCTTCAGCATCCTTGCCACTGCGTTTATTGTAATTCAGCAGAGCAATTGCAGTGCTTTTGTGGTAATCGATTAACTTAGTTCAAACTGACTGATTTAAGTGGCACGTTCCACCAGCTGACAAGAAACTACCATCTTAAAAATCTGTTGAGAGTGCTCTGGTAAGGTGTGTTACAGCTGCCGGCACTGGTTCCTCTTTGAGTTTCATCGGACTGTAGTTCACTCTGTCATGAGATGTGAATGCGGTAAAGTTGAAGTGTTACCTAACCCTTGGGTATAGATATTTAGATGTCATGGTTTGGTTGTTAAAATTAAGCCAAATAACCTTTGCACGTCTTGCTTTTTCCCATTATGACACCGTTGAAATAACATGCCACGGTGACAGTCGATTTGTTGATGTATTGTACTGGTGACACGAAAAGGTCACTTGACATTTCAACACAGAAATGGGACACTATTTATAGAAGCTATTGCATATATGGCCGTTTTGTGAGTCAACTGCCGGATGAGGGACTCTCCAAGCCATGCAGGTTGTCGGGGTTAATCGATCGCACTTCGCTATGCTGATAGAAACCTTCGTTAACCATTCAGATTAACCTGTCCCATTTAATTATATTTTTGTTGTTTTATAGCTGAATTGATTGTGTGACATTTAACTTCACCCTCAAGTATTTGTTGTGTAATATATCACCATTCTGTACATTCTCATCTGCCCCTTCAAATTTATTTTCTCACAATGTCATATTTTCCTGTGGTTTATCAGTTCCTGGTTGCATAAAATGGAAATCAATGACATACATTGAACAGCAGGAATGTTATCACTTAAAACAGGGTTCTCATCTCTAATCTAAATGATAAATATTCCCAAAAGACAAGGTCTGTATAATGCTTACTTGACACAAATATGTGAAAATTATGAATCAACCATTGGCCCTTCTTCTCTGTGGGGTTGATAGAATGAATGCCCCTTTGTTAAAGTAAATAATTGGAATGATGACTGGTCCCCACAATAAGAATGTGGAATTACCAATGCACTGCCACATGCTCGTTTGAATGGTGAGATATTTCACTTTCAAGGCGATGGTTGAAATGTGTTCATCTTTGTGTTACAGGATCTCCTCTGGATTTACAAAGCACCATAAGGACATGCAGTACCGTAGCAACGCTTAGCCGAGTCCCATCCCCCGCAAACTGAATGGGCAGCGTTCTTCGCTTGAACACGTCCCGTTGAGCTGCGCACGTGACCAGAACCACGGGTAACCGTCCATGCGCCGCGAAAACAAGGACTTGACGGAGCGTGCGTGACACACGGGGCGGCGCGAAAGGAGCAATGGCACAGCTGGAGAGTGGAGGGATGATGCGGAGGGGACCGTCCTCGGCGAGGTCCGGCGCCCGTGTTCGCGCCTACTCGGCCGAGAGCGTGGGCATGGAGGAGGCGCTGCGCATGGAGGCTGATGCGCTGGCCAAGCTCCAGAAGAGCAAAGCAAAGGGTGCGGTGAGCCAGCACGGCGGCCAGGCGGAGGCGAAATCGGCGGGCAGCAGACGGGAAGCACCGGCAAGCGGCGCTTCAGGTGGGGGGTGTGGAGCGTGGTGCGTTTGTTGACGTTGTAAAATGCGGTCTTCCCAAACGGGAATTTGGTTGGATGCTCGTTGTCATTGGTGGCGTTGAGCCGGCATGCCCTTGCTGGCGGGGCCAGTGTCTATAGAATGGCCACTGTTGACTTTCCATGAAGTAGTGTCAATTGTATTGATCACTTACATTAGAGATTATAGGCTGAATCCAAGCTCAACTGGGGTTTGCAGCTGCTACATTTTGATTATGAGTTGAGCGTTTTGACAACGGTACTACCCGGCTAGATTTAATCTATAAGTTAGTTAAAATATCCTTGTTGGCTTGTCTGCTCTTTAAGAGAAGCTTTACGTGAAACAGTCGACTGTGTTAGTGTCTATGGTGAAGTCAGCATTGGGGTAGTGGACAGCTCCATTGGCATCCCCGAATGAGCATAGAAATTCTAGATTTGAAGCTTTCATGACTGCAAGGATTCATATTCTTAGGTTTTTTCGGTAAAGTCACGTAGGTAAAAAAATTTAAATTTTACTTTTATTAATTTCAATTTTTTACCTACGTGACTTTACCAAAAAAACTTAAGAATATGAGCATAGAAACTTCCACTTCACATGGTTGTAGCCTTTCATCCATAGGATGGGCAATGTTTATGTTGTAAGGCAGCGTTATTTACAGCAAAATCCCTCGAAAGTGGAATAATTGGAGGGAGATCCTCCAGTTATGGTGGATGTCTGACAAACTGAGAATCTGAAATTGCGATGTTTTAATCACGTATACATGCAATTAATAACTAAGATTAGCTACATCTTTCCAAGTTAAATGTGTAAATCATGACCTCAGCAGTACAGTATAATCCAAGTTGCTTATCATCAACTAAGAAGCAGAGACAGGCTGAGTGAGGCTCACTGGATATGGAGGACTAAAGAGATTTGCTGATGGCCTTGAAGAATGTATTTTCTTAATTTGGGAAATAAATGTAAAATGAACGTGAATCAAAATAAGTGAGCAACGGGCAGAACATGCGGCATCCATTCCAGCAGGTTCGGAAAATTGTGTTAAACATAACCTTGAAATGATTAGTGCACACGTGTGTATCATGTTCCACTAATTAATTTGTACTTAACCTGAATTCTGTTTTTTTTTTCGAATAGATTTGTACTGTCCTTTATTGTTGTGGTTGTTTTAACTCTTTGCCTATGCATTCTTTGGAATTCTTAATTATGCTTTATTTGACAAAGCTCTCGCAATACTGAACTGTTTGAATAGTTGGCAGACGAATTGAGCAGCATCTTTGCAAGCAACTCAGCTCCATATAAGACTGACACTGCAGGCCTTTCATTTGGTAATTCTACCAAGCACAATTCTAGATACATTGATTATCGACATGGCACACTTGTCCACGTGGTCACACGAGTGTCATCTCCTGGGGTTGGGAATAAAATGTTCTCGCCAATTTCTTCCGAAGTCAATTTACTCCCAATTCCATCCAGATGGTTATTTTTGCTATAGTCGGTCAATCAGGTTTCAAGAGAATATAGGGTTCAAGTCGTAATGAATGGGTAGCATTTACATCAGTGGCCTGCTGGTAAAAGCTGCCAACAATCGATGCTGTATTACTGCAAAGTGCTGGGACAATTTGCTCATGGTTGTAAAACGTTCTGATAAGGGCAGGCTCTTCTGCTGGTGTAGGAGAAATATTTTTGGGTGCTTGGGCTTCTTAACGTTCTGCCCTTTGACACAGAAGGACCTTGTCATCGAGTCCTATGAATCTGTGTATTATAATTGTCATGTCCGATCAAGAATTCCAATATCTGGATCATTGCCGCTGCCTGAAATTTGATGTCTCCAGGCTTCGGCCATGCAAAATGTCATAAATGTGCATTTGGCTTTCGGACAGTTTCCGTGCTCTGAATATTGTGGAAACAAATCTGTGTCATTTGATTCGGAGAGAATAGTACAAATTCTTTGTCCTGAATGCCAAACACCATAACAACACACTTCTTGCCATTGCGTGAAGGAAATGCTCGATAATTTGTATTCCTTACAACATGTTAAAACATCCTTTGTGTATTACACACGTGATGGGATATGGTATGATGAAATGGTGATTGACTCATGCTACTCAGATTGGTCCGGTGCAAGTGCTTGTTGCCTGAAGATAACTTATGTAATACTCAGGATGTAAAATAAGACTGGTGTGACTTAATGGGGATTTATCATGACTAATATATCCTCTATGCTTGAATGTCATTGCTTGAGGTGGTCTCCATTTTCACCTTGATATCCATAACCCGTATAGGTTTTGCATTCATTTGGTCCGGGTTGCTTGCACAGATTGGCTATGCCATGAAGCATGAACATGTAAGCTTGCATATTACGCAATATGCACATTTGAATAGCTGGACATTTTTATATTCACATCCCTGGCAGGAAATGACACAGGTTGTCTCTGTGCCAACGTGTAAGATCCTATTGTGCAAATATTACAACCGGAGCATTGCACAATAGCCTACAAAGTGCTGGCGTCACCTTATATTTGTGCGATCACATTTGCGGAAGCTGCCGTTTTTAAACGTGATCTTGTAAACATGCTGTTATAAAGGATGCCTAAGAAATGTTTGATGGTATGGAGTGGCAATACTGAACATGTGGACCCTTGGAATTGCACTCTGACACATTCGGCTAATCATGATTAAGTTCATGGTGCGTACAGTATTTTCAATATGTAATGTATTATTCCCAATGCGATACACGGGATGAAAGACAAAAACATTACATTTGTAAATAATAGGAGTAATGCAAATTACACTTGGATTTATTACGTAAGTATGTATGCATGTATGTTGAACTTCTTTTGCACCGTACGTAGCCAACCATGCTAATCGGAGGTGTAAGGGAAAGAGAATAAACTAAACAAAAAGCAGTTCTCAAGACATCAGTATTCAATCGAGATTTCAAAGTTCGTATCTCCAGTGGCTTCCGAATATCGGAAGGAAGGGATCATAGCTATTTATTCTGTGCTTGGTTTTATTTATCACTGGTTTTTGCCAAAGGTATTACGTATTATGAACAACACCGGTGATAGATCGACAACCAATATTGGGAAGAGTCATGAGAATGGCAATAATAACTAGCACTGCCCGGCCATTTGCACTGGATGCTTGGCCATGGTGTAGGGGTGGGAGGGGGCATGCGTCACGACAGCACCGCAGCAACCCGGCTCGGCACTGTTTTTTGCGGTTGACGTAATCACGGAAATGTGTGCAGTGACGTCACTACCGCACACTTGTCCATCCGCGTGTCAGCCAGCCAGCCAGCCAGCCATCAAAACTTCAAAAAATTATATTGTATAACAATTTTGAACTTGTAATGCCCACGCTCGAATAGAGAAAACGACTTGGAGGGGCAAGTAACCACAGACAAGCGGAAAGGCAATCGTGCAATGATCCGGTCAATTATCGAGGGTTATCATGTGAGAGGAAACTGGAGAATAACAACTAAATGACGGAGCAGAAAAAGGGAGATATGGAGCAATAAAATAGGAATATGTGCGTGATTGTTTGCATTGGTAAAGCATCGGAGGAGGCAATTGGAAGCATTCACCTGGCAGTAGGTTTAGCGTGGCTTATGATGATGCCAGATGGTGTACCCTGTGACATTTTTACAGTCACAGTTGAGGTTTTGTGCAGTTTTACTCGGGTAGTTTAAGTCAGCTTTGCCAGGTTAACGGTAAAACGCGTGCGTGTACTCCACAGGCCCTGCGCGGTCCCAGCTGGACAGCGACCTCATCTCATTCCCAGAGGGTGACTTGGAGCGCCGGTGGCAGCAGAAAGCAGCCGAGGCCAAGGACTTGGCTGACCTGGAACTGCTACTGCTCGTTAATGGCACGGGCACCGGAACGAGCACCATCACCCCTGCTCAACCAGCGCCAGTCGTGTCCCCAGCACTGCCAACGGTTTCTGGCCGTGCTCCCTCTACCCCGCTGCCCTCCTTTTCACCCCTGTCTGCACCAAGCCATGCTGTGCTGCAAACTCAGATGCTGCCGCTGAGTCGGAGCTTGCCACAGAGCCAGACGCTCCCACCAAACCACCTCATGGGCGCTCTGCCGTTCGCCGCGGCACAGCAGCAAATTTCGTTGTGTCCATCCGGCTACAGTCAGCCCATGGCCGGCTTTGCCAAAGATTCCAACCTGCCCAGAAACCATGCTGTGGCGGCTGTCTCGTACTCGTACCCACAGCTGCAAGCCGCTTTTCCACAGTGGGGCGCCGCTGGGAGCCTCGCTGCTTTCCCAATGCACCGCCCGGTCGTGGGCTTCACGCCACCTGGAGCCGGCTACACGCATGCCGCTCACACGGCCGAGTGGGCCGAGGTCTACAACAAGATCGCCACCATCAAGAAGACGAGGCAGAGCGAGAGCCAGGGAAGCGGCCAGAAGTCCCCCTCGGACTTTGAAGCGTTGGACCTGAACCCCGTGTCGCTCAAGTCTCCGGAGACCCCGCGCTCTGGAGGCTGCGACTGGCTCGACCTGGACCCGATCGGCAAGCTGCCGCAGACGGTCGGCGAGTCGGCCAAGATGAATGGCGGAGTCAAGGGCGTTGAGAGCCGGACCGGGGCCATCGCGGCGGGCGCTGCCGCCCCTGACAAGGACCCCTGGGATGCAGTTCTCCTGCAGCCGCAGAGCCAGGCCGGCAGCCAGAAAAGTGTCACGGTGGGTGGGTCGCTTTCTTGATTGGCGGCAGGTGCAGTTTTGTGTTCACGTCCGGGATGTTGTTAACATTTGATTAACTGAAAAGGAATGGTGGGAAGGTGAAGGAAAAAAAATGAATTTCAATTTCGTGTTTAGGTATCAAATTTGAAAGTATCCATGTACTTTGTATTTTTTTTCTTTGAATGGGGACCTTGGGAATGTGTTAATAACGAATGTGGTGGGGGGGGTTTAGTCATGCCTGTACATCGCTGCCAACAGCCCCTTACTTTCTTGTTGTTGTATACTTTTGTAAATTGTTAGTTGCGTGGATTTGTTATGTCTTGTTTTCTGGTGCTCCAGTAATTGCCGAGGGATTGTTCGCTGATGAGGCACGCAGTGATCTACCTTCACAGAAAACGTCAGTCTCTAACGCTGCCTTGTTAACAGCAGATACTGATGTTGTAATTCTCTAGATATTTAGCTGCTGGGATTTGGGGACATGCCGTCAGCTGCTTGCAATTTCAACCGAATGATGAGAGTGAGAGCCTCTGTACTCTACAGACTAATATCTTACTCTGATGAATGTTTACCATTCCTCGTGTAGACATTTTTAAAAATAGGTAATTCCCTTATTTATTTGACATATTTTTATTTGAATTCCTGCAGCAAAAATAAAACTGGATTTCACTAACGGTCACGAGGAAATGGATTATTGTAACTCACAAGAAACCACTGCCCACTGTAATCGATTGAAACAGGAAAATCATTGTCCTGCTGTTTGCTGAATCCCTTGCTGGGATTTTTTTGTGGATGAAAATATTTTCCATTGCAGCAACCATTGTGTAGCATCCCATTTCTATAACGTTTCATTGTTGAGGGATAAAAATAACTTAAGGTATTAAAATATTTAAGCAGGCTTTATACTATGAACATTAACGATAATGAAAAAAAGACCAGTATCAATCATGCAATTGTTTGCATGTTTACGTGAAAGCAAGTTATCCCTGCCTTCACCTCCCCCTCTGCACCCACACTGACCAGTGTGGTGAAGAATGGTCAAATCGCCCTCACGACACATGGCACGGGGAAGTCCTCATCCCGAAGTGGATTGACACGAATAGCAGCACATGTGCATCGTTGTAAAAATCAAAACCATTCACAATCCTCGCGTGTTAAGTTTCATTTAAACAAAGGTTGCGTCCTAGGCTGTGCCGAAGAGCTATGAGCGGTTCGAATGTTATCTGACAGAATGGGAACAAATTGCATGTCCATCTGCAAACGCTGAATTCACAGGAAGCAAATGGCAACTCTGATGGGAATCGGCTGAGCGGCCCCGTGGAGGGTCGCCCCATGAGCCCGGCAGCCTCAAGGCCACTTTCCAGGACACTGTCGGACGAGGCACCGTCGGAATCAGGATCTCGGGGAAAGAGTAACATCTCTAGCAAGGTACAGCCCTCACTAAACACCGCTGTGTTTTTTTTAGAATGAAAACTCATTTCTTTAGAACTGCTTTTTGGATTTTAGTTTGTTGTCCTTCCCCCGAACCGACCATTAACACACATACGTACACCTGACGATTTACCACCCCAGCGATTTGCTGAGTTGTCACGACTCACGGTGACGTTTCGATTGTCTTGCGCCGATTATTTTTGTATTTTATTCGCCATCTCGTACGCTCCATCTCGTAAGTACACCTAGTAAGCCCAAGAATGGCAACAGCGTACTATGTGCATTTCGTTCCCATGAATTGTAAATAGTTGCTATATGCACGTTGTTGTATGCATTTATCATGAGCAAAATAATGCGTATGAAAAACTGTATGATTTCAGTAATAAATCCGTGCCTACAGGGTTTCCAGTTTTTTATACTTTAGTGTAAACCAGACGCCTACTACATTGATACTCCTTGCAGTCATGTAAACCACAAGGTCAGCAGACCAGCTTTCATTTGTTATCGCTTCATTTTAATATCACACGCCTGCTGTCTGCACTGATAGCACTTATGTGGAATGCATTACCCAGTACGGTAAAACTGTGTTTTGTGGAGCCTTGTAAGCTTTCCCAATGATGTTTTTATATAGATATACACACACAGTATTGTCAGCAAGTTGCGTGGATTGCATCCATATACCAAAATGTAGGATTGTTCATTATGTGCAGTGGATATTGAACAGCAAAGTGTATTGAGTTAAATATTATTTTCGTCTAAACATGTATCAGCAGTTTGCTGACTTCTGGTTAAAAGAAAACATTAACCAGATGTTGTTATTGTCACTCAGTGACTTTGTTCGTACCAGATTGTCTTCACCGGACTTGGTAAAGTCAAACATATTTGGCTCCAACACTAAAAAAAATACCAAGGCGTCAAAGTTCTCAGCTTTGAAAACATTAGCGCTATGAACAATGCTTTTCATGGCTGTAAGGGCGAGGGGTTACTCAGTAATGAATGGCACCGTAGACCCGGCAACTGCGTGCGTTCACGTGATGCAAGACATTTGCCAAGTAGACAGCATGACGTGTGACCTTGGGTTCTTCTAGCAAAACATTTTACATTTTAAAAGTTCTTTGTACAGAGCAGGAGTTTGGCCAAACTTCAGGCAACTTGTTTGCAATTGGAATTAAGTTCTATGTGTAATATCGGAAACTGGGACATGGAAAGAAAACACATTTTCACCGTCACACATGATGACGTGGAAAAGTAGACGTTCTGCCTAAGTGCATTGCACTGCACATAACATAAGGCTACGAATATCTGTCACTCAAGTGACAACCATTCTTATTTAGTTTTGTTCTCATACAAACAATGATATTCTTCATACTGTCCCATATGTACATAATATAACATCTCGATCAGGCAGGTACTTTTGTGTTTTATGCCTGAAGTCTGTTGTTACGTATTAAATGTTACATCTCACGTGGCCCCAATTGGGCTCGTGGAATGGCAGATAAACTGGACATGAAGCCACTAAGTTGAGCTATCGTTTGTGGCAAGGTTGCCTCTGAAACATAGCGATATAGCTCCGTGGGCCTTACCTGGTAAAATAAAAAATCGAATTAAATCCTTTTTTTTTTCGGAAGATATACGTTTTTCTTACCGGTGCTTAATGCAACATTTCCTACCTATTTTCCAGTTTCCTTGGGTCTTTTCAGAGCAATTCATAAGTTACATTCTTTCAACAGTCTGAATTGCATAATTTACTCACAGTTACTGTTATTAGAATTTCATGCTGTCACATTCTGACAGTTTAAAAAAGTACAGCTGGGTTGCAGCTTGGGTTACCATACTGGATTTTTTTTTTTCCCAACAAGTGGAGATTGAAACGTTGAAAATGTTGGTTTGAATGGCTTTGCCGGTGTCATGTATACTTTGTAAATTGAGCCAGCATAATAATGGAAACATCTGAATACCGGACTATCATGTTCAAATTTGTGTAAAATGTCTTTACTTTAATATCCATTTTTTATTGAATTTTTCTTCACTTTGGCTCTCTTCTCAATAGTCTGATTATGCCCGTTTGAATTTCTTTCAGGGGAAATAGTCTTTATAGAATATCTGTCAGGAAGCCGGCCTTTTCACAAGGGGCCTTTGTTTTGAGTGAATATTCAATTAGCAAAATTAGAATGAATAAAAATCATATTAAATGGCTGTGCAATAATTGTCCTTTCATTTCCAGACTGAGGCTAATTATATATATATCATTTAAAATAATGCGTTCAACTCAATTTTTCCAGTGCTGTTCATTTACATGATATTACACTAATAAATATAAAAGTACTTAAGTAAAAAGTGATTTTTTTTTAATGGCTAAAGAAATGGTTAAAATGACATGCCACTCACGTGTTATTCTAGTAACTGTGAATTTAATGTTGACAATTTTTTTTTAATGACCCTGAGTGGTTCTGATGTGTTCAGTGTTCAAACCTAGGGGATGGTTCATCAGAAGATGCGCTGTTTAAATCGTCGGATCGCAAAAACGAAGAGGTGGCATCTTTCTGCGACATGATCACAAAGTAAGTTGGCTTCCCTTGATCTGGCAACCGGAGGACAGTGGCCTTAAAATTGGCTGAGTAGCTCACGAGCCAAAGCACTAAACTAGCAATGCCTGAAATCCTGTGGTTGAATCTGCAGAACTCCACCATGCCCCCCCACGGTTAAATTGGATGCTCAATCATGTTGAGTTGATGGTATCAGCCTGGTCACTAAAGTCTGCCCAAAAAAATAACCATATTATATTTTTTGTTCACTTAATTTGACTGAATTCCAGCACTGAGAATTTAGAAAAAGAATCTCGGTTTAAACTGCCCTGCCATGAACGTTTATCTATAACAGGGCACGTAGCAGTGTGGATGAAAAGGGATTCTCAGAAGCAGTTTTGTGAGATCTTCTGCAGGCCATTGTCTACACACAATGGGTTATGCATTTATTTTTGAGGTCTCAAAATAGAGGTGATGCTAATATCACAATTTGAACACAATAGCGAAAAAATAAAACACTTTTTGTCTTATTTGTAATCGTGCTAAAATGGTGAAATGTACTGTTTATGAATGTACTTACATTTGGTTTGATCTAGTGAATGCGTTTACTGGAAGAACGGATATAGACTACATTGGCAATCAAGAATGAAAGTGGGTTGATTACTACATTTGGAACCTTACATTCATATTAAACTTCTTACGAACAGTTGGTAAATCAATAGCTAATGACTGGCAAGCTCTCGTGTTATTTATCTCTACGTTATGCTATAGTTTTGTAATTACCGATGTTGAGATTGCAATGCAAATCAATATTTGCATTACCGATGTTAGCAAATCAGACCACCAAATTCTGTACCTGCATTAATTAAACATCAGAGTACATATTTACAAAACTACACATGACTTACAATTTAAATATTGTAAATATGAAGAGACATTTGTAAGTTGCAAATGAACCCATCTACTATTCAATATCTGGAGTGCTCACCAAAAATATTAAGGACTTTTATCTCTGCTTCCTCCTACCGATGATTTTCTTTGGCACTGGCAGTGGTGACAATTGTTTATCCAAACAAAAATGTGGGTTTGTTCTATGGTGAGGTACGTGGCTGTGAGTGAGAGTCTTTAAAATGTTTTGATGTCGTGAATGAGCTTCCGAAATATGCATCGGAGGAGGATGGGGAAAAGAGTCGTCGTTGAGCAGACGCATTTCCATTGTCGGCGAAACTGGACGTTTTACGAGTAACAAGTTTGTGTAGGAGCGCACTAAAATAGCTGAACCTCAAGATGCGTGTGTGTGTTTTTGTCCTTTTTTTTTCGCCCCCGCCACAGGCTTCGTGAAGAGCACCCTCACATGTCGTGCAGTAACCTCGGCTTCGTGCTGAGCCCTGTGCTCCTCGAGAGAGACCTGAGCAAGGAGAACGTGAGCGTCAAGGTCACCATCGAGATGGAAGGCCTGCAGCAGCCAGTCACGTTCACCTGCGACGGTCAGGAGCCTTTGTCCTTCATCGCGTCTCTCTCTCTCTCTCTCTCTCTGCGCATTCTCTCGGTCCATAATAAAGGGGGGTTTTTTGGGGTCAGATTGCCTAAAATATAAATGTGTGGTTAAATCCGCCACCACAATTAGTACATTGGATAATATTGGATAATAATTATTATGGAGAAGATTGGATGCGAAAGGCTAAGTGTTAAACTATTATCTGTGTTAAAGTGTGTAACTTGTGTCTCCATGTACAAATTTCTATTTCTAGATTTGAAGCTTTCGTGACTGCAAGGATTCATACTCTTAGTTCTTTCGGTAAAGTCACGTAGGTAAAAAATTAAATTAAAATTAATAAAAATAAAACAATAAAAATCACGAGGTTTCGGTGGCAACACAAGTCTCCGTCTACGTGACTTTACCGAAAGAACTAAGAGTACAAGTTTCTACTTTTACAATCAACACCACAGTTTTATTACATTATTGGAGTCGTGATGACTGTCACATGGCTACAACAAAATACAATTGGTTGGTTGATGTAAGGTCTTCAATGGATAAAAAAAGATCTTGTATGAGAAGGCATTGAGGTTAACCAACCTTTGATGTTTAAACGTTCATCGTTTATGACGGTGTGGACTGCGAGTGTCTGGCATTGCTCGCCAAGGAGCCTGAAGCTGAATTTGGCAAAGCGCAGTCTGGTAAATATTGCAGACTGCAATAATGGGTACAGGCCACATCCATAAAGCTGAAAGGGTCACCTGGAAGAAAGGAGAGATCTGGGAAGCAAGAATCCTCTTTCAAAGCTCTGGCTTACCAAATCACGCGAAACCTACAAATCCTATTATCTGATGACCTTTTACCCGTTGCAACGACAATCCGTTTATATATAAGTCCTCTTACACTTCTTAAGTCCTGATTGTATTTGAGCAGGAAACGTTTTTGTTAAAACAAATGTCATCTGATAGGGAAGTCATGACATCGAACATTACAACTGGGTCCATCTTTACTCTGGGTTGGCCTGCAGCCACTTGATGTTCTTCTCAATGTCATTTTACATTTGGACATGCACGGTGAATTAACACGGTGGTCTTTCGGCGCGCACACAGCCTTCCAGTGCCATTAGCCTTGCCTAATATACAGTGCTCGTCTGCGGTGCTTGCAGACCCAGCTGAATGTGCTGGCTGCTGTTCAACTTAAAGTACCGTGTATCTTAAAGCCCACATTAACCTTCACAAGGCATATTCAATTGCTTCTCTCAGATAATATAATCAATAGACATCATCTTCGCGGTGTCCTGCAACAGTCTCCCATATCCATCCGTGAATTATTGTTCATATATTTAGTCGTAATTTTTAATTGGAATTGATTGATATGCTGACTCTTGCCACCTTAGTCGTAATTTAGTGTAAATCTGTAATACTATTTCAGGTTCAACATTATATGCAAGGCAGGGGCAACATTCTGTTTTAAATATAAATGTATGAACTTGTTTTTAAAATGCTTTCACATCCAAACTTCCTTTCTCCAGTTATAAGACGAAATAAAATTAGGCGTCATTGCCCTTGAATATTTTCGTGTTTTAAGATACAAATTATTTTGCAACAAAATGAATGCTCCTGTATATGTAAAACTAAGTAAGGCATGTTTTAGTAGCCTGTGAGCTAAGAAGCTTGTAAGTGGGGTTTCATCAATCTAAACCACACGCCGTTTCCGTGACAGACATAGCACATCGTAGAAAGAAAAATAAATAACTAAAACAAATTAATAAATCGTTTAAAAAACTAAGGAATAATATTGTGTCAAATATAAAAATGCATCTTTTAAAAATTTTAGCCAATTAAGGAAACAAAAAGTGCACTATTAGACGTAAAAAGTGCCAGTGGTAAAACACACCGTTTTCCAAGAAACACTAAATTAAAATCTCCAATAAAAATATATATATAAATGTGCCATCAATCAACCACGACATTGCACTGAGCAAAACAAGCAACCAAGGTGACAGAATTGCCTTGTGGAAAATCTACAGTATCCTTCACATAAGTAGTCCACATGTCAAGCTATCATCTGTCATGCACATTGGACAATGTTTTCTTGATTTTAATTCTTAAACAAGTATCTTTTACTGGCCTACTTCTCAGACAACTCTCTTCTGGTCATACCCTGTTCTATCCAGATGAGAAAGTGGATAGAGGCATTTCTCTGCCTTGAGGCCTTTTGCAGATGCGCAAGATTTGAACGGCAAATGAATGTCACGTCTTTCGTAGACAGCTTTGGTCTGTCCGATGTGTTTTCAGTTTGTACTTTTATGTTGTTCGGCAAAATATCCAATGTTTCGCTCTCCGTGCTGGGATCTCCTTCAGAAACTCAACTGAGCGTCTCGCTCTCTCCCTCGATTGCATAGCATGGCTGTTCCCCTGTTGCTGCTTCCTGTTTGTAACGTTGACTGGCTCGGCTCTGTGATTCGGGACAATTGAAAACCAACGAAGTATTAGTTTCGATTTAAAGCTTTCATGACTGCAGGGATTCATCTTCTTGGTTCTTTCGGTAAAGTCACGTAGAAGGGAAATAATAAAATAATAATAATTAAACATAATAAAATACAATTCTCACGACGTTTCGGCCACAACGCAAGCAACCGTCCTCAGGTGAAGAATGGGAACGGCTGCTTGCGTTGTGGCCGAAACGTCGTGAGAATTATTTTATTATGTTTTATTTTAATTATTTTATTATTTCCATTCTACGTGACTTTACGGAAAGAACCAAGAAGATGAAGTGTTAGTTGTCTCTCCCGCTGCACGAGCGTCAGTGGCGATGTTTTCTAATGGATGTTTTCTGCTCTGGGTGGTGGACAGTGAGCTCCCCGGTGGAGCTGATCGTCATTCAGGCACTGTGCTGCACCCACGACGACCTCGGCAAGGTGGTGACCAGCGACTACGTGCTCCGCGTGTGTGGCCGGGAGGAGGTGCTGCAGAGGTATGTTCAGAGAGCACTGGGGCCCTCTAGATACCCCTAGTCAATAAGGTAGCTTTTTTTATTCAGAACCAGGGCCCAAGGTCTTTCACGATTTCTCTGTTCTATTTTTGTCACCGGTCAGAAACCACTGAACTAAAAATAACATCCTGCTCTCATCAATCAATATTAATACTAGGTTAGAGTCTCCATGGATTGAGCATCCATTTTCAAAGGGGACATGAGTGTCTGTAATTTAAAATATTAATAATAAAATCGAGTTTTTGCTCTCAGTTATATCCGCTTAAACATATGTGTTTACAATTGTTCACGTTCTACAATCTGATATTTTTCAAAATGATTATTTTCACACATGCACACATACTCCAGTTAAAATAAAAAAATGAAAATATCCCCGGTATTTAATTGTTCATTGTTTCAAAGCATATACAAACATCCAAAACCCCACTCGGTGTATTTGTAAGCCAACCACTACTGGGTGCAGCGTTGAAAGAACTTTCACGTGGAAATCAGAGGGAACCATCTGTACGTGCCACTCCCCAGCCTGACCACAGCCCCAGTGAGAGACCTCGCACGCTATTGTGTTTGCCGTCCGCAGCCGGCAGTGCCTGGGCAGCCACGAACACATCCATCTGTGCCGCAAGTTCGACACGGACATCCGCCTGCAGCTGCTGCACGTCTCGGCCATGCGGCACGACCTCGCACGCACGGTCAGGCCCTACTTGTTACATCCTCCTGCATCCCCGTGTTGCCTAATGGGGCCACGTTAAGCACCGCCGTGTGGTAAAATAATAAAGTAATGCGACGCAAGTTGGTTCAATACAACATCCTACAAAGACTTGCCCCCAATGACCTCTCTGCCCTCTCATTTCACTCTACTCCTCTCCCAGCACTCCCCCCCCCCCCCCCCCTCCTGCCAGCAACCAAGGCTTTTTGTCGAAACTCCGCAGCCAACCGTGGCTTATTATATCTATGTGTGTATGTTGAACTTTCTTCGCACCATACATAGCCAACTGTGCTAATGAGAGGTGCCGGAGGGTGTGCTTTCTCCCCTCTTTTCCCCATATTTGGAACTCCCTTCCCTTAGCCATCAGTGCCATTGGCTGCCAGACCCCATTCAAGTCCAAGCTTTCAAGACCTTTATGTTAAGAGCACTCGAGATCGGGAGCACTCTTGTGACCTACTCGATGTAGTTCCATTCCTTACTTTTGAATAAATTGTCACTGCACTAATGTCATTAAGTGCCCCTGACTATAATGTCAACTGTTTAATGAAAGTGCCGAAGTTTATTACTTGTGTGAGACTTCACGGGCCTCAACGCCGAGCTATATACGATATGTTTGTTTTTTGGATTGTATCTTCCTGATGAAACTAGTACGGGGCAGTCCTCGTCTCTGTTTACAGCTCTGAGTCTCATGGTGCGCACTGCCCTTTCTTTATGACGAGCGTTTGCCGTACCGTGGCGGTCACGTAACCGGCGTAAGCACAACAGTAAATGAGCTAACTTGACGCGCAACCCAGAGTTGAACCCGTAACCTTCCACATGCGAGTCAAGTGCTCTGCCGCAGTATCACCAGACCGGAATGTTTTTATTTGGTGGCAATAAAACATTACGCATCGTATGTGGGTGAGGGAGCACTGCATTGTTTCGGAGTAAAAAAAAAAACGATGAAGCAAGCTTCGGTTGAAAAAGTTGCTTATGTTTCTTGAGCTAAATATTTTGTTTAACGTCTTCTGCTTTGTTAGCTCAACCTACATCGCACAAAAGGGTTATTCTACAAAGACGTGGAATTTTTCTGGGATGGTGGCGATAAATAAACTGTAAGAACCTCAAAATATGACAAGAAGCATTGTATGTAGACATGTAATGTGTGATTAAAATATCTTGGGAGATCTTTGTATGTTTTTGCAATGGTAATTATAATGGCCATTTCTCAAGACAAAAACATACATTGCTTCAAGTTGTCATTGAGACATGTTTAAAAAGTTGACTCGCATGGCAGTCAATTTAACACGTAAACTTTCGCGACCAATATCATACATAATAAAGGTTTTTGGGTTGGATCGTGTAAATGTATAAATGTGTCGTTAAAACCCACCACCACCCGACACAGCCAACTAGTAAGGATTGTGCCAATTCGTGTGTTGGAGGGCCAAGCCACAACATTTACAATCTGAGTACGACGTTTCGCCAGTAATTACAACCAGCTTCAACAGGCGACAGCCAGATTTGTGGAGAAGTCCACCTGTTTTGTTCCTTATATAGAGGCGTAGATGTGTTGACCACCCTTCTGTGCTCTTGCACAATGTGGGGGGGGGGGGGATTACTGTCAGCAGTAGCAGAACACGCGTGCCAACAAGGACACTCAATTGATTTTGATAATGTTGAAGTTTTGTGCAAAACTAGCTACTACTGGCCAAGACTAATGAGAGAATCTATCGAAATTGAAAGATATAAAAATAACTTTAACCGTTCGGCTAGCTACCGTCTCAGTCCTGCGTGGAAGCGAATCATCAACCAATACATTATTTATTTAAATGCATGCCTACAAAGGGCAGCGTACTTCAATAGGGATTACTGTTGGTAGGGCTATTTGAATAAACACAATAGATAGGAAGGACAAGTTCAAAGGGCTTGCGTAATGCACATTGTGCAAAAGCGCAGAAGGGTGGTCAACACATCTACGCTTCTATATAAGGAACGAAACAGTAATAGTGTGATGCTGCGTTGGTATTGGGTGCACAACCACCATTTAGAACAACAACAAAAACTCAAAACGCAAGCGCCAAACAAGAGGATTTCTCCACAAATCTGGCTGTCGCCTGATGAAGCTAGTTGTAATTAATTAATAACGTCGTACTCCGTTTGTAAATGTTGTGGCTTGGCTCTCCAACACACCGGTGTGCTGTACTAGTGACGAATTGGCATGTTCTGTTTGTGTGACAATCCTTACTAGTTGGCTGTGTCGGGTGGTGGCGGGTTTTAACGTTTATATATTTACGCGACCTCACCCAAAAACCTCTATTATGGATCACATGGCAGTGTCTGCACCAGGTTGAGCCGTTGTTGTAGTTTAGTTTGTGCAAACTAAAATTGCGCCCGTGATTATTTGTCCTCGGGGGTTTCGCGTGCTCGTGCCGTGGATTGACCGTCGCAGAGCGAAGACGACGCTGATCCAACAGACTTGCAGCAGCACCTGCATCTCTACAGCCACCCTCTGAAGCACACCGTCTCCAGGTTGGTGCCACTACTGTCTTTGTTGGGCCCCATTTACTATTAAAGTATTTAAACTAAACTATAAACATTTCGATTTAAAGCTTTCGTGACTGCAGGGATTCATCTTCTTGGTTCTTTCGGTAAAGTCACGTAGAAGGGAAATAATAAAATAATAAAAATAAAACAATAAAATAATTCTCACGACGTTTCGGCCACAACGCAAGCAGCCGTCCTCAGGTGAAGAACAGGTCTGACATTCAGACGCTGTCTTTCCGACAGACCTGTTCTTCACCTGAGGACGGCTGCTTGCGTTGTGGCCGAAACGTCGTGAGAATTATTTTATTATGTTTTATTTTTATTATTTCCCTTCTACGTGACTTTATTGAAAGAACCAAGAAGAAGAAGTATTAGTTCTTTACCACGTAAGGCCCACTGAGCTATATAGCTCTTTTTCAGAAACTTCCTGGCCACAAGTGATAGCCCAACGAAGTGGTTTATCATGTGGGCGTTAATAGCAGACAAATACTCTAAACGTATGTTTATAAATGTGGAGGGAAAAACCGGATGAGCCGGAGAAAAATTACACACAACCAAACTCCAAATATGCAGGCGTCAGGGTCGGGATCGAACTCTCTGCCTCCTGCACACCAGGTGAGGTAGTTAACGTCTCGCCACGGAGATGTTGTGAAACTGTGTGCATACATGCTTTATTGTACCCAATGTCGGCAAAGAGAAATATAGAGACGAGCCTTATGCTTAGTTGTTTGTCGAAACAATATTGAAGATAATAAACATAATGATTCAACAAGTCGGTGCCTTCCTTAAAATATGAACAAGTAGTATGAATATTCGTTATTATATATAGAAAAACGTGTTTAATACAAATTAAAAGTACATGCAGAATGGAATTTCTAACTTTCAGAGTGCATGCAGCTGGCAATCAAGGTCCAGACCTTTTTTTCTCTGAATATCTGGCTGCCTTTCCAAACTATTTAATACTCATCTTCACAGCCATCGTTGATGTTAAAACTATTGTTCGTATCTTTGTACTCGTGTTGTTGAAGGAAAGGGCTATCACAGCTGATGGATGCGTACCACAATGAACTGGACATTTTCTTGCAAACCAAGGTTTGTTTAAAATTCTGGTCATTTTTCGTAAATAAAAACAACTGTCTGCAATGTGTAACTCGGTGTCCAAAGTGTGCGTCCGCTTGGCTGAGGTTGTCAGCACTGTGTATGAAACATCTGCAAAAGAACGGGGCATGCAAAATTGGCCCAGACTCGTGACAACATCCTCCCCATTCAGAGTCAAAGGTGAAGGGGCATGGTTGCAGTTTCTGTGCCCAGCCTATTGCTGGCGGAAGTGCCTCCGAGAAGAGGGAGCTCTAGAGAGAGGGCATTTTTGACCCCACCCTTGCACCAACCGGTCAGATGTTTTATAAGAGCTCGAGGTATCCACGCTTTGCTGCACCGGACGTGACCTGCTGCTTGACCAATTGTGTCCTGCAGTCGAATGCAGGCATTGTTTTCGTAAGTTTTAGAGGGGCTTGGTTTGGCCCGATTTTTTTTTATTTAGTATAGATTTATACTTAAAATTGTTATCTGTATTGTATTATGATTGTTATTGGGATCAAACATCGAAATGGATTTTTTTTTTGCGCTTTCTGTACGCAGCATGGACGGGCTTGTGCTTTTTTTGTAATGATTTTATTGTTTACGTATGTGATGGTCCGATTTGTGTACAATGAATTTTAGGTGTATCTTGTAATTTTATTGTTTGTTTGGGTTGAACCCAAATCAAGAGCCGAATGGCTCACAGGGTAAATCCTAATAAATTAAACTGAAAACTGGACAGACGCGCAGAGGGAAAGGGTGGGGGTGGGGGATTAAAGAAATGTCATTCTTTGTTTCAACTTCCTCGCTGAGTGATTAAATTGAACTGGCGACCTCTAGATGGCAAGTCCAGTGTGCTCACTATTATGCTACGGAAGCACCGCTCCGTGCAAAGTATCTTGCTTTTTTATACTCTTTGGTTTTTTCGGTAAAGTCACGTAGGTAAAAAATAAAATAAATGAAAACAACTAAATTAAATCGACGTTTCGGGTGCAACACAAGCGTCCGTCATCAGGTGGGAAAGCATGGCCTACTGCTGATGCTTTTAACTGATTGAGAGAGTGACATGGTACCCTAGAGCCTGGAAAGCATACCCCCCCCATAAAATATAAATCCCGCTGACGAGTATTTTCTCTCTCGAGTTCTCTTTGCGATGGGGGTTGCTCAACCCGCGTTGTTGTTTAGCACAAACGTGGCGATAGATGTCACGTAGGTGTCGCTTCTCGCGCTGTAACCGTTAATTCCTGGTTGCAGGTTTACATGCAAATTGTCGTTGAGTTGTTGACTTTTATTTATGCACCTGAATACAACTATTTACACATATACATGTGATATTTCTGCCTTACCTGTTACTTAATCGCTCTCTTTCATGCTGGCATCAGCCCGAAAACACAACCTGGGCACAGCAATAATAATAAGAATAGCAAATTTAAAGTCCGTTATCAATCTGTCACTGCTTGAAGGCCATGGTCGTCTTGGGGGTTGTGTTTGACCTTTCTTAACCACACTGGCCCATGCTTGCATACTTTCAGTGGGAGCAGCACCGTGGGATGGAAAGGGTGGCGCATGCCACCAAGGCCGTGTGCAGTGCGCTGTCCCACATCGAGACCCCGGCCGTCACGGAGGCTGTGCAGGCTCTGCGGCATGCAGCCAACCGCCCACGCCATACGACTATAGAGGTCTGTCCCCTCAACTATGTCCAGTTTTGCCGTCTCTCTCTTACCCTTACATCCATGCAATTCACGTACAAGGCATGTAACTATTTTCCCCTCTACAGTTCGAGAATTATCATGATTCAGGCTGATGATTCACTTCATGGATTGCTTCTTTTTTAGTTTTACACAGCTTGATTGTGTGTGTGTGTGTTTTTTTTTAAAGATGTTATTTATGTGCATGCCCCACGCGCGTGGTACATTCTGTCCGGCGTTACAGGTCATACCCATCAGTTGGTTCTTATTTTGAACTTGCGGTGCTTGTGTTATTTATTTTCGTATTCTTATTTGCTTATGCACATGTATATGTTTACTCGTATATGAATTGGAAATGACCAGGATTTTGCGTGCACAGTTCAATGTATTTGTCGTGAGCGTAAGAGTCGAGGTTAAATAATTAGTGGATCGTCGCATCCCCCGAGTGTTTCCACTCATCATAATCTCATCTAATGCTCCCAGTTCTACCTCTTAAATTAGAACGATCTACTTTTGTTTACACTTCCATGTATCACCATCCACACTGTCCTTTCACTTGGAGCAGAGACCCGGCCTGCGTTAGCAGCATGTTTTTACCGCTGGGTTTTGCTGTGCGTGCGAGTCTTGACTTCCTGCTGAGTTCACATTGCCATCGTGCAGCATGCATGATGCTCTGGAATAGTTTTCCATTCACATGGGTAGGTCAAATGCATTCTTGAGAAGTAAAAAGATGCTACCGGGATTAGATTTGATGGAGCCAGTTTGGAATGCATGGTTTTGATTGCTGTTGCAATTGATTTGAATGCACGTAAAAGAGTGTGATAAATAGATTGGCTTCTGCCAGTAGTTCTAACTACATGATCCCCTTGTTGTATTGCATGGTTAAACGTGAGCACTTACACATTTAACAAACAGAAAGAGTGGATTGCAAACTGAAAATGTATTTCTGTATCCTGCATATCAGTTAATATACGTTCTCTTTATTTTTGCATTTAAATATATACTCTGATACACTCATTGTGACTGCAATACAAATATGCTTCTCTTTTGTTCCGTGAAATTTAATTACATGTACGTAAACGCACTTATATAATGAATTGCACATTCTGCTGTTTGCCTTGGAGCAATGTTTACTCACTTATAATGGCACAGAGATTAGTTATTTTTGGTTGAAACCTTACTTACCATGCATTCTCACTCAAACATTCTCATTCCAATCAACCTTCTACTGCCTGTATGTAATAATAATTTGCCAGATTAACAAGGGAATTCAATTATTATTATTATTTTAACTGGATTCCGATGAGAAAGTGTTACAGTACATAGTGGAAGAGCAGACTCTGGAGGGGGTGGGTGTTGAGTGCACAACAATGACACAATCTGGCAGAAAGAAAGTGATGGTTAGATGTGGTGACCCAAAGATTGGTCATGATGACCATAACCCTTTATTCATTGACAAGTCAATTCACATCGGCACACCAAATCAGAGTGGCCAACTAATCATTTGGCGAGCACCACCAAATACTGGCGAACGCGTTCCTTTTGGTATTTACAGTGGAATGCCTAACTTGGCCACGTGTTTTAATATTTTATTTTTGATTGGGAGGCCCGGAAATTACATGTTACGGGACAATATGTCATTCTTACAGTGCAGGAAAGCCGTGTGGAAGAGCCACACTACTGGACATCTGTGAAAAATATCTTTATAGCTCATCGGATTCCTCCAGTATGAATAAATATTCTGATTCTGCATTTTTCCGGCACGCTCGTGTACACACGTCGACGGATACGCGCTGTGCCCCCCCCCCCCCCCTTTGAGCGTTTGTGCGCCACCCGGTGCTGCAACTACGTTGTGCATGTGCGTGCAGGCCACGGGGGCGACAGCGAGCGAGAGGCTCTCGGTGGAGAACAAGCGCTCGCACACCCTGCCGGGAAAGCAAGATGCGAGTAAGGAACTCAGGAATGCAGCCCTGGAACGAGCCCAGCTCACACACGTGCACATGCACACACGCGCACAAAGACAAAGATCGCTCGTATAGCCTTGACAGACTGTTGGGGAAAGTGCTGTTAGCGAGCACCTATGAAGGCCGGAACAATATGCATGGAGGTGGGTGGCCAGCACCACGCCCGACTGCGTTTGTCTCCCCAGTGCCGATGTTTACACACCGTATCAGGTACTCATTTGAGGCTGAGTCGACCTAGGGGAGGTCTAGGACTGGTTCAGATATGTGTCACCGATGTTGGCCGTGAGCGCACATCCAACTCGGGTCACAGAGTTTGTAGCAAAGCTCGTTAACCACTACACTCTCGCTCCACGCACGCACGCACACACACACGCGCAAATTTGCCCGCCGCTGAACATTTGCTTCCAGTTATCGCTGCCTGTGTTTTTCCGCAAGAAATCGAGCCGACGTTAGATGCACAGTGTGCGAAAGCGCGGAAGCAAGTGCTGGCATCGTTTTAGTTGCTGATATTATCATGGTCATTACATTGCTTGCTAGTTATCTGTATTTTTCCGTAACAAAGACCTACCATTTACCGATTTAGTCTTGAACATTTTTGAGCATAGCTTCAACTAAGTGAATATATTTTTCACAAATGCTAATTATTGGGTTTTAAGAACAAACACCTAATTAATGTAAATATTACATAGTTGCTTGTGAAAAATGTGCTACAGTACATTATATGGAAGACCATCTGGCACCTTATGGAAAAGTACTTCTCCCGCTTCTTATCGAGGCAGACAATGCTCTTGAGTAATAACAACTCATCCACTTGTCTTGAATCTGCGTTGTTGATCTATGTCATTCTGAGACATTAACTACTTAGTCCGGCTTAACCAGATAAGCTGCTCATTATAGCGTTGGCTAATCAACTCGTGTAACGCTGCGACTGTAATGCTTTAACCACGTGGCGCGTAAATACACCATGACCAATTCAAGTAATCTATTCCAATTCATTGACCTTCTAGTGCATGTTTTAAAGCATCTGTTTGACATGTTTTCTGGCTTTGTAACTATGGTAGTAATTAATTTGATATAAATGATTCATTTAACATAAATTTATTGTGATAAGCAATTGACAACAATATGTTGTTGATTCATAATAAGAAAAAAATAAAGCCTTTATCGATGAACACCTAAGTGTAGATAGCTGAGCAACCTACTTGATGTACTACTGGCCCACCCATAAACCCTGCAGGTTTGGAGTATCACAAGTGATGCTAACGTTTTTCATGATACGCCAACCTGCCTCCAAAGCGCCGCATCACCGAATCTTTACTCATACCGGTGGAATCCGATGAGCAAAATAGCTCTTTTTCAAAGATGTCCAGTCAACGCTGGAGAGTGTGCGCGCTGGCCGACTCCTGGGGCCTCGCTCAACCCACGTGGCGTGCTGCTCCCCCAGGGCGCGCGGGCAACAGCGGGGAGGTGGAGACGCAGGCGGAGCGGCTGACGGCGGCACTCTACGAGCTCGTGGAGCTCTACTGCGCCGCCTTCGATGCCGACTTCCTGCCCGGCGCGACGGAGGGGATCGTGGCGCGTGACGCCGCCGTGCGGGAGGCGCCCGGAGTCACCGACACGCTGCGCTTCACGCTGCACGCCGCGCACCACGTGCCGGCCAGCTGGATCACCAGGTAGGCTGGATCAACAGGTAGGCTGGATCACCAGCTAGGCAGGATCACCAGGTAGGCTGGATCAACAGGTAGGCTGGATCAACAGGTAGGCTGGATCAACAGGTAGGCAAGCCGACTACACAGGTGGCGGCCGTTTTGATTAAGGCAGAGCGCTAACGCGTGGAGAAAGTGCTCTAGTGACGTCACCACATTTATGTATCAGAGTGAACGTTGCAGTGATGTCACCCGAGTGACATGATGCTATTCTGGGCCATAATCTTAAAGTCCGACTGCATAGTTAGTCATGCTCTACAGCACTCCGATGTGTTTCCGGAGATGCGCCCAGTCCGGCGTGATTTCCGTTCCGGGTGGAGTGAAATGTCAGACTTCGTGCCGAACCGCACACTTTGTGTTTTTTGTGTTTAGTTTGTTGTTCTTCCCCGCATCTCCGATTAGCACAGCTGGCTATGTACGGTGCAAAAGAAGTTCAACATACGGTACAACAAGAAAAACACGTTGCAGAGCTAATAATTTTAAAGTATTTTTTTCCTACTCTCAGGAAGTTTTAACTTTCACTCGAGGAGCCTGGGACATACCAGCCTTGCGTTGTAAAGACAGCATTAAAGCCTGTTTTGTTTTTGTATTGCGTCTACCTCTGAGCAAGACAATGAAAATGCATTGCTTGTCCACCCAGCCACTGTAGTCTGAGGGCTTAACTCAGTCATCTCGGCATATCACAGTGATTCCTCCATGGCGGATTAAGTCAATCCCACCTTGTAGGAATTCAACCTCTGCCGTCACTTGGATAAAGCAGCAGCACCCATTGTAGGAATGTGCATTTTCTACTCGTGGCTCATAGCCCATGAGACCTTTCGCTGAGTCTCTGCAATATTTAAGAATGGTCTTGTATTGTATATTTTGGACAATTCCTTGGAGTATTTTTTTTATTTGTGGGAAGCACCTGCAGAGAACTCGTGCGTGCACATGTGCAATTACTCAAGCAGGCTGCTGAAACAGCAGCCTACTTGCTGTTCTGCCTATGTAAAAGACGTGCAGGTGGTTCTCATGCATATATCGATATTTGTGAGATTCCACAAACCTGTCTTCAAAGCACCAGGTTGTATGTGTTTGTAAGTATGCCCGGCTGTTGAATTTCCTTTTAGACTCGTAGAAATATATTTGGGCTTAAACGTGATGTTTGGCATTTATATTCTGTATGTGATGTATATGCTTTACTCATACAAATATGACAGTGGTATTTTACAAACGTTAATATCCTTTATTGCTTTCTTTTTGAAGTGTATTTTAATATAACTCATGTCGCATATCAGCTCAATATGTGTATATGAATAATATAGTGCAGTGAGAAGAGTTTACATGAAGCCTTACAGAAGAATTGGCATGCAGTATTTTTTGTCATCTCCTTCTGAAAATATTTCAACCACCATATCCCCCCCCCCCCCCCCCCCACATATTGGTAACATATGGGGCTCTGCTAGAAAGAAGGGGGGACCTCTGCTGGCTATGTCATTACTGCGTTGTACAGAGCTGGTGTTTGTCTTAACATATTAGTGTGTATACAGAGGTGGTTGGATGTATTTGAGGTCAAGCCGCTGCTCAGAGCAGAGCGAGCAGCTCCTGGGTTTGAATCCAGCAAGCTGCGTTAGTTAAAGCAGACTCTCAGGTTCAGTGAGTTGATGGTCTCAATGACTCCACATCAAACTATTTTATTTGGATAAAGTCTCTCTGGGAATTTTCAATACTCTGTGATAAATCGTTTCTGCTTTCAGTGGGGGGCACTCTCTCTGTGAGATTTCCAAATGGATTCTTCGTCCCGTAACACGACCCCCGATTCGCCCATCAACCAAAAAAGTTCAAAGTTGTGCAAATGTTACAGACGTGTAGAAAGCCATGGCGGTTTGTTTCTCTGCAGCTATGAGAAGTACAACATCGTGTGCTCTCTGACGCATGGAGGCCGGCCGATCCTGCAGCCGTACAAGTGTCAGTCGGGCCGCATGTACAAAAGCTTCTTCCACCAAATCCGCTGGAATGATCAGTGAGTCTGGTGTTATTCTTTTTGACGCACGCACGCGTACACGCACAGCACATCACTCGCTCGCCACATGTTCCATTATGCCTGCGAATTAACAGTCAAACCGACAACAGAGTAAACGCATTAAATATATGAACAACCTACGTTTTGGAAAGCTACATATCAAATAAGCTATTGAGTATGCAAACAAATTATTTGTTGACACTGTGTTGGCAGTGGTGCACAAACACAGTTAACAAGAAACTCAACACATTCCTCAACAACACTAACCTTAAACATAAAAAAAACATTTATAATAGGTGAAGTTTCGGGTAATGGGCCCTCCAGTGCCTTGTTTTCACAAAAAACAAGCCTTCCCACAATGCAATGTGCCAGCAAACATTTTATAATTTTACTTTCAACATAAATTAATTTATTTAGTCATACACTTCATTCTTGAAGGATTTTTCTATTACCCCATATCTACTACTAGGTAACTTTTCACGAACCTTTTTTTAAAACTGGTCATCAAAAAACATCTTTAAAATTACATTTTCATCAAGCTGCATGTTATTAAGTGCAGTCTCCAATCCTTACTCACTCCGCCACGAAGAAGGGCCATTTCCCAAAACATCACCTGGACTTTTTATTTAAGGCTCTGCTGTTGATGAATGTGAATGTTTTCTTATTTGGTATGTAAAAGTACTCTCATGCATTTTGATTTAAAGCTTTCGTGACTGCAGGGATTCATCTTCTTGGTTCTTTCGGTAAAGTCACGTAGAAGGGAAATAATAAAATAATAAAAATAAAACATAATAAAATAAAAATTCTCACGATGTTTCGGCTGCTTGTGTTGTGGCCGAAACGTTGTGACTTTACCGAAAGAACCAAGAAGATACTCTCATGCATGTCCAAGCAATTAATTGAGCTGTCATTCGGAAACTGATTGGGGAAAACGAGGCTGGGTGGCTCCGCTGGGTTTGTGGGTGCGAATCCAGGAAGCCGCCTGTAATTATACCATGTTTTCAAAGTTTATTGAGCTGGGGGTCTCAGCCCACTCACAGGTCACTTGAAGGTATCTCAGAGGTAGCTCTGTGGTATTTGTTTCTGCGGGCCAGTCACTCGCAAGGAGGGTCACGCTGCTCTGTGAGGGATCCCAATGCACACGTTGCCATATTGCACGATGCCGATAGCACAGTCGGGATACATTTGGGGAAAATGACGAGGGAAAGAAACAGGAATAATCATAATTGGGAAGGAATCGTTTTTAAACTAGAAAGAAGACATTTTGTATGAAGAGCATCATAAAATAAGGAGCAATTTCCAAAATTGGTGTTTACTCATAACATAGTAATGTTAATTACTGATACATTACATCTAGCAAAAGGAACAGCTGCAAAGAAAACATTGCCTATAGTATTAGCATATGATGTAGTATGATGCATAGCCATCAGGACATCTGTACGACATGTAAAATGCCATTATAGACTCACTGTAATACCAGTTCTCATTGTGTGCGGTATGACGGGGTTTTGTAGTCAGTGGTGACCAAGCTGATGGCATCAACTTGCGACACGAGAGAATGTGGCCTAATCACAGGTGTGTGCCTGAATTCAGTCCCAGGCTGTCAGCAGTGGTGAAGCTCAATGCTCCTGCATGGCATTTGGCATCCCCGCCACCCGCACGCCCTCTGCATGGGGTATTTTTAAATTGTGCCATTGATCCAATTGCCACAGCTGTCCCAGGGATGTTGGAAGATATGGTGCTGGCTTACATTGCATTGATGCAGATAGTGGAGTCGAAACTGAGTGCTCCTGTGACGCTGGCAATAATGCTGTCCTCCAGTGAGATTCCATTGGACTTGCACAAAAGCTGCCAAAGAAAGCTGCTGTGGTTAGCAAGGGCAGAGTTTATTTCCACTGGCGACAGGTTGGCTTCTAAATGTGCAGCGTGGGATGGAGTTGGGTGGAGAGAGCAATACCCCAGGCTGCCTAAGATCTGTTGTTCATTAGAGTTAGATTAATTGCAGTTAATAACATGTCACTTTTGGTCAGGCAGTCGCACGTGTGTTCCCAATTACGCCTGTATTGGACATATACAAATATTTACCACAGATTCTGAAAATTGTGTGAAATTACTTTGCGGACTGAAACATAATAGCAATTGTAATTATAATAACAGGGTAATTCTAAAGATACAGATGAGGTGACTTCAATCCGAGCTGTGGCCAAGTGTCAATATTATTAGTGCAGCCGCACCAGTTTTTTGTGTGTGGGCAGGAAACCACACTGAACGCAAATGCTGCAGTGTCGACACGGGTTCTAACACGCAACAGACACCGAACACAATTTGACCGTGAAGTCTCTGATGTGTGTAATGATTCTCACGTGACGAGATACGACCTTGTAAGTGTGGCCTCGCGTGTCTTGCAGTAAAAAGTGCAGCTGTGCAAATATACACTGGCTTTCACATCCCCAGTCCGCAGTGCCCTGCTGCGAGCTAATGAACTGCCGGCATTGGCGGCTGTGTGCGTGATTGTGTCCACGTGCCTGCATTCATGATGTCCGCCCCGTGAGACTGCGTAAATGCATGTGTTCCATCTGCACCTTTATGTCGTATCATACGAATTTTTTTGCATACTTACTGTGTGTCTGCAGGCACACTTGCTTGTATGCTCGTGTGTTTGTGTTAAATTTCAGCCTAGCTTTGGTCTTGCACAAAATCTTGCTTGTCATAAAATGAGCACCTGATGTGGTCTTTGCCAATAACAACGACGGGGGAGATGCGAAGACAGCTTGCATGGCGATGGCCTCATTGCCTCCTCGCGTGCCATTGTAACTTTTGTGCCGTTCACTTGTGAGACTCATCCCCGCAGACGGTAGACCACACTTTTTGTCTTCAAATATGTGGCTTTGCTCTAAGCGGCAATGAAATAGAGCAGGGGTCGGGAACCTTTTTGACTGGGAGAGCCATGAAAGCCAAATATTTCTAAATATATTTCATTGAGAGCCATATAGTATTTTTAACGTATAATAAATTAAATATGTCTTACTTTTAATGCGACTTCTGGTCACGGGACCCGTGACCCGATGAAATTTTATCTTCAAAACTAATTTCTGTTTACTTAAAAATGACACAGTATTATTAAGCAATATCACAAGTATTTTAAAATCAGTTCCAAACTGATTTTATTTTTATTTTTTATTATTATTTTTTTCAACTCAAAATTGTCTGGGAGCCATATGCCGTCACCGGAAGAGCCATATATGGCTGGCGAGCCATAGGTTCCCGACCGCTGAAATAGAGGAAGCTATTGTGTGAAATACTTGGCTGTACCTGGAAACCCAACGGAAACATTGCCTTCAAGGAATAAACGCATTAACCAAAGTTAATTGACAAAACTGAAGTAGTCCATTCAGGAATGCGAGTGATCAGTAGCAGCCAAACATAAGTCTGCTTTCTTGGTGCAATAAACTCTGGATTCCAAAACCTTTAGTTTATTGAAAAAATATCTTCTAAGGAAAATTTAGCAAATTGGAAGCCAGGAAAACAGCAGGGAAGTATTACGTTTAATATACTTGGTTTCTCACAATGCTCTTCAAAATAAATAGATAATAGGTAATATACAGTAACATCTGTTGCTTATATATCAAGTAAAACCCATTCAAAACCACTGTCATCAGAGTGATTAAGGTAACATCTTGACTTAAAATTAAATGTGATCTACAAATATATGTTCCTCAGTTTCAATGCACTCTCCGTAACGAATAAATGGCATTGCATTTATGTTGAAAAGTCATTTCTTTAGAACTGCTTTTTGTGTTTAGTTTGTCCTTCCCCCGCAACCTCTGATTAGCACGGTTGGCTACGTACGGTGCGAAAGAAGTTCTACATACATACATTGCACACACTTGTTGGCCTATTGTATGTATTACATTGTAAGACTGCTAATAGCAAATGCAGTCCATTGCCCCCTTGTGAATGCCCCACTGCCAACTCGGTCCCTTATTTTGTTTTAAATCATCCTGTTGTTGTGATGTGCGCGCGTGCGTGTTCACTACGGCGGACGCGCAGGGTGAACTTGCCAGTGCAGGTGTCCCAGCTGCCGCGCGAGACGGTGCTCAGGGTATCCCTGCAAGGTGTCCCACAGCCATCCGCCTCCGGGGGCTCCCCCGACAGCAGCAAGCAGCGTCGCAGCCCCGAGCCGCTGGGCTGGGCCACCATGCCGCTCTTCAACTTCAGGCAGTGAGTATCGCGCCGGCAATTCCCCGTGGATCGTCGCGGCTTGATGCATCATCATCATCATCGCTGCCGCAGGCTTGCGGACGCCGTGCTGCGCTTAGCGGCAGCAAAGCTATTTCGTCACAACTCTGAAGCACATTAATATTCCATGATGTGGCTTCATTACCATTGCCGTGCTGTGTTACAGACTCGACGCCACTAGCCCAGGAGTATTCGTATTACGGCGAAAGTTTGTACATTTTCACGAGACTGCTGTCCATTAGTCAATACTAAGCCAGTTGTTGGCCTGGTCACGAATTCGTTGAGCTTCCCACATCACCATAAAGGTGCTGTCATACACCTTTGATTTATGGTTTATGTTCGTGTCATATATGCGCATAGAGCTCTTTACTACTGCCTGTGGTGCGTACACGTATGTTGCAGTGTGCTTGTGAATATATAAGTGCTTGCCAGCTCGTGCACATTCCTCTAGACAATGCATTTCTTACCTCTGGCCACTGCTATTTCTAAGAAATTCCGAAAAAAATCTTTGGAATGGCTTTGTTGAATGTAAGAATGTGGCGTGTGTGTGTGTGTGTTTCTCCATGTGGGAAGTTTTGGTATAGTGGTTCTCACACTGCACTGCAATCGAGTTGAGACCCGGGTTAGATTACTGATAATAGTGCAGAGTCGTGCTTCGTGATGCCCTGTGGGATTGTAGACTCAGACGGAGACCAGGGATGAATATTCTGGGCTGCTTGCCGTTTATTCAAGCCAACATCCGCACTCTTAGTTCTGTCGTGGGTACTCACGACTCCCTGTCTCTAAACCTGTCTTCCGACTCCCTCGACCTTCGTCCAGGCTACATCGTACTCTTCCACCTGTAGCCTTCTTTGTCTTTCCAGCCCAAGAGCTTTTCTACCTGCTACCTGGCTCCTCTCTCTCTTTCTCTCTGGCTCTCCTTTGTCCCTGACCCCTCCCCTTCTGCCCAGGTTCCCCTTTTTTCTCCTTTTACCTGGCTCTCTTCCTCCTACCTGGCTCTCCCCCACCAGCAGACGTCTCACTCTGTCTACTGACCCCCCTCCTACCTGCCCCCCCCCCCACTAGCAGACGTCTCACTCTGTCTACTTACCCCCCTCTCTCGCCCTTCTGGCACTCCCTGTTTTGCTTGGCCCCCTTCCCACGGTTGCCCCTCATTGGGTCCCCGCAGTACTCCTTTACATCAGTTATCTCCAGGAGCAGTTCGTATCTGAGTCTGGGCTGGGTCTCCCCTGGGTCAAGTCAGCCTACAATAAGTCTTGATTCTGCTTGAGTAGTGCAGTGAATATAAATTCTGACTAAAACCTCAAGGTATTCATCATTTAGTTGTGCGTGTAAACAATTTGTTTCGTATAAATGACGACAAAATGTTTTAACACCATCACTTTACATGCTATTGCAACCTTTATAGGTGCTAGTTAATAGCACTTTTCCCCAATGGTGTTTTGCGTCTCATTCATCAGTATGTACGTATGTTTAACTTCTTTCGCGCCATACGTAGCCAACCGTGCTAATCGGTGTTGCATTTGTGCGTATGTAAATTAATAGTTCTTAGAATAACCTCAGAATTTGTAGTTTTATTTTCGTATAGATATCTACAAACGATTTAATAATACAAAGCGACACACGTAAACCACTGCCTTCTGAAGCGCGATGTCCATGGCTACTGTGTAGAGTGTTGACCAGCGGAACGAACCTGCTGTGCCTGGGCCCACCGAGTCAGGCGAGCTACGCAGCCAGCTGCAGCGCTGCCCACCTGCTGCAGCCAGACAGCGTCATCCTCCAGGTATCGCGCGAGAGAGAGAGAAAGAAAGTGATGAGATAAAGCAATGAGAGATGATGTGGTGCGAGAAAGCGATAAGGTAAATTGATGATACGCAGCATCATAATTTAAAGATACATTCATTTATAAACTATTCTTTTATACTTTAATATTTATTTAATGGTTTTTATTATTACCAGTTATTTGGTGTTGTCATAATTTGCATGGGTTGTATGGCTTATTTATTTAAGGTAATTCATTCAAAAGATAGGTTTTCCGAGCCCAACATAATTATCCGTGAGCTATTGCTATTCACGAGCAGTGAGGGAAATACTGTACGGAGCTGATAGAAAACTTAAAATGTGAAGCAGGTGTGTGTGTGTGATGTTCACATTTCCGTGCAACGCATTACTCTCCCACAGCTGGATTTCCCACCGACGAAGCTGGATATCATATTCCCCACTCCGATGGCAAGGGGGTTGTGGCTGCAGTACAACTTCGAGGACATGGACCCCGACACAAGGAAGAGCCTCCAAGCGATCATGTCCAAGGACTCGGTGCTGGGGTGGGTTGCACCAACCACAGCCTAAAAAAATAATGTGGATTTGCCCGACCCGCTATTTATGGAAGGAGCTGGTATTTGAATTACCGAGCACTTTTCCACTTTGCTCCATATTTAGGTTCACCGATATAACCGTAATTGCTTCAGGGTGCGTGAAGGCATGTGAACGTAAATACGTCCGTTATATATATTTATAGATATTTGGACGTGCATTCCGAATATTTTTACCTTGGTCGTCTGCGCGACTGTAAGTATGCAATGGCAAAAATTCCAAAATTGCTTTACACTTCATTTATGTGTCTAGTTTTTTATTGACATTTTAAAATATCAATGAGAGACAATGAACCAGGAACTTTCTTGGATAATATAATTTAGCAACTGCAATGAAAATACCTCTGTTCCTGGATGCACTCTGAAAATAGTCTAACTTGGCAGTCTAATTTGGACCTTTATAAATCCACATAGAAAAGCTAAGGATGCAGCCTTGCAGTTACTTCTGCCACCGCTGGTGTAAGCGCGCCACGCTTTGAGGGCGTTCTAAAGAGGTTCTCATGAAATAGTTGGCCTACTCTTCCCACACTTTACACCACCGTGAGTAGACGGCCATTTGACTAACTGGCGGTTTACCCATTTATACTGCTGAGTGGACAGGAGCGCGGGTGGGTCATAGGGATTGAATAAACTTGTCCCTGTTGCTTTCAACTGGTGCTCCAGGAGATTGGATCTGCGACCTCTGCATTGCAATTCCAGTGTGCTAGCCATTATGCCGGGGCAGCATCACTTTAAGCATACTTAGCATTTCTTGCGAAAGTTTATCGGCATTTATAATTGGCAAATGACGCTTCATTGCCATTTTGGATGTGGGTTCCCCAAGAACGTTTAGGTCAGCTGTTGATAAACTTCGTTCCTCGAACTCATTATCTCACCTGACCCACCACCCTTCGCCAATATATTTTATTAACTGGTTAGTCATCCTTCATATTGAGGTGTACATTATAGTGTGCTCATTAATAGGCATGTAATGTTTCCACCCCTCGTAAATTTGCGAACCGTCACGATGTGAGGTAGTGTTTGACTTAAGGAATCGATTCTCGCGTTTCCTTTGCTAATTTAGAGCCTCTAGTGGCTGCATCGTTTACGTGAACTAATTTCAAAGTGCATTTGTCAACTGACAGTAATCGAGTCTTACACAGGAAATTCTGTAACGTGTGTCATGAGCTCAAGAATCATATTTGATAAATTGATATGTGCCTACATATTGCACGCACATGTTAATCGGTACGCAGGAGAAGTTGTAGCGGGTTGCGGTTTCCAAAACGGGCATTTGTGAATCGTTGTTCTCAACTGCCAAATACGTATTTCACAATCAGAATGTTTATTGAGACTTGAGGAATCCGATGAGCTATGAAGCTCTTTTTAACACATGTCTATTTGGGGTGGGTCAGCAAGTTGCAATAACAAACAATACAACAACACGTTAGGAGTGCAAAATATATAAAAAGGGTAAGCACCAAGCTTGGGCAAGGCAGTAAAAGCAACAACAAAAACAACCCCATGCCACACCAAGATTACACCACACCAATATAACACCACACAGTAGTATCTCAATAAAATTTCACTTGGACATTGAACTATCGATACACGGGTGAGGATCGTTGTATCCACATAGTGCATTTCACCACATGCTGAGTAGACTTATCCACAGTTCTAATCCACCTGATGATTACATAATTAGACTAATCATTCGGTGAAACTGTTGGCAGTAGGTGCACAAGCACTGCTTACAGAAACACAACACATTCGCCAACAATGCTTTAAAGGAAAACCATATATTGCATTTCAAGAAAGTTTTAGCGAAAAACGTGGCACATCCGTCACTACATAGCATTGGTGGATGAGCTGCATGCGCAGCGCGGATCGCTTAGACACGAGGTTAAACTCGGCACACGATGCAGCGGTCTTCACAAGCGGGGGGGGAGGGGGGGCGCGTCTTTTGTTTCTGCTCCGTGGTGACGGTGATGGTGGCGGTGACGGTGATGGTGTCATCCGCCGCCGCTTTCGCGCAGGCTGGGAGAGGACGACAAGGTGCTGCTGTGGGAGAAGAGGCACCACCTCCATGCTCAGGCGAACGCGCTGCCTTGGCTCCTAGCCAGCGCCCCCAGTTGGCAGTGCTCAGCCCTGCCCGACATCTATGCCCTGCTGGGACACTGGCCCGCCCTCTCGCCTGTGCACGCCCTCATGCTGCTGCACTCCAAGTAAGCCTCCCGATGAAGTAAAGCCCGTACGGTCGTAATCATCATCGGTGTCATCATCATCAGCATCATCAGCATTGTCAATCATGATCGATCCACTGCTGGATGAAGACCTTCCCAAGCCGCCGCTATCTCTCGCCGTCCTGCGGTGTAAAGATCCACATGGCACCTTCACACCAGCACCTCTGATTAGCATGGTTGGCCACGTACGGTGCGAAAGAAGTTCAACATTTTAACGCAAAATATATCATTGCTCCATCTCCTCGGTGGACAGTTTTTACTACAAATAGCCTTGTTTTCTTTGTGGAGCTAATAATGCCGTCGTCTGGCCGAATGGCACGGTGGCTAGCAGTTAGGGGTTAAGCCATCTTTTTAGAAAATAACTGCCACTTGGTAAAAAGTCAGCAGTTCTATCAAAATTGATCCCTGCCGTGGGAATCTTGTTATTTCAGCCACTGGCATCTGGCCGCTAACAGAGATTAACATGGCCCCACGTTTTAGCTGCCCATTTTTGTCAACGTTCCAGCATGTTGTGGTGTCATAGACTTCTCACATGCGAGCCATTCACTTGACAGGAAATGCATTAAACCCTTCCGAAAGAAAAACATTGTCACCAGTAGGACTCATGTCCTTAAACTCGCAGCAGCCCATTGCACCGCTTTGCACCGTAATTCCCGCTCACCCACGTGCCGGCACGCTTTCTCGTCTGGCTGCCCACGTGTTCCCGTCTTCAGCTTTGCGGACCAGGAAGTACGGCGTACGGCGGTGGAGTGGATCGCGTGCGTGTCTGATGACGAGCTTGCCGACTACCTGCCACAGCTGCTGCAGGTGCCGTCACTCTGCTCCACATAAACACACGCAACCCTCGTTGTCAGTCAGAGCAAATAATCACGAATACATAATGCTCCAGATTTGAAGTTTTCGTGACTGCAAGGATCCATACTCTTTGGTTCTTTTGGTAAAGTTACGTAGATGAAAAAAAAATGAAAATAACTAAATTAAATCACGACATTTCGGAGGCAACACAAGCTTCCGTCATCAGATGGAACAGTCCCAGCAAAATTACTGCAGTGAATACAGTAATCTTGCTGTGGCTGCTCCACCTGATGACGGAAGCTTGTGTTGCCTCCGAAACGTCGTTATTTAATTTAGTTATTTTCATTTTATTATTATTTTTATTTTTCATCTACGTGACTTTACTGAAAGAACCAAAGAGTACATAATGCTCCGTCCTGTGAAGCTGCACATTCCACCTTCAAGTGGGTGGAGCGTGCAAAAGACTCTCACCTGCAGGGATATGCGGTGGCAGTACAGGAAGTAGGTTGCTGGCCACTGGTTTTTAAATGTTCCTGCGTGTGGGTTACCCCCACTACCTTGGTGCCCCCTCCACGTACTAAAACACTCTATACTCAGCTGGTTTAACATGTTGAGCAGAAGCTGTTTAAAATAATATGGAGACTCATGAGGTGTCCATTTACTTAAAAAAAATGTTCTCGATTTGAAGTTTTCGTGACTGCAAGGATTCATACTCTGGTTTTTTCGGTAAAGTCACGTAGGGGAAAAATTAATTAATTACATTTTTTTAAAGAAATTTGTTATTTTATGTACATATTGATTGATTCGTAAGGTTTACCACTAAATATCACCGTTGCAGGTGCGAGGAACGGTTTAGTTCTCGTGTTTTTTAAATACGTGATCTGCGTTGTGTAGGCATTGAAGCACGAGTGTTACCTGGACAATGCTCTCATGAGGTTTCTACTGGGAAGGTCCATGTCGAACATCCGAATAGCCCACTACCTCTACTGGTGAGTAATATGCCTCTCCATTGCTTGCCTTGCACAGCTAACACTTAATACCTGTTAAGACGGTTACATTTTAACATCTGCTGCACTCAATCATGGTCACTATATTGCGGCAGAACTTGCACTTGAAACATAAGTGGGTAATAATAGTCCACTGGTTTGCACAACAGGTGCACACTGCCTTGCTTTGCTGTGTTACATGTCTGTCCTTTTTATTTTCAGAGCGTTGTAGTCGTATTTCAAATGCAGTCTAATTGCGTTTGTCATCCCCTTTGTTGACACAGATGAAGAGCATTACTAGCATAGCCTGCTCAGGTATAATGTTTATTTGTTTTAGTAAATCAAACTGGATGCACACAGTGCATGATGTAAGAATGCAATATAAAATATTAACCTAGTGTACTGTTTTAGTTGTGGCGTCATCTATCGCCATGTCCAAGATTTGCCTTTGGTGTCTCTCATATGTACTTCACTTATCCTTGACAATGCGTAATAATAATTGAAAACTTCTAATTTGGAGAACACAGCAGAGATAAGAAACCTATCTGGATTTCGTGTGCAACATAATTTTCCCTACAAAATGTAATATACAATCTAGAATGTATTTCTGAGTTTAGGAATCTATAACTTAATTGACCAAAATCTAAATCAGTGAGATTCTAACAGCAGTAATCTTTTAGACAGACTGGCTCATGTCATGGTAATGTGGAATTTCTGCTGCCAGTCCAGGGCCAGTAACGCAGATGTTCAGCTGCCACATTGCTCAGCAGATTAGAGATTATTCAACTTGGCCTCGCGTGATTGGTCAAACTCGACTTCCCCCATCCCCCATCATCTTCATCACTACATATTCTGTATTCTGCGGAATTCCATGCAGTACATCACAAAATGCTCTGTGGCAGTCTGAAGGGGTACACCCTGCGGCAGCTATCCCTGTGCGGCACAAGGCGAAGGCAACACCGGCCCGCAAATGTGCGTTAGTCTGCCAGTACGGGGCAATGTTGCCATGTGGCAATGAAACAATTTGCGAGCAATTTATAAAAGAAAAAATTCTCTATTCCGCCAGCGCGCATAGCCGCTTTTTTTTTTTAATAACGTCACAGGAGCTTCATTGTCCACTCTGAAGCAGACCAACGCGTTTATACGGTCTTTACACACGCACGCAGTATTAACCAGGGCAGCCCCTGGGCCCAACATGTGAACCTCTGCAACAAGCGGCGAACGCGCGAACGCGGGGTTATGTCACCGCCCCATGTTCTTTCCTATGGATTAACAACAGCAGATTAAAGATGTAATTTTAGATTTGTTATCCACTCATGTTTGTCCATTCCTCCTTGAAAACAGATCTTGACAATATGGTCTGGTTTGGGATTCGTGGCCGCACTCGTAGGCCGCCGAATCTTTGATGCGTCATTTGATCCTCATGGTGGTACCCCGGGGTACCAAATAATACAAAATGGCCGAGGCAATTCAATATTTTATTTCTGGGACACTATTTTTTCCAGGGGTGTACTTAACTCTGCGACTGGGGTACCAATAAATCCAAAATCAGTGCTACTCCGCGATGTCGAAACGCAGCAAGCACGATTGCTCTGAAACCCTGAACGCTCGTACGCACCATAGCGGTGCATCGTGTACAGCTCGTCGAGATGAGTCGATTGTCGCATCGCCGACCATCAACAGACTAAAAATGACTGCATCACGGACATTGTGAGAGCCGGGGTACTCCGGTACGCCGGGGTACCGCCATAAGGTTCATTTGCACATCAGGTGGCCGCATCGGCCAAGCCTTGTCCTGATTCGCCCCATCGCCACTTATCCTGCCATCCCCCCCTCACCCCCTTCTGTGGCTGCATCACCCAGGCTTCTGAAGGACACGTTGGAAGACGGGCATTTTGGCGGGCGCTCCCACCGTGTGCTCGGCGCGCTGCTCTGCTGCTGCGGGCGCACGCTGCGCCACGACCTTGAGAGCCAGACGCGGCTCGTGCACACGCTGGCCACCGTGGCCGAGAAGGTGCGGCAGGCAACTGGCTCCACCAGACAGGTAAGGGCACACCGAACGCCGGCAGCTGAGTTCCAGCGACATTGTTATATTGCAGGTTCTGACCAAAGCTGTAGTCGCAGCAGTAGTGATCGTTGGTCATTTCTGTGACACCCTGCTCAGATTAGCAATGGAGTGGTGCTTGTGTCCATTGGCTGCCCTCCGGCATCTACGATTTAGCATTGTTGGCTACGTACAGTGCGAAAGAAGTTCAACATACCTACATACAACTGGGGAAATGCCACATTTGCACAGTGCAAGTGCATGTTGGGTATGTGGTCGTTTTGGCGTTCTCTGGTTTACACTGGTGAGACATGGTCTTACAGAAGGCTGTCTCTGTGTAGACCAATCAGTTCGGGGACAATGCATATATAATTATCAGAGCATGTTTTGTTTGCATGTTCATCACAAGTACGTGTGGTTAATGCAGACGGATTCCTGGCAAAAAGTTTCTATTTGGTGTTTGAACATCTTAACAGCTGTTTTATTGCCAGAAAGGGTAAATAACATGTGGTCCTGTTCAGCCATATTGTAAAGAGGAGCATGAAGCGGTCATGCTCAGTAAATAATCATCATAGACCAATTGATTAAGATCAATTCTCATGCTCATAATGCATGCATTGAATGGGGTTGCATAAGAATTAATCTTTTATGATTTATGGATATCATATGATGAGTCTATACTAATTTCAGCTGCTATGGTGACAGAATAATTATCTGTCTGTAAAATCTAGACAGATAATAATTATTTAATAAATCAAATCACGACCTCGCATTGCGACAAATCGCCGTGTGGGTGAATCGCCTCATCTCCATATAAATAAAAGGCAAAGTTGTGAATGTGTGTCTGTTCAAAATGTTTCGCGTACTTCCCGACATGCAACAAACTTTAAATTTGTCATGTGGGTACTTTCCAGACTGTACACCATGCACAAATTATAAAAAAACACTTTTGGTTTTTTTTTTGGGGTGGGCGGGAGCTCAATAATGCATATATTTTTTTCACAGCAAGTGAGCTGTGACGTAAAATCTGTCACGTGACCCGCGCATGTGGAAGCGTAACGCATTCTAGTGTCGCGGTTAGCGAGCTGCGCTACGAACCCGGCGACCCGAGTTCAATTCCCGCTCATGGCCACCACTGGTGATGATTATTTGGGCCTCCCCTAGGTCGACTCAGCCTCAAACAATTAACCGGTGTGGTGTGTGAACATCGTCACTGGGGAGACAAAGGTGGCCGGGCGTGGTGGATCCAAGTCCCGGGCGAAACCGGGTAGTACAGCTAGTTCCTAATAACCAAATGAACATTGTGCACGGTGGTCACTGTGTCCCGACAGGCCATGCTGCAGGAGGGCATGGAGAAGGTACAGCAGACGTGCTTCCGAAACGCTGGCAGCTCTCGTCTGCCCATCTGCCCCAGCCTGGCAATCCGCGGTGTCAACCAAAAGGTGTTGCACTTACCTTCTGGCTTCTCATATTGTTGCCGTAATACTTTAATTCACACCTCGGCCATTGCATTCTACTCTGACATACGATGGCATTGTATTTTTTCATTGTTCAGTGATACCTGCCACTGGTCCTCGGTGTGTTTTTCAGCCTATCGTAGACTTTGTATCGTAGACATGCAATATAATTAGAGTTTCTTGGGACGAGCGATATCGGCAGCTGCTTAAAGAGCCCCACAAACACGATTGGGGAGGTGTGATAGATGCACTCCCTGTGCCCACAACGTTGCCACACTCTGATTCTTCGGCTGCGATGCATTGCTGCGTGTCACCACTGGCATGTAAAATATCCCTTGCGTGTTTTATTGTATGTTTCATTTTACAAAAAAAGGGTCTGTGTTTCTCCGTTAGGCCTGCTCTTTCTTCAATTCCAACGCTGTCCCTCTGAAAGTTTCTTTCCTCAATGCTGACCCATCTGGAGAGGACATTCAAATCATGTTCAAGGTGAGACGCCCAGCCTCGCTTGCAGTGTGAAGTCACAACTGGTGAGGGTGTGGCACTGAGTTCAGTGGGTCTGGGCTCCAGAGCTCAGAACACACACACAAACAGGTTTTAAATGAAAGTCCAGCTTTTATTATTTGAAATTTGTGTGGGCATACCTCGTTAAAACACGTTTGGGTTGCGTCCTTGAAAACCTGAACATAGAGTGAAAAATCGTACTGTATTATCGAAGCGTATTTTCGCAATAAGGTCCCATTTAATTAACCGAATTTGCATTACTAACAACATATTTTCTGACCAAAATCCTGCTAAAATAACACTCTCCAACGCAACTAAGATCTATTGATGCAAAAATGTGTGGAATAATAACTCGACGTGTATTTTATACTACATATAGTATACACTACAATTTACTAACCAGAAACTGTGGTGCCAGTCATGTGAGGTGATGCTCTAGCGCAGTGCTCTTCATTGCAAGGCCCGCGGGCCACTGGCTGCCCCTGGTGGCCTTTAGTGTGGCCCCTGCCGTGCAGCCCTCAACAATACACAAATTACACAAATGTGAAAACACCCCCCCCCCCCCTCTAATCGCCCCATCCTGCTGTCAAACCCAATGGTTTCAAATGTGTGGTAGCCCTCTCACTGATATCTTATCGGCGAAAGTGGAGCCCTTCTGAAAATTAGAGAAGAATACTGCTCTATTTAAAGCTTTCGTGACTGCAGGGATTCATCTTCTTGGTTCTTTCGGTAAAGTCACAGTAGAAGGGAAATAATAAAATAATAAAATAAAACATAATAAAATACAATTCTCACGACGTTTCAGACGCTGTCTTTCCTACAGACCTGTTCTTCACCTGAGGACGGCTGCTTGCGTCGTGGCCGAAACGTCGTGAGAATTGTAATTTATCATGTTTTATTTTTATTATTTTATTATTTCCCTTCTATGTGACTTTACCGAAAGAACCAAGAAGATGAATACTGCTCTCGTGAAAGGGGGAGGGACTATGGAAGGGTGAGGGATGGGGATTAGGAGAGTCTCCCTTCCCCTGTGGAACATCAAACGTAATAACGAAACAAACACGATATGAACCCAATTTAATGTATTTATGCCAAACATAATAATGATGAATAATTGTAAATAAATACACAGAAATTGGGAATCGCTATCAACATTCAATGCGAATATTAAATATTTATGGTGCTGTCTGTGTGTTTAATCAGCCTACAGTATTATGCATATTGTTGGTCTATAATTAAACACGTAGAATTGTATCTCGAGATATTGTGCCACAGGGCAGGTGGTAGAGGCAACTACATTATACCGGGGGTACATGCTGGGAGAAAGGAATTTTCAGTAGGGTCATAATGGTTTTATCACTGCGATTAACACACCACAGGTGTATAATGAACATATTAAGGATGGAGAATACATACGGTGAAGTACTGCAAGACATAGAATTAAAATAGCACCAGGCCCAGGTCAAGAAAAACTTGGGCAAAGGCAAACTAGAATATGAAAGTCTTTAGTCCGGACTTGGCCAGAGGGGAGTCAGTGGGAGAGACGGCCAGTGGTTGTGGGCAGATGGGTAGAGACCTCAAATTGAGTGGACGTGTATGGGAAGAATGAAGAGAAAAATCCTCGATTTTAATTGATATAAACAAATGTGCCCACTAACTTCTCCCAATGTATAAGAGGTGATGTGCGTGTGTTCCCCAGGCAGATGCTCACTTACATAACACTCTGTGCTTTAACACTCTGTGTGGATAAGAGAAGAGGTCTTTGTCTCTGTCTCGGGCAGGTGGGCGACGACCTGAGGCAGGACATGCTGACCCTGCAGATGATCAAGATCATGGACAAGATCTGGCTGCAGGAGGGTCTGGACATGCGCATGGTGTTGTTCAAGTGCATCTCCACTGGGAAGGAGCGGGGTCAGTGTGGCCACAGTCTCTCATGAATTGTTTTGAACAGACAGATTGACTGCGGTACAGCACAGTGTTGACCTATTCTTATCATCATCATGGAGTCTTAATGTCCTTCACACAAGTGGACATTATCCTGGTTAGCTAATTACAGATTGTTATACTTGGCACGTGCCATCGCGATGAGTAGACGGGACTGCCAATGTTGAGCAGCGGTTAAATTGTACGATGGAGCTGGTGTTCTGCCGCCTTGCAAGTAGCTCAACGAACCAACTGCACAGCCCCGATTCTTTGCCCCGATGCACGTAATATTTTATTTTGGATCCCTTGGCCCTTCTAGCCACCAGGCATTACATACCTACGGTGCAAAAGAAGTTCTAAATACATACAAAAACAGTCAACTATTGTATTTTATCGTGGTGTCCCCCCCCCCACCCACCTCCGTCTTATGGCAGTTAATCGAATCGCATGGCGTTCAATCGCTACAAGCCAGGCCATTCCCACAGGGTAACGTCTGCCGTGGGTTGCGCGTGTGCCCATGCACGCGTCTCGTTTGCAGGCATGGTGGAGCTGGTGCTGGCCTCGGACACTCTGCGGAAGATCCAGGTCGAGCACGGGGTGACGGGCTCCTTCAAGGACAAGCCCCTGGCCGAGTGGCTGCAGAAACACAACCCCACCGAGCAAGAGTACGAGAAGGTGGGCATCGCTCGCTCTCACCGCAGGAAGTGCAACTCCGGTGCGGCCGTGTTCCGTGGCTCGCACCTGAACGAAGGTTACGGGAGGCATCCCCGTTTCCGATGCTATGCTTGTTTTCTTGATGTAGCAAAAGGAAGGAATTGACAATGTGGTGTAGTGGCATCGATGACATTTGCAGTGATTATCTCTTGACCTTTTATTTTTTTTATTTTGGCTCTACGGAAGCATCTTTTCTGCATACATGGAAGCAGTGTGTTACGAATTGACATTGATTCTGCCGCTGCGCCCAGCGAGTTGCACTTTTGCGAGGCCATTGCTGTGGGATTGTTGGTTTTCCATCACTTTCTCAGATGCGTTTTAACATGATCTGACTATTTGACTATTGTAATAGGTTAACCATAATTTTGTGGTAGTCAAGTTGAGACCTCTAAATCAACAACTGTCTTTGACCTACAATGACATCTTAAATAATTAAATAGATTGATAGTTAATCCTTGAAAGTATTGATTAAGATTTTGAAAAAAGGATGGTGAATATTCTTGGGTCTTTCGGTAAAGTCATGTAGATAGGTTCAAAGAAAATAACAAAAAATAGCAAAAAACTACGACGTTTTGATCGCAACACAAGCGTTTGTCATCAGGAAAAGGATGGTGAAGTGAAGCATACTGCACTTAAGAGCCAAGTGACCTCAGTTCAAATCCAGGACCATGGTTAACATCAGTGGCGAGTGATATCTCGACACCCTCTCGCTAACCCACACTGACCGGTATATTCCCAACATGATGTGGGTTGTTTGGAGTGTTTTTAATTATCACTTCAATTAAATGTATTTCTACAACCATACAAGAGCCCGTTGCAGATCCGAAGGTCTCTCTTTGTAAGAGGACCTGAGGAATGGGTCCAGTTTTTGCCCTGCTTATGAAATCCCGAATCTGCGCGGGATCCCCGATGAGCGAACGTTCCCCGCTGAGCGGTCGAACCGCGTCGTCTGTGCCGCCGCTGCTGTGCACCAGGCGGTGGAGAACTTCATCTACTCATGCGCCGGCTGCTGCGTGGCCACGTACGTGCTGGGCATCTGCGACCGGCACAACGACAACATCATGCTGCGCACCACGGGGCACATGTTCCACATCGACTTCGGCAAGTTCCTGGGTCACGCGCAGATGTTCGGCAACATCAAGCGGTGAGGGAGGGCCAGCTGAGCTCTCACTGGGCTATAAATAAAGACACAGATCCCCCATATAGCCTGAGCAGACTGTTGGGGCAAGTGCTGTTAGCAAGCACCTATGATGGCCAGCACGACCACTTTGGGATGGGTAGCCAGCACCACAACCTTTGTCTCCCCAGTGGCAATGTTTTCACATTGCACCAGGTACTCATTTGAGGGTGAGTCGACCTATGGAAGGCCCAGGACAATTAATTTACATAATTGTCACTGGTGTGGCCGTGAGTGGGAATCTAACTCTGGTCGCCAGGTTGGTTAACCTCTACACTACCACTCCCCACTGGTCTCCATCCATACACACACACACACACGCGCGTGCACAACACCCACCTGCCTTCCTCAGTAACTTGCAGATTTGGAGAATGTTCGACTCACAAGAGTTTAGGTTCATAAAATGCTCCTAGCACATGGGGCACAACGTAGGACATCGCGCCCAACAACACGAGCGGTACAACTGTAAAACACAGGAGAGCTACACAACACAATCGCAGAACATCTATGCAGTAGTTTAGCAATCCTTTATTAAACTAAAACTATTACACTATTTTAATGTTGCCAGGTGAGGCCTACTGAGCTGTATAAATGTTTTTCAGAAGCGACCTGGCCACAAATGACAGCTCAATGAAGTGGCTTATCACGTGGAAATGTATAGCAGCCAAATACTCTAAATGAATGCTTATGCTAAATGTGGAGGGAAAACCAGAGGATCTGGAGAAAAATCCACTCAACCACAGGGAGAGAGATAGGCAAACTCCAAATATACAAACAGGTGTTAGGGTCGGGATCGAACCCACGAACCTCCTGCATACCAGGCGAGGTAGCTAACATCTCGCCACCATGACGCCCCACTGTTGTTAAAGCCGCATAAGCACTGCCGACTGCTGTCCGTACCCTGCAGTGACCGGGCGCCGTTTGTGCTCACGTCGGACATGGCATACGTGATCAATGGTGGGGAGAGGCCCACCAGCCGCTTCCAGCACTTTGTGGACCTGTGCTGCCAGGCTTACAACCTCATCCGCAAGCACACCAACCTCTTCCTCAACCTCCTCGGCCTGGTACGATCGCAAGTGCTCTCAGCAGTGATTGCCAAAGGCTTCCCCTCTTCTCTCCAAGAGTCGTCTTCGTTGCTGCCATAGTCGTAAATGGTGTTGCCTGTGGTCAGAATCAGAATCTTTATTTATCCTGGAGAAATCCGATGGGCCATGAAGCTCCTTGTCACAGATGGTCGCTGGTTCTATGCACGCGTTATTGTGCTCACTCGGAAAAGTGTACACCGACATGGCCGCTCTTGTGCCTCTGACCAAATCACCCATCGTGCGCCCGACCTCGTCAGTTCTCACTAAGCAGCAAGGCCGTGCCTGGATGGTGCTTTGGATTATTGACTACCATGCACAAGCAAAGGGGTTATCAGCGGTGACAGCCATGTGGTGGGCAGTAGCGGGCCATTTGCAGAAAAATCCATGATTCTCCCATACTCTTGCCCTCCCCATCATCACCAAACCCTCGCTGCCAGCGCATGGGTAAAGTACAGTCAAATAACCCCCCACATGACCTACACAGCGTGCGGAGGCCTTCTTCCAGCAGTGGATTAACTAAACACTGTATTCATGGCTAATATGCTCGGTCATTTTATGTGTTGTATGCTTTAGATGCGGCAGCATACATGTTACACGTATAAGCTTTAAATCCAATTTTTTGTAATGAATATTAGCTTAAGTAAAAAAAAAATGGCCTGTTTGCCTATCATTGAGAAGATGTACAGATTTTTTATTGATTTCTATAGCAGCAACGTTTTATATTCACATTCATGTGTAAAATGCTTATATCAAACGTGTTTGAGATTTCATGGAAAGGGTTACTGGTGAGGATATGGACTGGGGAATTATCCACGCAATTATCCTGCATTTGCGGAGCCTAATCTGTACACCTTCAGTGTTGACTTAGCTGATTCCATGCTCCAGTGCACTGTGCAGAGAATTTGATACTCGCTTAACATTGTCGTTTCAAAGTGGCTAAAAATTAATCTCTCTTGTGACATTGAGCATGAAGCCAATTTTGGTAAATTATTTCTAAATTGTACCACCTCTAACCCCTTCCTGCTCTCTAACATATTTGCTGTCGGTTGATTCTATGTTATCGTTTTACTGCCCGGTTAAACTGAAGCCCCACACAGCTCTAGAAAAATTGTACACCTCGTTTTTCATTACCTGTGGCTGTCTGGATAGATGATGTCATCGGGAATACCAGAACTTGCCGATGTTCAGGATTTGAAATACGTTTATGAAGCGCTGATGCCACAGGCTACAGACACGGAGGCAACAGCCCAGTTCACAAGGTAAGACAATGCATTGATGCTCTTGAAGAGCGCGTACCATTATGTTTTTACTCCGCACGCTCTGGTGAATGATTTCTATACGGCATAGCACCATCTGCTGATGTCTCTCTGCTGTTGCATATGCTTCTGCATTTCATAATGTATGGTGAATTTTCGCACCGTATGTACCAATCGTGGTAATTGGAGGTACGTTTTTTTCCCCCGATTTTTTTTAAAGCATAATGCAGCTTAGTTTTTACCGCATGACCTTCGTTAACAATCCAGTTTTTCCAACCACCCGATGCATTTCATGTTATTATGTAGCAGGCTTCGAAAACCTTGCTACATAATTAAACATGCTACTCTATGCCGATGTCATGACTCGTATTCTGCATATGAACGTATTTAACAAGTCTCAGTGCCCCTGTTAAGAAAAATTATCCAGGCCTTTATTTATTTTATAAATAATGAATCTCGGTTGGTGCTCGCATAAATGGAAATAGGATGATGATAATTTCAAAGCTATAATTCATGTCCGGGTGGAGTGAGCGCTGGTGGAGTGGACTATGCAATGCCCTGTGAACCCAGCGTCCTGGGTTTGACTTCCGTCCAGGGCTTAACATCAGAAGCGAACTGGTTTTGCCACCTCCCTTTCACCAACCTGCACTGCCCAGCGTAGTGAAGTATGGTCGAATGAGAACTCCCCATGACCAACAGGGCACGGAGAGCCCTGCATCCAGCAGTAGATTCACAAAGGGATCTACATTATTCACGTTAATAAATTATCGGAGGAGGTCAACTCAGACATGGAACGAGATCGCTTCTTGAAAAAGAGACTTGGCTTTGTGGGTTCTCACCTGGTGAACTAGCTAGTCAATACAGCTATAGAAATAGCTTGATATTCACAAACTCATCACATTTGTTAATAACACTCGCCTCTAAGGGAACTATAGATAATGGGCAACATTTCTAGCAATGCCCCTTCTTCATGAGAACAGCAGTTGTTCTCTTACTATGAAGAAGAGTTATTTTACTTTTCAAACAGATTGTTGTGACGGCGAGGTGTGACGGGGCTGTTCGTTGGCCGGCGTGTGACTTTGGCTCTCAGGCTGATTGAGTCGAGCCTGGGCAGCATGGCCACCAAGGTGAACTTCTTCATCCACAACCTGGCGCAGCGCTTCTCGGGCCCGCAGACCTCCAACGAGGAGCCCACGCTCTCCTTCAACTCGAAGCAGCACAGCCTGCGCACGGACGGGCGCATCTGCGAGGCGTCCGTCTACGCGTACCAGAAGCGCTACAACCCCGAGAAATACTACGTGCGTCCCACCGCGTCACGGTCACCGCATCGCTAGCGACTCGGCACGGGCGCACTCACCTCACAGGAATGTTCAAGGTGTCAATGATATTCGGCCGCCGCGGTGGCGAGTTGGCAACTACCTCGCCTGGTTTACAGGAGATCGTGGGTTCGATCTTGACCCTGACGCCTGTATATTTGGAGTTTGTATGTTTTCGCTGTGATCGCATGGATTTTTCCCCTCCATGTTGATAATCTAGATGCGTTTATTTAGAGTATTCATCTGCTATAAATTTCCACAGAAGCCTCTTCGTTGAGCTATCATTTGTAGCCAGGCCGCTTCTGAAAAATATCTATATACCACCGTGGGCCTTACCTGGTAAACTAAATAAATAAATTGTATGACTTTGTATAGTTTAGTTCATATTTGGTAGCATTGACCTGCGTACTCTATATTGTTTATATTTGAGAGTAAATTAAGTCATCGTTTGGCTGAGAGGGCTTACTGCCAAGAGTAATCACCACGTGTTGAATTGAAAAGCCTGTTGTATTCATTAAAAAATTACGTTGGGTGACGCGAGATTTTCGCTGTTCAATAGAACTAATTGATAAGCATTTGCTATCACATGTAAGCGATTGCAGTTGGTCAGTTTATCATTTGTGGAAACCTACTGGACATCTGTGGAAAAAGAGATGATTAGCTTGTCTAAAGATGTATGCAGAAATTTTTTTGAATCCTTTAAGGAAATGTGAAATATATATATATTATCGCATGCATGGGATGTCCTTGCTTGCACTTATTGCCTCATTCTAACGCTTCCACCAATCACGCTGCAGATTTACGTAGTGAAGGTGGTGCGGGAGGCCATGCCGGTTCCTACATTCATCCTGAGGACCTTTGCAGAGTTCCAGGAACTGCACAACAAGCTCTGCATGCTCTTCTCATCATTGCTGCTGCCCAGGTAGATAAACATCTGCAAACGGATTTCGTTCAAACGTAGACACAGGCTAATAGCAGCCTGGCATTGCCTCGGTTCTCATTGTCGTGTGACGATGTTGTGTACATGCGCAATTTTTCCTTTTGCTCCTTCAGCTTTCCAAATAAATTGATCTTGGGACGCACGCATGTCGAGGAGGTGGCTTCCCGGAGGAAAACGGACCTCCACAACTACCTGCAGGAACTCGTGCAGTGCAAATCTGACATCACGGAGGTAGGCCCAGCACCACTGCTTCACTGGTAAACATCGCGGTGACCCACTCCCCGGTACCACCATCACTGCGGTGTGTATGGGTTGCGTCGATGCCTTCCAATCCTGCCATGTCCTTCGCACCGGCCTCCTCGCCCTCTGTACTCAAGCTGAAGTTAAACGGTGCAAGTTCGATTTGGTGATGTTGCCTAAAACGATGTTCTCTTCGATTTTGCTCGGTTTCACATTGGCTGCGAAACTGAGTAAATATGGTACTTGATGGCTTTATTAACGCAGAGCGATAAAAATTGTTTTACACAATCATATTTTTTAATGTATTGTGCTGAACAAGTAACAGGCACTGTGCTTGTTGGCTGGATGGCAGTGGTAAATCAAGCGTGACTAAATATTTTGTATTCGTATAAACAACTGGCTGTTGGAAAAGAACATAAAATTTGGCTCTATTTACAATGGTCACTAACACACTCGCCTTGGTCATTTTCGTCGTCGGTGCTTTGTTTTTCCTTTCTTTGCCTTTCTGATCCCCTCTTTCGGGTTCCCTGGGCGAGGGCCTGGGGTCATGAATCCCACGCCTCTACTCTGCTCTGTAGCGACATGGGCCGTGACTTAGCGTAATGGTTCAGCGGTGTGCGACTGCATTGCAAAACAGAAGCCGCCAATGTGCAGCGTTTGTCATGGAAGCGCCGTGCAGCATTTTAAAGAATCCCCGCAAAGACGCGCGCAGGGATGTTTCACCGATTAACTTCAGCTTTTAGAATCTACCCACATCCTGCCTAATGTGATCGAGTCAGTAAATCTACTGCTGGAACCTTTAGCCTGTCAGAATAACGTGTTCCCCTATCTGTGTGTGCATGTTAATGTGCAATAGAATTGTCGCGTGTGTGGAATGCATTACCGTTCAATTAGTGCTTTTTATGCCTTCCTATTCTAGGTGCTGATATAAAATACATATTGTTTAAAAAGGTGACCCATTAGCAACAACTGCGGCTTTTGAAATGATAAGCCACAGTACAAACTCTTTTATCAAAGTTACATTTCATGCAGAAATGTAAAATAAAAAACCACGATGACGGACTAATTTTCATTTTTGTAACGAGTACACCTAATGTGTTGTTTGCGCGTGTGTATGTTGTGTTTGCGCGTGTGTATGCGTGTGCTTGTTACGTAGTGCGACCTCCTGTACACTTTTTTCCATCCGATCCTGAGAGACGAGAAGGTCAAGGAAGAGGTGACCAGACTAAATGGTGAGATGTAAATCCTCATTAATGATGCAATAGTTACTCAAACACAATCTTAAAAAAAAATGTGTAAAACTACATTTGTTCACTGCCATTCATTTTCACAATGCAGCATTTCTTTTGTACGCCATTGTACAAAACTATATTTGATCATGTCATACCACTCATTCCACACTGTGCATACATAACATCTTTAAAGTACAACGTTGCCGATTTTAAAAGCGAAGCAATTTAATTTCGAGCTGCGAATGCAACGTTTAATTTGACGCGTCGCACGCGATGCCACTCCGAGCTGGCGGGGTGTTGCGCCGTGCAGAGGGTTGACGCATTGCCCCCCCTGTTCCCAGCAGAGCCGTTCCCTCAAACGCTGACGGCGGAGAAAGTGGGGGGCAAGGTGAAGCTCTCCGTGTCCTACCGCAATGCCGCGCTGTTCATCATGGTCATGCACATTAAAGACCTGGTCAGTGCAGCCCTCCCAACGTCGCCTCTGCAGCTTGTTCAGCTCGCTATTTTTTATTTTTTATCCATCCTCCACGCGCGTCTATGCTGTGCCCCCTTGTCTCGTAGCGTCCGCTCTGTGGCTTCTATCTCGTGCCACCGTATTCTTCCATCTCACCCTCGGGCTCCCATCTCCTTCTGCATCTCCATAGCCCTTCTGGCTGCATCTTCTTTGTCTTCTTCTCAACATCTCCATAGCCCAATAAGGACGATTGGCTATGTACGGTGCAAAAGAGGTTCACCATAGGGTGGTACATACAACACAAACGCGCAAACCGTCAAAAGTGTAACTATTCTCACCTTGCAGTGCTCTTCAAACAAAACCTAATTTTCCCCGTGTCTTACTGTCAGCGGAAAAATATCTAGAGCAGTGGTTTTTAACCTTTACTGCAGCCATGCACCCCTTCTTTGGTTCTCAATCGTTAAAAAAAGTGTAATGTTAATAAATACGTAGGTTTGAAACAAATTAGTTGTACTTATGTGCCCGTGCTTAATTTGTGTTTTGATGAATTCTCTTCAGGCCATGTCTCGCACCCCCAGAAAGGGCATCTCGCACCCCTAGGGGGTGTGTGCACCCCAGGGTGAGAACCACTGGTCTAGAGGATGGTTAATGAACAAAATGGATCAACTTCACGTAAGAATGTCTGGAACTCGAAATCAAACACCCGTGGATGTGGATAGGCAACCGCTAGAGAGACGCACAGTTTGGGAGCTGGCTATCAGTAGGTGTGCTGCGGCAGCGAGATGTTAACTCCCCCACCTGGTGTACAGGAGGTCGTGGGATCAATCCCGACCCGGATGCCTGCTGTACATTTCAAGTTTGCATGTCCTCCCCGTTGTCACGTGGATTTTTCTCTGGGTCCTCCGGTTTTTCTCTCCGCATTTAGAAACATGCGTCTCGAGTATTTGGCCTCTATACATTTCCACATGATAAGCCACTCCCTTGAGCTATTATTTGTGGCCAGGTAACTTCTGAAAAAGAGCTACCATATACAACTCAGTGGGCCTTTCCTAGTTAAATCAAAATTAGTTTAGTTTTTGGGTGTGGCCGAGGCACGTAGGCAAATGGACTTCCTGCGATGTTAACGAGAGGCATGGCCAGGGAATGAGCGCATGTTGACAGAATTCTGACTTTCGACTATATTTGATGGTGTCTTCGACATGGGTGATATGCGCACAAAGTGAATACGCTCAATGGACTGGTTATATATAACAATAATATATATAATAACAGTTTACAACGGCATTATATTGTAATGCTCGGATTACTTGCGTGGCATGCCGGTAAAAGAGGTTCCAGCACAGCTGAAAATTAAACCATTCCTGCGTGACTCGGAACAAAGTGGAATCATATTCTTAGGTTTTTTCGGTAAAGTCACCAGGTAGGTAAAACATTAAAATTAATAAAAGTAAAATAAAATAAAAATCACGACGTTTCGGAGGCAACACAAGCTTCCGTCTTCAGGGTGGAACCGTCACAAAAAAAAAAGTGGAATCAGTAGTAAAACCAGGATCAACTTATTAAACACATCCAGACAGCAAGTTGGTTTCACGCTTGCCCCACTTAACATTACTACAATATAAAATGCAAAACAATAACATGTCATCTTGATTTGAAGCTTTCGTGACTGCAGGAATCCATACTCTTTGGTTCTTTCAGTAAAGTCACGTCGGTAGAAAAATTAAATATAAAATAACTTTGGTGAGGCACTGCCTTGCCAACACTTACTTCATCTGGAATGGTACATTCCAAAAATAAAATCAAGGTACCCCCTATGGGTTCTCCCTTATCACCGGTGGTAGCGAATGTTTTCATGGAGAAATTTGAAACAGATGCCATCCTGACATCCACCCTACGTCCTTCCTTTGGAAGAGATGCGTAGATGACGCTTTCGTCATCTGGCCACATGGCCAGCCAGCACTGAACCAATTTTTCAACCACATCCATTCCATACACCCATCCATCAAATTCACCATGGAAGTGGAAAATGATGGCAAGCTACCATTCCTGAATGTTTTGATTGAGAAGAGGCTCGTTGGGACATTCCGTCTACAGGAAAGCCACCCACACAGATTCCTATCTAAAGCCTGACTCCCACCACCATCCGGCCCAGAATAACTCCCTCATCAAAACACTGCATCTCCCACCAGCGCCACCTAGCCAGTGAACTGGAGCATGTACACCAAGCCCTCAAGATGAATTGATACTCAGACCGCACAATCTGCAAAGCTGTTTCCCCAACCATGGGGAGACAACCATCTGAGGACTCAATCAAAACCATCACCTTGCCATACATAGCAGGTGTTACCAAAAAGATTTCCAAAATCTTAAACACAAGATCCAGGTCCGATTCAATACAGTACACAATGTGTGATTTGATCCCATCTGTGAAGGATGCCATTCCTGACATGCAATACCCTGGTGTCTACAAACCAAGTTGTGTCTGCGGCAGCAGTTCATTGGGGGAACGAAACGACATGTCTCGGACCGTGTTCCCGAACACAAGGCAGATTTGAAACACGGCAGAACCAATACCTCTGCCGTGGCTGATCATTGTTATAACGCAGTGGGCTCACACCATATTGTTTTTTCCGAGACCAAGGTACTCTGCAAACCTTCGGGCTACCATCAAAGATTTGTCCATGAAGCCATCCAGATATATAAACACAGACAATTTCAACCGAGAAGATGGGTATAAGCTGAGCGATCATTGGAAGGACGTTATTAACCAAGCAAAGTCGTAACTTGCTGCGGTGCTTCCATTCTTCCCTGCCGATTGGCTGTTATCTCCGACTCTGAGTTGCATTGCCCTGTTAGGTGCCTCTGCATTAACGGGCTGGGGTCTCACTAACATGGCCACCTCTGCTCCCTTAGCCTCGATGTGTCGATGGTTCTGGCTGTGTGATGGGCTGTGTGTCTCACTGGCGTGACCACCGTTGCGGTGGTTCTTGCGTGGATGCGCTTGCCTCTCACAGCGCAGTTGGCAGCACCGCAGCTTGTATTACACATATACATGACATTTACCTGCTAATCCCCCTAATCTCTCTGCCTAATCTCTCCCATCAACATAGTGCTAATCTCCCATGAACACTGCTGTTGTGCGCATATGCGGGGACGGTGCTCTTGTGCGGTAACGGAAGCTCATTTCATGCTAATCTCTCTCCCTAATCTTTCTCTTCCTAATCTCCCCCATTAACACACCTGACGTGCTTGCGTTCGGGGATGGAATTCCTTTCCAGCTCAGACCCCGCCTGCTTGCCCTTCGCCACATATATAACCTTGTCGTAACAGCTCTCTCGATGGTTCAGCAGTTCCACTGCTGGATTATTTTTTTCCGCCTGAGGACGACCGCTTGTGTTGCGATCGAAACGTCGTGATATATTATTATTATTATATTTTTCTACCCACGTGACTTTACCGAAAGAACCAAAGAGTACAATAACATTTATTTTACATTCTGGGTGTTGAATGTATGAATGTTGAATTTCTTTGACACCGTACGTATCCAACCCTCACTGAGGTGAGAATTTTTTATCATGACTACAATAACCTAAATCATTCTTCCGTGTATTGCAAAAATCAAGCTGTGATCTGGTTTGAGCAATATTGAATATGATCTCTGTTTTGGAAAAAAAAACGAATTTCAATAACACTGCATGAATATAATTTTGTGAATAAATAATGAGCACATTATATTGTGTGATGCAGGAAGGCCATTGCCAAAAATGTCACCTTGTATATGCTTCTCCCTTCATGGCCACAGTGTTATTGACAAATGTGTTGGTGATTTGTGCTTGTGCGCCACCACTGCCAATGTAGTAGAGTCACCAAATAGTTTTGTTTTGGAAGCTCATGCTAACCACTGTGTTTTCTGGAACATTGCAAAAAAACTGTACCATGCATTTTTAACGCCTGCCCCCTTACCACAATGCCATCTAATCGAAGCTATTTATGATGTAAATGAATTTCCATTTGTTCCCAAAAGGCAGTGCGCTAAATTGCAATGGCACGTAACCGAACTCAGTATGAGTGTGCACACCAAGGACACAATGCGCCGACCTTGCCCGAACAAACGAGTTGGGTCAAGGGATTTATGAACGCTGACGGCTGTCTGCTGATTTTGATGCATGACACAAGTGTTGCCTGTGTTGCAAAGTAAAAGACATTTCACTGTTTAATATGATGGTGCATAATTACCTAATTAAATACGCTTTCAGGCTAAAACTTCAAATGAAATAAATTACATTCGGATATTTTTATCGCTTTTGATAAGCTATGAATAATCACAGTGGTTATGACTCACGTTTAATTATATGATAAGCTCTTTAAAACGCGTGACTTATGGGACAGTGTATTTTAAGGTTCAAATGTAAAGGATGCTTTCGAGACAATTAACCTCCTTTAAAGTGTATTAATATATGTATTGATATATAGAGGTTGAGCTGCAGTGCATCATACGATGTAACTTTTATTACTGCCTATTGCGATTAAGTTTTTTAATGAAAATAATTTTTCTGTACTTTTTGAAAATTCACATTTGTAATTATCTAGCAAAGCGATTGCCACTGATTGCTTGTCTGGCCTCGTCAAGGGTACCCATGGCTGTGGCGTTCTAAGTTTTATAACGAATCATTAATAATTACAGTAAGATGTAATACTGCACTCATTCAGTCAGTGAAGACAGTTGCACAAAATGTATTTCAGCCCAAAAATTCCCCATACCATTTTTACATTAATATGGAAAATGATTGCAATGTCATCGCTATAAAATTACAACTAAATAGGGCACAATGAAAGTGTTATTTTTACATTCACGATTTGAGTTTAATTTTTTACCCAATTAAGCAAAATACATTCTCTGAGAAATCTGTCCTGCTTAAATGTCATTCTCTATGCTTGTTTTTATAAACTATCCTAACAAGTCGCCGTCCTTCATGAAGACTGTTCTATTCTTTATAGTGGATTTCTAATTATGGTTGCTGCCAACGAAACTCTGAATTTACATTCTGGAAGCAAAATCGGCCCTATTAAAGTCACTCGCTCAACTGTCCCATGAAATGTCAATTCATCTCAAGGGTCACAACTGGCCTCTGGTGTGCCCTCTTGCCATTTAAGTTTAATAATCCTATAAATGTGATATGAATACAGTTCACACAGAGCAAAGTTAGAAAGTAAAAAAAAATATTGTAAATGTTGTGGTTTCACGCTTTAACACACCGGTGGGTTAAAGCAGTGAACTATTTGTCTTTTGTCAACGTGACACTTTTTTACTGATTGGCCGTGTCGGGTGGTGGAGGGTTACGACACATTTATAAATAACGCGATCTAAACCCAAAAACGTTGAATATGAATTAGAAATTTATGTAGGACATATTTTGCAGGATCCAGTGACTTCCTTGTTTTATTTATTTGTGTGCATTTCTGTGGTTTCTTCTCACTAAAAGTACTGGCCCCAACGATCGATGGCTACACTGGGATTTCTGTGTATGCACGCAGTGTTGATAATATGGCTACAGACTCACACATTAATTTAAATAAAACTAAGCTAGATTGTCAACCCCTTTGGCCGGGTGTTGCTGTGATACGATTGCTCAACTCTCAATCAAAGATGCAATTTCGAATTCTAGCCTGGTGCCAACTCGATAAACATAGAAATGGAAATGAAAAAATGCAGCCCCATCATACCGTTGCAGTTGATAAAATCAGTTCAGTTGAGTTTATTTCAATGACCCTGTGGGAATTCTGCTAAAGTTCATCCATCCATAGGGAGAGACTTGCCCCCACTATGCGAATGTGGAATGTTGACTACTGGCTCGGGGTTGCCAACAGAGATGAGCATCGCAACCATGGTTGTTTGGGCAGCAAGAGCACTTTGACTCGACGGAGATGCTCATCCCGTTGGTGCGTGTCCATGTAATCTACGCCAGGTGTTCACTGATGGAGCCGATCCAGACCCGTACGTCAAGACCTACCTGCTTCCCGACCCAAACAGAGTCACCAAGAGGAAGACCAAGATCGCCCGCAAGACACTCAACCCCACCTACAACGAAATGGTAAGGGTGCACAAGCAGAGAAGCATTCGGATGTCTCGCACTCTTCACACAGGTATGCCGTCTTGTATGAGCTGTATTTTTAGCAAATTATTCGGGACCGATTTAGCTTTTCCCCATTGTGCGTTTAAGGCTAAATAATGTCACCTGTAACTTTTGCTGTTTTGTTTTCGAGATGTATCTCTCGTTTGCACTCCCAGCATCATGAGAAGTTGCTGAATTTTGATGCTCAGTATTTTTCTTACAAACTGCTTTTTGAGCGTTTCCTCATGCCAAACTTTTGAGTACCTTAGATCAGGCGTGTTTCTGGCAGAGTGAAAAAAAAGAGGTTGCGAGGTACGGGGGCATTTGCGACATTGGCCACAATCACCCTTCGATCGTCACATGTCACAGTTCACACTCTGTAGACAGCCACTGATCTAACCGCACCTTAAAGGTGATGATCGTGAGTTGGCATAGTATCAGCCTGCGACTCAGCTGCTGGCCCCGTGCCCCCTTCCCCCAGCTCGTGTACAACTGCTTCAGCAAGGAGGCTCTGAAGCAGCGGCGACTGCAGCTGAGCGTGTGGAGCGCCGAGGCCCTGCGTGAGAACATCTTCCTGGGCGGCCTCAGCTTGTCCCTGCGGGAACTGGACTTGGACCACGAGACCGTGGGCTGGTTCCCCCTGCAAGGCTCGCTGGGAGAGTAGCCGGCCTGGGATCCGCCCGACCAACCTCCCGCTCCGAGAACAGTTGCGCGCACTGGAGGGGTTTCGCTTGAAGTCGGCGAGTTGAGCGCAGGAGCAAGCGCCCACTCGCCCGCACTGAGGCCGGTTCGCCTGGCCGCTTTGCTCATTCCAGCGGAGGCGGCAATAATAGCAGCAGCAGCAGCAACTCCGTGGTGCTAAATTTCTGAACGCGAAAATAACAATAACCGAGTCTGCTGAGGCAGTGCCTGCACAGGCTGAGCCCGCGTAGCTCGCAGATGTAATGCGTTGTGACCCCGTGGTCGCTGGCTTAAATGTTATAGTTTTGTGGATGGGGGCAGCGGCTGATGGCATCGAGCATCAATCGGCAAGCCGACGGGAGTGGGAGGGACGCGACTGAAGACGATGCCGAGCAGGGCGAAGGACTGACTGTGGAAACACCGACAGTTCTGACGTGTCATCTCAGTCACACACTGCTTAAGCCATTTACCAGCCATAACTCCCCTCCAATAACCTTGCTCCTAAGTGGGAGTACAAGGTTGGTTCGCACTTGCCAGTGTTAGTGCATTCCACTATTTTCTTTATCCGCGAGCACAGCCGAGTGCCTTCTTGCTCCAAACAATGTAAATGACTCGTGGATATTCGCATGTGAAAACCTCCAAGCAACCATCTGCTGCATGAAATACCATTGCAGTCACTGACAATACGTCTTGTCGATAATGTTAACAGGCGCCGCAAGCCTCCGAATGGGTTCAGTCAGATACCGCCTCTTGGGGGTTTAAATCCAGATTTCTTTTGTCAGTAGGAAGCTGGCAGTCCTCAACACGCATATTGATGTTTCAGCTTGAGGCGACCCTGACGACAACTTCTAGAACTGCCCAGCGTATGGCCACTGGTTATTTCCGTGGACACCACCTCGTACAATAATGAAAGTAAGTAATAGTTTTGTGCAACCGCACACTGCAGTGAGATAATATAAAGTCACGAATGGGGTTGCAGGTTTGAGAACGTTGACACTGCTGTTGTGTCTACAAGATGATTTAAGCGGAGCAAAAGCATGCTCGTGCAGTTTTAATGAGCAACATCGACAGCAACATTGCAGTTGTGATAGCTGACTTGGAGACGGTGGCTTCTGCTTGCTTCCCAGCTGTTGAGGTCAACAGATCCTCGGTAATGGCTTTGAATACCTTGCAATGTCAGTTCTTTGATGTCGTAGCTCGCTGTTCTAGTAACATAAATACATAATGCACTAAGCAAATAACAAGCCACGACATTTTCCTAACCTTTCAGTCGGGGCAAGAATGGACATTAAAATTATTATTAAAAGGCACTTGCAGTTGACCTTTTAACAATACAATTATGCCAGACAAATTAGAGTTATTCCATTGTTTGCTATTTTTTGCAATGCTGCTAAACAACCTGCAGCTATAAAAAAAAAATGTCGTGTAAATGCGAATTCATGAAGTTTCTCTGTTTTTTTCTGGACAAAAGTGGTGCACGTCGTTATTTGTGAGCGCCCATGAATAAAGAAACAGACGGTGATGTTGAGAACGAGGCGGTGATGTTGAGAACGAGGCCGTGACGATGCCGCGATGGTTACTTGTCAGATGGACGATGCAGCTTATTCTGAAGGACAACAATGGAGTAACTATGGCCTTGAAATTCCCATTACTGTGAGGGCTTGAAGGGGGGGACCAAATGAGCATGCCCGCACCGGTATCTGATCCCGTGCGGGTGTGGAACACACCCACGCGACGTAAGCAGAGGCAAATGCGCCTGCCCTCGTCGGCGAATTGCTGCGACTCGTGTGGACACGGCCCCAGCCGACGACTACTGGGGGATGAACAGATGAGGCATTATGGGCCACTTGTAGGAAGGCTTTAACCGGACGGGATTGTGCGCGTTTGTTTGGATCGATGTCACGTGCCTTTTGGGGGGGTGACTTGCCGCGTGCCAGCAAGGCGCACAACGGAGGAAGGCAGCAATGCCAGGCATTATTGTTGAATGTAACACTCCACGAGTTTACACCGCGCTGGAGCGTGCGAGGTGAAGTGTGTGAATTGTTGTTCACTTCAGACACCAGCCTGTGGCAACTTGCTAATCGCACATCGCTCGATGAGAAACTGTTGAATGGTTCGTCTGAACGAGAGAGGCGCGAGTGAAAAGGGTAATGCGCGCACACAAACGCAACGTGTTTTTTGTGCTCTTGGAGAGTGCACGCTTATCCGTAACCAAAATTTGTACGAGTTCATTGAGAGCATGCAGACACCGTGCCTGGAGGTATCTGAACGTGACATCACGTCCAATAGTCGGTCACGTGAAAGGGAATTGTTCATGGTGCGTTCGAGTTTGTGAAGTAGTTTTTGTTTTGCAGCTGCAGGAAATCCGCTCGCGCGTTTCGGATGAGATAATATGAACGTACGGTCAGTGCATTGAACTGCGATTCGGCGGGGTGAGGGTGTGTGTAACCTGTTGGGGGTAGTGTTGTTCACAGCCTTGTGCGAACGAGGCCAGCAGGTGCGCACACGCACGCGTATGGGCCCTCATTCTCACGTTTCTGGTATCTGCACTAATTACCTATGTTTCCCACCCCCACTGGTTTATCCGACATACATGCTTCCACTCCCCCCCCCCCCCCTTTATATTGTGTACAGCGCCTTGGAATGAAGTTGCATTGATATGCTGCAAGTTCAAATGATAATAAATACAAATCTGTACCGATAATTAGTTTGAGATTTCTAAAATGGTTAAAACGACTGAATTTGATGGACCAATAACTTTGTGTAATGCATACACTGCTTTATGCACCAAATTGCTCACAAAGAAAGCTAAGCAATATTTAAATTATCTTGGGAATCTGTGTGTGTCTTTGCTTATAAAACACCAAGGCATACAGAGCCGGTATAGTTACATTCACGTGAAGAGCAGTTGCAGTGAACTGCAGGCACCTTATTCATGATGCTTCACCGTTACGCAACGCATGTCCGCTCTGCTTTTCTTCGCTTAGTTCTGTGATGATGTCTTGAGTGCCAAATAAATTGAGAATTTGTCACAACATGAAGAATATAAGTGTTAGTTAAGGGAATTTGTGAAAATCTGAAACCTCGCTCGTTTGTTTGATTTGTTGCAGTATTTTGTTATGTTAATACGTTTTAGCACTAACCGTTTAATATTTGCGCGTATTTCTCCAACAAGCATCAGATCCTATTGTTATTTTAACACAAGCACACTCCATGACTGGGAAATTGCAAGAACAGCAATTTAGTTACCCGATCACGAATCACGACTAACCAATGTTTGACTTTTTTATGTACTTCATAGATACGTCTCATTAATTCTGATTTAAAACTACTTTTGTCAGTTCATTTACCTATCAATTGTGTTAATTATTATGAATGTGCAAATTCACTGCTCCCGAACATGGCCCTCTATCACGTCTCGTGGATGAATAGGCCTCATTATATTTGATCAATGGTTATTTCGTCTCTGATGAGGTTTTATGTCCCTTTGATTTAGCCTAATCAAACAACGCTGTACCATTAAGGCAGTATTGCCACTGACCTTTCATTCCTACAGTTAAGTCAAACACTTGGGCACCAGTAAAACAAATGTTGAAATGTTTCTCAAATGTTGAAGAAAAAATAACATGTTGCCAGTACTTGTGTAAAGAACACTTTCTATTTCCATCAAATGATGGGTTACAACCTTTCCCGTGAGTTGTTCATGCTGGTTTATGTGTGTGTGTATATATATAAAGTAAAACATCCATGCAGACTTTAAGGTCGTGCTTTCTCCGCCGCTAACTTCAAAGCGGTTGTTGTTGTATACACGCTTCTTACACTGTGAAAATCGTGTGAATAGACTGCCGGTGGATTGTTAGGATTCATGAAAAATCGTGTTTTAAGAGTTGCAAGCGGTGTGCACTCCTGGGACGACATCGGTAGGGCAGGGAGATACGTGAACCTGGGACAACGTAATGGTGTGTGCACAAGTCAAGACGCTGTAAATACGTGGACTTGGAGGAGACTTTCGCTTTAAAGATGTTAAAACTGAGACTATAAATACAGAGCAGTGTTCATCGTTAGTGCATCTTTTTTTTACTTAAACAAAATTACGAGATTATTGCATCGTGTACGGTTTAAAACTCAATTTATGAAATGAAAACTGATAACATACTTATTTTATTTGTGTTTTGTCCACATGGGTTATGTTCAGTATCTTGAAAATGCAGTACTGTGTTCAAGCTTTCTGGATTTGAAGGTTGCTTAAGGGGTCGTTTTGGCTAAATGGTTAATATTAGAATGTTGTAATTTTCTCGTACATTTAAATTCCCTTTGTGATTGAACACTGCTGTTGTCGCTATCTTTGCTTATAAATGAGATCAGAATGGAAGGTATTGGGCAGCACTGCACCCTGCGTTCGTGATAAAAAAAACATCCTTACAGCCCTCGTGTGTTTCAGGCAGTAGATTATGAAAATGAAACTATTTTCAATGCTATCCTAAATACTGTATTACTGGGACTTAACATGTGTTTATTTTACGTTTAATATCAATAGAGCATATATACAGTAACGTATCAAAGCCATTGTTGTTATAAAACATTCAAACATAGATGAGACGTGTCCTGAATGTGGATTTTCATTCGCACTGGGTGGCATTATAGAGTGCAACATTATCATGCCTTCTTTAAAAAAAAGTTAGTTTGTTTAAACCCACCTTTTTCTTTTGCATGAATTGTGTCTGTGTGCAATCTTATTTACACGCTGTTCTCAAAGTAAAACATGGGAAAAACTGGTGGCACCTTCTTACCTGTCCGCATCCAATCACAAGCGACAGCGGTCAAACGACTCCACATCGTTCGGTTGAAAATAAAGATCGCTTCACTTGCACCAGTTCACCCATTTTATACTTGTTCATGTCAGATGTCAACTTTCTGGTGGAGTTTAGCCCAAGAAAATGTTTGCATTGCTTTGTACTTTGCTGTAAACCAGTATGCCTTATGTCGGATCTTTTGAGTCTACGAACTCGGAAAATAATTTACGTAAAATTGTATTTGTTTAAAAAAATGTAATACATTTCTGTGACTAAAATGTGTGTCCATTGTACACATGATTGGTGGAAATGTATGAATCCTCTGTTTTGAAGCTTAAAAACCACAATGTTTTTCTGCCAGAAATGTACTACACTACAAAAATCCCCCATATAGCCTGTACAGACTGTTGGGGCAAGTGCTGTTAGCAATCGCCTATAAAAGCCGGCGAGGCACAAGCTGGGGTGGGTGGCCAGCACCATGCCTGGCCACCTTTGTCTCCCCAGTGGTGATGTTTATGCACCGCACCAGGTCATTTGATGTTTAGTCCACCCAGTGGAGGCCCAAGATCAGTTCATATAATCCTCACTGGTATTGACCGCGTGCGTGAATTGAACCCGGGTGATCGTGGTTCGTAGCGCAGCAGGTTAACCACTGCACTACCGCTCCCCACTGCTTTGATCTCACACACCAGCGCCACCTGCAGACTGGAGAGCGGGCTTCTGCCCGAGAAAAAAACCCCCATTAAATCCTGAGATCGCAGCAGCACGAAAATGACGTCACTATCTCAAGATAGCCACAATGTTATCATGAACTCCTGGCTCGCCATCACCCAGGTATAATCGAAGTTGATGGAAGAGTTGAAGCTGGGGTTAATATGCTATAGCCATGGCTTGTGGAAGAAACCTGCCCCCTCGAAACACGACCTCTGCTCGCTCCCCTGTTTGTATAACTAGCCCTGCAAGAGGGTGACCGCTATGACAGCAGGGTCTTTTGAGGCTGGAAGGTGGTCCCTGGCTCACCCTCATCTCTCGGGTGACCTCTGGTGAAACTGCAACCCCAGGCTGGAGATCCAATTGTTCTGCAATGTCACTTGGTGAAGATCCTGCTCGGAGAGGTCCTCTGCTTCATTACCTAATTAGTCGCTGGAGGCAGGTCCATGGGCAATTGTGAAGTGAATGTCCCTGGGACTTCACAGAGGAGCATCTGGAAGGCCCTCTGCAAAGGTTCTGGGGCAGACAGGCTGTCATCCCCTGCCAACTAATTATCCTTGCTCGTGTTGTGCTGAGGTGGGCAATGTCTTCCAAGTGGCTTGGTCAGAGCATGAAAGCCCTGCCCTCGGCATAACACGAGTCATGGAACTGGCCAAATCTGTGAACATTTTCATGACGTGGTGTGGGTTTTAGGAGCCATTCATTTCCAATTCTATTTTCTCTAAATGACAACGGGAGAAGCATTTTGTGCTAAGCATTTGTTTTATTAACGTGAACAATGTTGGTAAATAGGCAATATTACACGAGGAACTTTACATTTGCTTTCAGCAAACATGTGAATATATGTACACTATATATATAAAAAAAACACCATCTCCTGAGCTGCTATAACTATTACACCACAACCAGAAACATTTTAGGGTTTGATATGATCATTAACAAGTACACATCTTCAGGATAAAATGTTATAAACACCCCCATACGAGCTCATGTGTCACAACAGCAGGAAGAAAATCACATGCACGACGTTCAATGAGGAATGTTACGAGGCAACGCCACCAGGTCAGGTGATTAATGAACTTAGGCAATAGGAAATCGAGCAAGGGTTTACAAAAAAAATTACAAAATGTGCATAAAATCCCACGTATCATTAAAGATATGACTGCTAACACCATAACAGCATATCAAAATGCACATCAAGCAGTAAGCACATGATCAAAAAGTTACAATCTACATCTCTTAGCAAAGCTATAGCATTCGACCACTTCCATGCAAACAAGCTGGTAACTGCACGCCTGCAGAGATTACTAAATGTCACTCCCAAAGCACTTGGACTGGTGGTTTGCTAAAATTACAGAAAATTATAGCGGTTGTCTGGCCAACCATTGTTCTTTGCTCAACTCCCCATTAATTTCCACATCAGCCAGGAGTGTGCGCTTGCATGCAGAGCAGCGCTTGATTAACATGCAAACTTACGAAATACTGTATACTGATAATAGTGAGGCTCTTTCAGTGACCAACAGCTGCGAGCAAGTTAATGATTTAAAAATAGACCACTCAATTATGCCAATTGTAAACTGTAAATGGGAATTAAAAAATATTTTGAAGCTTAATCTGCGATTTCCCAGAAGTCTGCCTTTGTAAAAAAAAAAAATCAATTCAGGAAAACCGTAACACTTTTACTGATAGTGCAAAACCGTGAATGAACCAAGCAAGATATGCTCCTTAGCAACTTTCACTCACTATACTGAAGCCAAGCATTAATTTGGTCGTATACTCAAGGTGCTAAACAGGAAACAATGTCAGCAGGCTAATCTTGGCAAGCACTCGGTAAAGCTGCGATGCACTTTTCTTCGTCATAAATCCTCCACCCTTTAGAGACTGCTCAGAGCAAGGGGGGGGGGGGGGTGTGAAGAGAAGTGGCCGAAAGGCGAATGCGACTCCCCTCGAAGCATGCAGATTCATTAATTGCTGCATCAAAGCGTGTAAGACTTGTGTGCAAAGCTGCATGTAATTTAATGGCTGTGTCAGGGGAAATGGAGAGGCTTGCCATGCCACAATACGTCTATCTACTGGTATGACCTCAAACTGGAATGTGCACCCCCTGCTGCTAAAACAGAAGTGAGGCTTTACTGGATGTGATATGAACGAGCCTACTTTAATATTAAAAAGGTAATTCAATAATCATCCGTTAGATCTTTTTCTCAACTTTATTCCTTCCTGTGCATTGTTTACATGTTCTTTTTTGCAAGCCAGAAAATTACGATGTTACTTTTATCACAAAAGACACCTTTGCGAGACATCACTATTAAATCCAGTGACTTGATATTTCAGTTTCCAACAGGTTAACGTGGATGTTAGTGTTTTACGTATAAAGAAAGAAAGTAAAAAATAATTGGAAATAAAATTGCTTTACCCTATATTACCAATGCATGAACCTTAGCAAATGCGAGAACTGGAAATTCAACGCAAACCAATAACAGAAGAAAATCAATGGTTTGCCTACCTCACTTATGAGACTCTACTAGATGGAACCATTAATGTCCATGAGCCAAGGCCAATTACTGCTTTGTTAATATATATATTAATTCACAGGACCTTATTATATTCAAGCCAAAAAAAGATCCACTTAAGTAGTACGTAAGTAATTCTGCAAGCTATTACTTATGAAGATGGTCGTATGCACTAAGGGATTTGTATTTAACTATTACTTTTTTTTATTGCAAGATTGAATTTTCAACATTGTGTATTTCGATTTAAAGCGTTCGTGACTGCAGGGATTCATCTTCTTGGTTCTTTCGGTAAAGTCACGTAGAAGGGAAATAATAAAAGAAAAATTACATGTTTTATTTTATGTTTTTATGTTTTAATTTTATTATTTTATTATTTCCCTTCTACGTGACTTTACCGAAAGAACCAAGAAGATGATGGTGTATGTAGCCAGCGAGGGGAAACCCCAAGCCATGCTCCGTATTAAATGAGTTCCCTTTGCTCACAAACACGGGTGGAGACAGAATGAAGGTGTTTGGGGCATGCAGCTTAACCATCCACGAACCCATGCACCCCAACATCAGCTTCCATTCTTGTGGGGTTTTTTTCCAATTCACTGCATTTGTGGGCCCACACGGCCTTCTAGTTTTACAGGTGGCTATTTTACAATATTGTCACATGCCAGTTACCCATTGGCCAATGTCCCAATACTTTAACCAGCCGGTGTGTGAAGATTAGAGGTAAGCGTTAAATTACTGGACTGCGACGCCTACAGAAACAATGAAGTAATGGCAAGTCCCACTACCATGATGCACTCATCTACCTGCAGTTGATCCTGGCTTTACGTGGCAGTCCTAAATGCAGTCTTACACCGACTTTGTTGTGAGGAAAAGACAATGTTAGCCGTCGTATTAGTGTTCCATATTCACTACCCTTGTGAAAATGTGCTTTATGTTTAGAATCATCGAAACGGTCCGAAAGATGCGAATGCAGGTACGCGTCAAGGAACGTAGCCATGTGTGTGTGCACGTAAAATAAGCGGGCGAGTTCACAGGCTTAAAATTCACATTAGCATGAAACCGAGTGCATTGTGCAAAACCTTGTGCTTAAGGTATCACACCACCTCTCTGAGATTGGCCCATAATGTACGGCAAATGTTATTCACTGTAAAAATAGGATATGACAAAATATAACCCTTCTATCTAATTCTATATTTGTAAGTCTGCCAAGGTTTGGTTGGCCTTTTAGATGTGTTTCAATAAAACTTACTCTACACACACACACACAGACACTTACACACTTGATAAGGTAATATATATTATATATACAAGTGGTTTTAAAGGATTATTTAAAGGTGCAGTCGGTGACTTGAGATTAAAATTAACTTACAAAGGGCTGGCTATGAAATAGACTGGAAGTTTACACCAAACAGCCTGAACAATGTCGGCATGCTGTTGTGCGACTGGTTCAAAATAAAAAAAAACAGGCTTCAGATATGGATGAAGCCTGTCAAGCAGGCTCAAGTGCCAGTCAAAAATAACCGGTGTTGTTTTTATGTTTAAAATTAATTTAGACCATACAGAATTTTGTTTCATCTTTTTTACTGGGATTTGGAGAAGCTCAGCGGCTACATACAGGGTGCTTCAAAACAAATGTAAACACTTCTGAGAATTAGCAACAACCCCACAAGAAATGTGCTGCCTCCGATTTCTGGAGACCACCTGGAGAAGATTCCAGGCACGCGTTGACAACGATGGCAAACAAGTGGAGACTCTTTGCCTTGTTGAAGCTATTAATATACATTTGTTATCATGTTATAATGTATTATCGGTCCTTTTTCCATTAAAGACGAGTCCCATAAACGTCTTCTTGGTTCTTTCGGTAAAGTCACGTAGAAGGGAAATAATAAAATAATAAAAATAAAACAATTAAATTATTCTCAAGACGTTTCGGCCACAATGCAAGCAGCCGTCCTCAGGTGAGGAACAGGTCTGTCGGAAAGACAGAACAGGTCTGTCAGAAAGACAGCATCTTTCCGACAGACCTGTTCTGTTCTTCACCTGAGGACGGCTGCTTGCGTTGTGGCCGAAACGTCGTGAGAATTATTTTATTTTTATTATTTTATCATTTCCCTTCTACGTGACTTTACCGAAAGAACCAAGAAGATGAATCCCTGCAGTCACGAAAGCTTTAAATCGAAATTTAACTCCCATATAAGTGTTTAAAAAAATGTAAGCACCCTGTATATTGAGATGAATAGCAAAGTACAAACAAAACGTTATGAATACGTTTTAACTTGACGGTGAATTTCCCCCGAGACATCCATGACGGGACAAATTTCGCCTTCAATAGCAAGATTCTGTTCCTGGCAATGTCAGACTGCACCTTCAAATGTGTGCTTTTGCAGGGGTAAGATTACAATAAAGAACTAATCATCTCTATGTATATTAAAATTATACATTTTTGGGGGGCAGCTGTTTATGGATAAACATTGGAATAGTTTTGAGTCATTCACTCAGTCTGTTTCCAGCCTCTGACTCTTCTATTAAGTTTCATTTATATATTAATATAAAATTTAGGCAAGGAGGCTGTGTTGCATCACATTAAGAGTTTGTTCATTTCTTATAGACTCTACAATTAAAAAATAAAGGTTTAATATACTCAGCGTTTGCATTAGATGGAATAGTCCCCGGTGTATAATACAATTAGAGGGGTTCCTGGCATTGCTTTTAAAAATGCAATGGATAAAACAAGAGGGGGTAGAGGTGAAAATGCCATTGCCCTATACACACCAATTCTGAATACACTGGATGCCTGAAACATGCCTTGGACACTGTGATGCAGATGGCCAGCAACATTATCAGGGGAAACTTTTGCAACAATCTATTAGAGACAAAGATTTAAATCTGCAGCCCAGCAGGGGCAGAATTAAGCGTGCGACAGATTATTGCATCTTCGCAAAAAAATCCATACAGCAGTCGATTATCTTCAGTCAACTATCGGCAGTACTCATTTAATACCTTATTCACTTGATGATACCTTATTAATTTCACATTTTCTTATCCAATCAATGAAGTTTGAATAAACATGGGGAAAACAACACCTGCTTCAAGGTTGCTGCTGCAAATGTTGCGGTGCTGCAGCTTGTCTCCCATTTGCTGACCGTTTGCATCCCAGTGTTCCGAGGCCTATGGACAACAATAGGGAGAGCAGTGAGACACGTGGGGGGGGGGGGGGGGGGGGGTTAACCACTTTCCCGTTACGATGATGTACGTGTACATCATCAAATTTTCTTCCGGTTCCTTTTCAATGACGTACGTGTACATCAGCAAAACGAAACCGGAAGATAAACTATAACAAAATCACTTTTATCGGTACCAAGGCTCCCACAAGGTCATACAGGAGGGCATGTGGCACAGTTTGGCGCGAGCTATCATACAGGTCGTGTCGCTACAGTTCTCTGCGGTGAGCACAATGTGTTTAAAATCAACGACTCTCCGCCTCTCCTAATAAAATTAAATGCCAAGCCGCTCGCGCGCTCCAAGATTCGGAGGTGAATGGGACACCCAACCCTGAAACTTGCAGACGTCTCTGTAACGGGAAAGGGTTAACCGCGCGGGGGAGGGGTACAATCCACACCTAAGAGAAGCTGTTGTTGTGCGTCTGCCGGCGCCGTGCCGTGCGCAGCTTCTCGAAGCGAGCCTCCATCTCCTCGAGCACCTTGGGCGTGTAGCGCACCACCAGCTTCACCGTCCCCTGCGCCTGCTTCAGCAGCTCCACGGCCTTCTCGTGGTGCTCGCCCTCCACACTCTGAACAAGCGCAGACAGATTCCCCCATGCAGCCTTATTCGCGGCGGGAGCACGCGCTGCATGTGTGTATGAATGTTGAACTTATTTCGCACCGCACGTAACCAACCGTGCTAATGGGGAGGTGCGGGGGAAGAACAACAAATTAAACACAAAAAGCAATTCTAAAGAACACCATTGGAACCTCATTTGCCAGTAAAAATATAATTGTTTTTTTACCCTTCTATCTGGCAACAAAACTGACACCTTTTTTTACAAGGAGTCATGTTTACATAGACCACAATACCTGCAGTCATAATGCAAACAAAAAACATAACTCTGATAATGTGCACTGTCCTTCAAGGACTGCACATTATCAGAGTTATGTGGACATTATCAGAGTTGTGTTTTTTGTTTGCATTATGACTGCAGGTATTGTGGTCTATGTAAACATGACTCCTTGTAAAAAAGGTGTCAGTTTTGTTGCCAGATAGAAGGGTAAAAAACCCATTATCAGTTCTAAAGAAATTAGTTTGTAAATCTGGATTAAAAAATGCACAGCTCCAGCGGCTTCCTCATATCGGAAGGAAGAGAGTTCCAGGCGGCTGCAGAAGCGCATGTGCTGTAAGCAATCACCGACTAATACCAGCCTTAGCAAGGCACGCGAGGGGGTGGTGCAGCCGGCGCCCTGCTTGCAGAGATGAGAAGCCTGTGACAGATTCAGACAGCACTTGCCACTAATGGCCATTGATGAAAATAAAACGCCGGTTGCTGGGCGCAGTCTGCTAACCGCTGCGTTATGCGTAAACATCTGTGAACACTAAAAGAGCAATGAACTGTCAACTAACTATCAGGTGCGCGCACATGAACGTTGCTGAAATGTAACACACATAAATACATGGAAACACTCAAATACAGAGGACACCACTGTTTAACATTATAGACGGTGCATACAAATGCTACGGGTGAGCACCCAATAAAGTAAAGCATGGCCACAATGGGGTCACATAACCACCACCCGCGCGTGCCTGGCCATTTTTGTCAGCCCAGCTCACACACAATGCCAGGCCCTCCACTATAACGGATTTACGCTTACAAGAGTCTACTTTAGATTCCTACAATGCAAAAGAATGAAAGTGGCTTCACACAAAAAAGCTGAAAGGAAACTGCTCACAGCTGTGCTACTCTTTCTCACAGTGTTGATCTTCTTTCGCACCGTACGTAGCCAACCATGTTAATTTGAGGTGCGGGGGGAAGGGCAGAAACGAAACACAAAAAGCAGTTCTAAAGAAATTAATTTGCAATTAAGAGTTTAAATTGCATATCTCCAGCGGCTTCCTAATATTGGAAGGAAGAGCGTTCCAGATGGCCGCGGAAGAGCATCTGCAAGCACGCAATACAGTGACTGCCTTTATTCGATGGTTAGCCAAAAGACGCTGCGAAGATGACCAGAGTTTGCATGATGGCTTTTATGCTCAGCAAGGTGTTGTGGTTCATTTGTGGCAAACACTTTGTGTGTAATGAGCACGACCTAATAATTTATTCGTTCGACAAACGGAAGCCAATGCAGCTCGGCGGGGAACGGACAGATACGGTCGGATCTTTCAGTACCCGTCACGATACGTGAATTTTATACGCGCTGCAGCTTGCGATAAACACTTCAGCATCTTTCGAGACGAAGAGCGATCTCGGCGAGCCAATTCGCATCTCACTGGACGGCACTTTCGTCGTCACTCACTGCTAACGCAAACGTACGAGCAGACCCATGAGCAAACCCATGTGGGACTCCGTGCCATTTAATGTGTTTTGGCATCACAGTCGGGGGGCTGTACGCCAACAAGGCGCACGCCCTGCAGTGTGAGAACTCCAAGGCGCATGCGTCACAGTCGGGGGGCCGTTTTTCTTCCGAATGCAGATTAAATGCACAAAAAACTAAAAGTTATTAGCGGAGAACGTGCACATGAAGAAGGGTGAATGTCGCCAGCTGCAATAGCCCATCATCTGTTCTCGGACCCAGTGAGCACATCGTGTGGAACACATTAGCATGGCACGCACGCATAGCCGGACAAACTCCAGGTGATTTCAACGCTGGTGCACCGACGTATATTATTACAGACAAGCACAACACGGTCCCTGTAACACAGTCAAGACGGTATAGCTAGTGTCATGGTCATACTATACCATGCGATACAATGGATTCACATGCGTGTAAATTGTGGAAAAAGCATTGTCAATGCACCATGTTGCATGGTGAGAAAAGAAGGTTTAATATGGCGGTGGTTAAAATATGGTTAAAGAATATTTAACTGTGAACATACAATAATGACACTATTAAAAGCAAAGATTCAGAATCAGATTGTACTGCCAGGCCAGATGCAAGCACCCATTACAAAACCACCAAGGCAATCACTGCCGTTATTATATGCTGTGTATAACACGGCTGACCTCATGGGGTCTTTCATAGGTTTAATGTAAAGATCCAACTATGAACCATCTGTGCCTAGAATGTTCTGTCATTCAGTGGTGAGCGTTGGATTGGGAGAGACTAGATTAAAGAGGCAATTGTGTGTCTTGTTTATATAAGACGCTTAAGAGATTACTGTACATACAAATATCACTATTGAGCACAGGGGAGAATACTGTACATTAAAATTAGAACACGTGTCATTAGTGTTGTCATTTCCCTTGGAAGCAATAATTTAAGCAAAAAAAAGGAATTCGCCAATGGCACTGCCTTCAAATAAAAACATATCAAAGGCCCTACTTCAGAGCACACAACATGACAAAGGGTAATTGCCCAAAACATCGCCGATTATATATTTTGTTTGTTCTTACAAGGCAGTGGCACTGACGAATGCGAGAATGTGTGCTAATTATGCTTGTGCACCACTGTCACGAAGCACCACCAAATAGTTTGTTAAAATTCAAGCTACCAAAAACTGACCACTGTTATCCCCACTCTACCTTAAGATCCCTTGTTAAAAGTTCCCTAACTTACTGTCTGCAGCCCTGAGGCATTTGTGATTTGCCAATTGCCAGTCGTTCTTTCCCAAAGTGTCTTTCTGCTCAACTGAGCATTGGCCTAAGTAGTCATCTCCCCTCTCATCCCTGAGCTCATGGTGAAAATCCCATTAAGGCGTTAACACCGGAGGTAACCGTTACACCAAACGTGAATTGTTCCTTCACCAACCAGCAATGTGTTTGCACCACTGGTGACTTCTCACCAAGCGATACTACTCAAGAGCGGTTGTTGTATTGAGAGGCCTCTTCCATAGGGATGTGGAACTTCTCCCACTGGCTCAGAATCACCAACAAAGCATCATGCCCCATACTTGTTCAAATTGTGACATGGGTATCCTGATGAAAACGTCATTTCGAGGCCAATTGCATTATACGAGTGTCATCATTTCAGCGCAGGTGAAAGTTTACAACTCAAAGTCATGGCAGTGGTGAACGAGCTCCCTGTCCTCACCACGCCGTTGACGGAGAGAAGCTGGTCCCCGCGCTTGAGGCCACCCTGCCGGTCGGCCACGCCGCCGGGGATGATGCGGGAGATGTATATGGGTGAGTTTTGCTCTTTTCCACCCATGATGTTGAAGCCCAGGCCCTCGTCGGTCTTGGGAAGTTCCACCACGCGAGGGTGCGCGTGTCCTTCGCTTGCCGCAAATGCCGCCACGGTGGCCTGCACGGCCCCCGCACACACAACAGTTAATCTGCTCTGCCACTCCAGACTTCCAGAGGGCACAGGATGCGACTGCATGTGCACAGCAAGCGGACCCCATGGTTGTCCTTCACCCGGCACCTCCGATTAGCACGGTTGGCTACGTACGGTGCGAAAGGACGTTCAACATACATGGTGCAATCCCAATGCCTCTAAACCAGATCATAAAAAATTGGGCATTGAGGGGTCATACTCTGGTTTGCCAGAAGGCAATACAGCAAAAAAGCACACTCCACCTGTTCTGTCTGTATGGGATAGTGTTTCCCCCAAGCATGCATGGATTTTTTTTCTGGGTGCCCTGGTTATTCCCCCATATATAAACTGTCATTAATTGGCTGATAACACTTTCATCGCAGAGCTTGGGTAATTATTGGCACAGACTCGTCACGTGGTTGCCTTCCTGCTTGTCTGTGGTTCCTCATCGTGCCTCCGAGTCATTCTCTCGCTACGACAGCGTGCAAAAATATTATGCAGCGCATACGTTGAAATCATGATAAATTACACATCTAGTTGCCATTAATGGCAAGAGGTAAAGTCTGAGAATTTTCGGGGCCACTCAACAGGCAGTGTCTTTCTGATAAAATCAGTAATGGCCAAGTGGTCATCTCCATTGGCAGCCTGAGCCAGCGATGTAAATTCCACAATTTCCATGGTGGGAGCCAGGATCTCCACAGCATGACCACCGTTGACCAACCACATCGTTACATTTGTTAAACCCCAGGTGTAATAGGCCGAAGTGGACAACCCTCAACCACTTGAGGATAGGGCCAGGGAAGATGAAGCCACTTGCTCCACAAGTGGAACGTGAGGAGCAGCCTAAATTGTGACTGTGGCCACCACTCAAGTCAGACGATTTCCCCACATACTGAACTCCTTGGCCTGAGAGAGATCCATTGTGGTATCGCGACCACTCGCTCCACCTCATTTGAAGCCGTTGAATGAATCGCTAATCTCGACATGAAACTACAACTGCTTTCCCAGCCATGCGAAGATCACGAACCGAGATTTTAACGTACAACTTTCCAATTGCCTACCGCTGTAACCTCATTCAAGCCTCAAGCAGTGGGTGCCATGATTATGTAAAGAAATGATTGTCCACTCAGTGTAGGATTTTTAAACGAGTACTCAATGAACCCAGCGAGCTACAAGAGGGAGTGGTGTGGCCAACATTATATGGGACTGCCTATGTAGCCACAGGTTTGATGGACAGGGGTGAAGGGTTAGTGGTAGGATCCTCTGTTGAAATACCACTCTTTGGTGCAGACACACATTGACAGTTGAGGCACAATGATGCCCATTCCGAGTGCAAGCAGTGTCATTTTTCTTTGGCATTGCAGTGCCACGAGAACTTGATGATGTAAGCAAGTGCACGATAGAGCAAGAGCCATTATAAAAAGCAGCAACTGCCAAAATCTTCAACAAAACTAATTTTACATGCACCAATTATTTATGGAGGAATTCATTTTCATGTTTTTTTCCTTCCGAATAAACAAACATGCTTTCATGAAGCCCATTTTAATGAGGGTTCTACTGCATTGGAATGAGTGAAGGGATACGATGTATAATGGTATGCAGCATAAAAATAAATTACATTACTGCACTCATTATATCCTTGCCCATGGAAGAACAAAGACATGAAGAAAAACCTCTTCATATTTACATAACGCATCAACTGAATGTGTATTGCTCCTTACCGCTAAGTATATTTGCCATCTGTAATGATCTTTTTCACGTAATGCAACTTATGAAGCACAGCATGTTGTATATTGCAATGGCATCGTAAAACTGCATTGCTGTACACATTTTAATCAAATCTACATTCAATAAACTAGCATGATATCTAGCCTGATGGTTACTCAAGCCAGAGTAAGTAATAAATAGGTTTCAACTTGCATTTCAATACATATTGAATGACATTTATACAGAACAACAATAGACCAGAGTAAAACACATTTTGTATAAACCTAAATATTTAAATATTAATATATCAGTATCTTTACTTTAAAATTGTATGCATTAAAATGTGCAAATCGTAAATTCCCTAAGATGTATATTGAAACATTTTCATGAAAAGTGTGTTACAAATCACACACGCAACCATATTTTTGTGCATGGAATCAGTTACGATCTTAAAGAGCTGGAAACAGTAGCATCCAATCCATTAGTCTTAGTAGGGACATCAATCGTCACCTCTACAGCAAGCGACCATTAATGAAGATTGTAGATTTAATAATAGGGTTTTTCCCCCTTTTTTCTGGCAACAAAACTGAAACCTTTTACAAGGATTCATGTCTGCATTAACCACAATACTTGCAGTCTAAATGCAAAAAAAACACACTATGATAATAAATGCATTGTCCTTGAAACTGATTGGTCCACACCAAGGGACGGCTTTCATATATTATCATAGTGTGTTTTTGTTTGCATTTTGACTGCAAGTATTGTGGTTAATGCAGACATGAATCCTCGTAAAAAGGTTTCAGTTTTGTTGCCAGAAAAAAGGGGAAAACCCCTATTATTATATTTTGATAGTGGCAAAGGAGGTCTAATGATGATTGTAGATTTGCTACGGGCTGTCGGATTATGGGTTTCAGTTTTACCTTTGCGGTGGCACTTGCTCTGACCTCTGCACTGCCACTGATGCCGACTGTCTCGTACACATGTTCATAGACCTGACAACACGCACACATGTGCACGCACAACAACAACAAACTCGCGCTTGCTACGCATCGGGAAAAAGGCAGGGCAATCATTGCAAGTTTGCACGTCGCTGTCAAAACTCAAAGAGTCAGAAGATATGGAAAGGCCATTGCTGTCATCTCTGTTTAGGAAAGATCACTACTTTGGTGATTTGTCGAGTTTGAGGGCACAGAGTAGAAGTGTAGATTTCATTAATTGGCCTCAATGCTCAAATAAGCCGGGATTCCTAGTGATGATCAATATAGCAAGCAACGTCATACAGTATAATGAACAGCATCAATGCAATTACACTAATTGATCAAACACAGCTCATGGTGAGGTAATCAATATCCAGAGTTGCTCAATTTTAACTGTACTGGTGTGTGTACTAACACTGTTGAGATGTCCAAATTCGAGTCCAATATTACTAATGAACCGCGTATAGGACACTTTGATATCCACCTAAATGATGTGTGGTAGGAGGGAAGACTTGCATTATATTCAGTATATAATTATCATTGTTTTGAAATGAATGAACTCCAATTGACTGCCGTAAGATGCACCTGAATTGCACGATCAGCTACACAACACATTATGCCGTTGGCGGTCAGAAACACAAAATGTGGATGTCTTTCACAAACACAGGCACTGCTGACAACATGCTTAGCATTTGGATTTACACGCTATATTATTTAATCCAAAAAAGCTACACATTTTTTCCTCCAACCTAGTTCTGTTTTTTAAATTCCAACAGGAATGATAACAAAGCTACAAGGGTATGAGCTACAACATGGCTGCAGGTTTACTGAACAGGCCCATTGTTTGTCAACCGTGCTGCAGTTGTAAATGTGAACCCTCAGAGATAAGACAGAGGCCAATATAAAGCAAGCTGTTGGCCAGTTGTGCTAATGGGGACACAGGCTCCACGTGCAGCTAGCCTCCCATGGGTGCAGGTAAAAAAACAGCTCATTGTGACTCACTCTGTAAACATCACCGGTAACATCTAGCCTGCATATTCGCCAATTAATTCATTGTTATATTCATAACAAGCACAAATTGACCTTAAAAAGCAGAGAGGCGTGGGTGAATATATTAAAGAAAAGTCTTCACATTCAGATAGAAGGTCGACACCAACGCCAATGTTGCACAGTGAACGAGGGATTGAATTCCAGGCGACTAAAGCTGTGACAGCAGCAGCGACCTTTGCCTCGTCCAGTTCGAGAGACGTTGGGGTTCGGACAAGGAGGCCACTTTTCACAGATCAGAGGCTGTGAGATGGAGCGTACGATGAGACGACAAGCACTTACTAGGCCAGTTGAAAGCTTTTGCGACTGCAGGGATTCATATTCTTGGTTCTTTCGGTAAAGTCACGTAGAAGGGAAATAATAAAATAATGAAAATAAAACATAATAAAATAAAAATAATGCTTTCTTTTTATTATTTTATTATTTCCCTTCTACGTGGCTTTACCGAAAGAACCAAGAATATACTTACTAGGCCATTTGACCCAATACATGTGCTATGGGCAGCGACGTTGTACAAGATGTGTTGTTGAACTGGAAGCCAGTGAAGAACAATTAGAACGTCTGTGGAACGGATAAACTCATGGGTCATGTCCAGTGCCGAGCACTGTGTGGGCGAGGCAATTTTGGATGCACTGCTGACGCTTGAGATGTTTTTGTGGACATGCTGGAGAAGACAGCGTTGCAATAGAGTCCATTCTGGCTCTGACGATAGAGCAGGTGATGGTGTTTGCCAACTCAGTATTCAGGAGAGAACGAATATGACGAAGTCCAGCAGTGGTAATGTCCATTGTCTGCTACTGTTTAGAAATAAAAACAATAGAGTGTGATACATAGCTACGGAGGTGATGGTGTTTGCCATCTCGGTATTCAGGAGAGAACGAATATGACGAAGTCCAGCAGTGGTAATGTCCATTGTCTGCTACTGTTTAGAAATAAAAACAATAGATTGTGATACATAGCTGCGGAGGTGATGGTGTTTGCCATCTCGGTATTCAGGAGAGAACGAATATGACGAAGTCCAGCGGTGGTAATTTCCATTGTCTGCTACTGTTTAGAAATAAAAACAATAGATTGTGATACATAGCTGCGGAGGTGATGGTGTTTGCCAACTCGGTATACAAGAGAGAACAAGAGAGAACAAGAGAGAACGAATATGATGAAGTCCAACATGGTGGTAATTTCCATTGTCTGCTACTGTTTAGAAATAAAAACTATAGATTGTGATACATAGCTGCAGAGCGGCATGCAGTTTAAAGCGTAACTTTAATGAGTACGTAGCTGCTTTGTGCTTACTCCCTTCTATTTTAGACCATGTGGAGTCATGTAGTGGTGGTATCTTAGACTGCCAAAAGTATGTGGGGAAGTGCATTATTATAGCATTCACAGAAATAATCCTGCAATTAACAAAATGTACATTTACGACAAACCGCAGTCTATTCTTAATCAAACAAAGAGATTACAAAGTTAATGACACATTATGTAAAAAACAACCATTTAAGACAAGGTCAAGAATATAACCCTATTAAGTATTTGTTTTTTACTCCCTGCATGGCAAAAATCCAATGTTACCAACTGCCTGATTATAATGTTAGGAATGTCAGCTGTGATGCTTCTCAGCTTCGAAGCTGAGAACATGTTAATCCATTGTTGAATATCTGAATCAATTTTAAGTGTTGAATTTTCGGGTATAAAAACTGGAATCTACATCCCTCTATAACCTTGCAACATTACATCTACCAAATTAAGCATGAGCCCAAATATTAAGTATACACCTGAACAGCAGAGTGTATTCAAATGATAGGTCTGTGCGCACACTGCGGCAGACCTCAAGCAATATGCTTATAATCTATTTTTCGGCTTATCTGCCCCCAGAGAATTAAAACGTGAAAAATGTGTAACAAGGTATGGTCCTTTGCATGATGACGCAGGCAACAGTCTGCAATGCTCACCTCTCGTATGGCAGTACAAAACTCGCTCTGCAGAACCCTTTGAAGTGCCTGCAGCTTCTCTGAAGGCACCTCGCCACTCCGCTGTAACTTTTCCAAAAGCTCTATTGCTCGCGCAATGTCTGTAGGGAAGAAATATTATCATTAGCATTATTACAAGCATGCAGAGGCAGAGACACCACGGGAAATCGGTGACGAAAATCAATGCCCTTCCTTGTAAGATGCACAATGCAGTGGGGCTCAATAACAAGGTGCTAGAAAATCATTAAATATTCCTGTTATGGAACAGAACCTTGCTCCAATGCAGTAAAAGATAAAGGATTGTTACACACTGTGCAAAGTGTCCAGCGCAAGTCAATTTTCCCAAATGACAAACATTGATGTGAAGTCTATGTGACATGAAGCTCAAGAAATACTAAAAAGGAAATCACAAAGTTGCAAGTTCTTGAACTGCTGGTAAAAAAAATTGCACATTTTCAATTTCATTCAATTTGTGTCAAGGTTCAGAATGGACATTTGTCGGAATTACTCAGGGTCGACATTGAGGGAGCACCAATTGAACAATAATTTGGCACAATCATATATAATTCCTTAGCAGGGCCTTACAGACAAAGCCACAGTTCACCAACACCCATGCCAAGTCCACAAGCCTTTGCAGCACACGCAGCAAATGAGCTTTGTGATTCAAGCCCGCAAGTGTTTACAAAAAAGTTTAGACATGCACGTTGCTTAAATACAAGATAAATAATAGGTAAACATTTTTTTCGAGATTATAGCATTAGAGACAATTAATCGACTTTGTATCATTTAAAGGAATGGTCTACAATCCCAGGAAATCATTTATTGGCTTTGGTTACTGAAGCATCCTTTTCCAGCAATCAATTAATCTGATGGAAGGGTGCAGACAGCTTCAGTAATTGCAGGCTCAGCGCTCACACACACTTAATCACCGAATTCTGTTTTATAGGCCCCATTAAAATCCAATTGTAAGAAAAGCTCACAAATCAAAACTCACATTATATGCATAATTCAAAAGCACAATCATCGCCATTAACATCATCATGACCATGTTCTTTAAAAAAACATTCATCATAACCATCAGCATTATTTTTTTACACGACGACCATCAATATAACAAAACATATTCAGCATATCCATGCTCCAATGAGAACTGACTAGTGTTCATCTCTGTGCTCCTGAACTAGTGTTGGAAACTGGTACACTAATGATGGTGGGGGCTTGTCTCCCATTCTTATTCACACAGGCCTTATGGAACAAGAGCTAATACTGACATCCTATCATGTGGTGCTCATTGTATTCACCCCAAAGGGACAAATAGCGTAGGTGAGTCGGCTCCAGTCCTGGGCTTAAAACTCACAATTTTATGATTGTGAGGTCGAGTACTGAAATGAAAGCATTACCAAGCCATATAAAACTGATATACAGTACTCGTTGCGTCTTTCCGTAAAGTCACGTAGAAAGATAATAAATTAAATAATAGAATACGACGTTTCTATTGCAACACAAGCAATCGTCATCAGGTAGAACTACATTTGAGAGAGAGCCAAAACACAGACACGAGACACACAGACAGGCAAGCAGAGAGAGACAACACAGAGACACACAGAGAGAGACACACACATCATAGACATGTGTAGACATATGTTGTGCGTCTGTGTGTCTCTGTGTTGTCTCTTTCTGTGTCTGTCTGTGTCTCCGTGTCTGTGTTGTCTCTCTCTGCTTGTGTGTCTGTCTGTGTGTCTATGTTGTGTGTCTCTCTCTCTGCTTGTGTGTCTCTGTGTCTGTGTTTTGTCTCTCTCTCAAATTTAGTCCTACCTGATGACGATTGCTTGTGTTGCAATCGAAACGTCGTATTCTATTATTTAATTTATTTTCTTTCTACGTGACTTTACCGAAAGAACCAAAGAGTAATTCCTACAGCCACGAAAGCTTCAAATCAAGTTTGATATACAGTACTCAATGAAAGTTAAATGTATTACAGGACCAGTGGTCTTGCTTATGATAACAAAATGAGAAGGGTCTAAAAACACATGAACATAAAGACACCAGGAAAGCACAAAGCTAAAAACACACAGATCAGCACAAGTGGTACACTTCTGAGGAAAATCTAATTATAAGAAAATGACAGATTAATCTGTCGGAAATTGTAGACCCTGAATTAAAATGTGATGCATGCGTAATCATATTACTCGCGTGGATAATTCCATGCACCCTCCAATGCAGTATTTGACAGATATTGCCTTAACCAACGAATATAACATTGTTTATGGGCTTTCACTTAAGCTTTGCCATCTTTAAGAGCATAGTCACTTAAAAGCAGGCATTCTCCTCCTCTATCAAGGTATGGTCACGTCAAATAATTAACAGTGTCGACGTGTTACCCAACGAGATGAAGAGTGAGAAAAGCCAGCCCAGTAACTTTGACTCAAGGGCATCGCGCCTTTTTAAAGTTGTCCAACATCTTGAGGAATTCAAAGCATCCAGAACCCTACAGAAACTGAACTACAACAAAAACTAACTTTTTTTTAATTTTACCTGGTAAGGCCCACTGAGCAAAAAAAATATTTTTTCAGAAGCGACCTGGACACAAATGACAGCTCAACGAAGTGGCTTAACATGTAGGAAATGTATAGCAGTAGCCATATACTCTCTAAAGGCATGTTCATTTTAAATGTGGAGGGAAAACCGGAGGACCAGGAGAACAATCCACGCAACCATGGGAGAACATGCAAACTCCAAATATAAAGCAGGCGTCAGGTTCGGGATCGAACCCACGACCTCCGGCAAGGATAGGCGAGAGGGTGAAACCTAGGGCACTCTAAGTTTGAAGAACGTGGCTCATTACAATAATACACAAAGTAGAACAAATATACAGATGGTACAAATACAGATTAGCACGGTTGGCTACGTACGGAGCGAAAGAAGTTTAACGTAATGTATCGATCAGTCTTTTCCAATACTGTACACCATAAATACGTTTTATATTACAAACTCACGTCATGGTAAGTTGTTACAGTATATGCCTTACAAGACAGATAATTGTAAGCGTACATTTAAGAGTATTCTTCATGTACACCACATGGTATACACACCGTAATGAGAATATATGGACGTAGTGTGTTTTACAGTTTAAAAACTGCAGTAATGTATATTACCAAGTCACAGTGCCCCCCATTCAACCACTAAATTGGGTGGTGCCAATCATTTCTGATAGCTCTGAGCCAATGATGGAAAGTCCACATTTATACGAGGGGGGTTTCGTGAATTTATACTACAACCATATGGATATATATGTATCCACCTGGTTCAATTATATCAGTTTCTTGTCCATTACACGAAGACATGATGACCATGTGGGAACTTTCACAGTGAGCGTTGCACCACCGTGTGTCAAGAACAGCCCTGGATGATGATGATGGCATCAGAATTCCTTGGAAAGTCACTTCAAAGGAATGTTTTGCCCATTTAGCGACACACCTTTTTATAAAACCACAAAAAGGCGTGTGTCGCTTATTGGTAAACCCAAACTACTCATTCTAGGAGTTGGATTAAGCTTAAGAGTTACAAAAAATATACAATGTTTGAACAAATCACTACACCTGAAAGAAGCCAGTTTAAGCACGGATGGCTGAAACCCACATTCGAATCTCACCAAGGTGCCTTTCTGTGGGCCAAGAGACACCCATAACCCAGTGAATGAACCCAGGAACTAAGTGTCTAGGACTCTCAATGACATTGGATAGGCAACCCTAAAGGCCACCCGGCCACCTTCTGTTGCCTACCCTCAACTGGGTTTTTATTGACCCCGATGGGCCGATAAAAGGGAGACGGACCCCGTGGGGAATTTATAATATAAGGGATTTATATTATAAGGGATTTATATTATAAGGGATTTATATTATAAGGGATTTATAAGATAGGGATTTCAACTCGCATACTCGCAGCCTATCCATGTATACACTCCCTGCTAACTATCAACCAGGTTAGAGTTACATGCACCCACAATATAACAACCTTTAACAGAGGGTTTAGGGGTGGGGGGCACACAAGTTATATTTATAGCTAACGCCTATTAAGAGAACAGCACGACACACCGGCCGCCTTTATCTTCCCAGATCTGATGTCTATCAGCATCGCAGCCACCGGGCTGAGCCGACTGAGAGGGGAGAGACATTCGAGACAGATTCAGATGGAACTTGTCACCAGGGGTTACATTGTTTCATTATTTATCCGGGTCGTTAACAGACTGAAGGTGACGGCAGGTGACTTGCTAAGGATAGTGGGCCACGGACGTAGCGACAGGGGGCAATAATCCTGGACTCTGCGGTGTGCCGAATTGTGGGATACATTTCCAGAGTCGCCGGCATCGTGCGTTGGATACTCGATGTGGTGTGCCCACCACCACCACACAACCACCACAACCACACCACCACAACACTACCACCACACCACCACCACCACACCACACCACGACCACCACCAAACCACGACCACCACCAAACCACGACCACCACTACACCACCACACCACCACAACCAGCCCACCACCACCACCACAACCAGCCCACAACCACCCCGCCACCCACCACCACCACAACCACCCCACCACCACCACCACAACCAGCCCACAACCACCCCGCCACCCACCACCACCACAACCACCCCACCACCACAACCACCACCACGACCACCACCCCACCACCACCACACAACCACCCCCACACAACCACCCCCACCACCACAACCACCCCACCACCACAACCACCCCACCACCACCACAACCACCCCACCACCACCACCACCACAACCACCCCACCACCACCACCACAACCACCCCACCACAACCACCCCACCACCACCACCACCACAACCACCCCACCACCACAACCACCCCACCACCACAACCACCCCACCACCACCACAACCACCCCACCACCACCGGCTGCTCGCCACTGACGTTATCCGGAACCAGACATCGAATCTGCGCGGGTATTTTTTGTTTCACACCGCAACTTAACACTGCCCGGCCACTCAATCATCGCAACACAACATCACACACAGAGATGACCGCGGAGAGTACTCAACACGCCAGAGAGTAACTACGAGCTGCTGCTGCTGCTGTAGTAGTAGTAGGAGCCCCGTGCTAACGTCGGTGGCTGTGGCGGCGATGTCGCCACACGAAGACGGCGCTCACCTCTCTCGAGGCGGAGCGGCTCCATTGGCACCGTCGCCATAGTCGCCCTGCGAGTCGCGGGGTGCGGGGAGGAGGAGAGGGCCTCCTCGCCCCTCCCACTGCCTCAGCGAGACAGCCTATTGGCTCCCGGCTGCACCACGTGCCCTCCGCGGCGTCCTCTTATTGGCTTCGCTTGGTCACGCCTCCTCCCCCAACCGCCCCGCCTCTTTCGCCTTCGCTCCGCGCTCATTGGCTGAGAGCAGAGTTTGACCTGGACGGTCCAACAGAGCTGAAGGCGTTGTGATTGGTCAACGTTAGCTTATGGGCGTGGCACGATATGGAAATTTTCCCGGAAGACGCGTTGCTACTTAATATTCATAGGCTGCTTAATATTCATAGACTGCTTAATATTCACAACCTGCATTTTTATTTAAAGCTTTCGTGACTGCAGGGATTCATATGCTTGGTTCTTTCGGTAAAGTCACGTAGAAGGGAAATAATAAAATAATAATAAATAATAACATTTTTTTTATTTCCCTTCTACGTGACTTTACCGAAAGAACCAAAAATATATATTCATAACCTGCTTAATATTCATGCGAGTTGAGAGTTTGTTGGTGTTGGGCATGGCCAATATCACAATCAGTATATGATCCTTATGGCGGTACCCCGGTGTACCAAATGATACAAACTGGTCGAGGCAATTAAATCTTTTATTTCTGGGACATTCATACTTTTTAGTTCTTTCCGAAAGAACCAACGTGTATGGATCCCTGCAGTCACGAAAACTTCAAATCTAGATTACTGGGACATTATACTGGTAGGAACCCACTGGTTCGTCGTGCAGGGAGGGCTGGGTGGAGAGGGTGGGGAGGGGCTGGGTGGGGCTGGGTGGGAGGGGAGGGGGGAGGGGGTGGGGAGGGGCTGGGTGGGGAGGGGCTGGGTGGGGGGTGGGATGGGTGGGGCTGGGTGGGGAGGGTGGGGCTGGGTGGGGAGGGGCTGGTCACCCCGTGGTGCCCTTATAAAACTCAACGTTTAACCTACTCACGCCGGCTTGTGCCCGCCCTCACAGTCGGCATATTTGCGGAATACACCACGCCGCCGTGGTGTATTTAAATGTACAGGGTTTGAGTGCCGCGGTGGCGAAATGTTAACTCTCTCGCCTGGTATGCAGGTGGTCGTGGGTTCGACCCTTGACGCCTGCTGCTGTATATTTGTAGTTTGCGTATCTCTCTCGTGGATTTTATCTCTGGGTCCTCCGATTTATTTCCCTCCACGTTTCGAGGACAAGAAGCCTTTAGAGTTTAGAGTATGGGGCCGTCCATAAATGACGTCACGCGATTTTGGACTATTTTTGACCCCCCCCCCCACCTTCGTCACGCGACGTCACAATAAGTCAGACACCCCCCCCCCCTCAAATATGACGTCACAAAGCTCTGCCTCCCCCCACCCCCCAAAATAAAACATGCTTCAAATCGCTTTAAACTATTGTCATTGTAGTGCGTATTTAATGTGGCGCTGCAGTCTGATGTCGTAGTAGAAAACATTTATTAAAAAGTCTATTTAATTAAGTAGAACGTGTTGTCTATATTTATTTAAAGTTGCGCATTTTGATGTGACGTCACATTTCTCACCTCCCCCCCCCCTCGTCACACATCGTCACAATGTCTGACCCCCCTTCCCCCCACAGGTGCGTGACGTCATTTATGGACGGCCCCTCGGGAGACAAAGGCGGTCGCGCGTGGTGCTTGACAACCCGCTCAGTAGTTGTGCCGTGCCGCCCTTCAACAGCAACTTGCCCCTAAAGTATATATTCTTAGGTTTTCAGTAAAGTCACGTAGGTAAAAATTTAAATTAATGAAAGTAAAATAAAAATACAATTTTATTTTTAAAAAGAAAATTTTATTTTTATTTTATTAATTTTATTTTTATTTTACTTTTATTAATTAAAATTTTTACCTACGTGACTTTGCCGAAAACCTAAGAATATGAATCCTTGCAGTCACGAAAGCTTCAAATCTAGAATTGCCCCTAAAGTTTTAGTTGACACGGGGGATGGGGGAGGTAGTGGTGGTGGATATTTGTCGTAGTACTTAGCACGACCACAAAGCTTTTCGTGAACACGTCACCACCACGGGGGGAAGGGGTGTGTGGTGGGGGTGGATGTCAGCTTTCCAACATTGCGCCACTCGCTTCGTCGCCTTTCGTTTATGATTACTGCTGTTGCTGTTGTGGCAAGAGCGCAGATGAGAGGGAAGAGAAGAAGCGACGCCTTAGCTTTGTGGTTTGCAAGCTAGAGAAAGTTTAAAAACACACGTGGGTTTTTTTGTTGTTAGTTTGTATATCCACATCGATTTTCTTAACTTTACACGCGAACGCGTCGAGAGCAATGCCCCCATTGTAAACGAGAGGGGGCGCGTAGCTGGAATAACTTGGCAGGGCGGTGAAGAAAAGTGGTGGTAGATTTGGGGGGCTGGGGAAACATGTATAGGGGGGCTGGGGGAGAAACGTGGAGGTTGGTACATGGCGGTAGTGGCTTTGTGCAGGCGTGTGCTGGGTATGCTCCGTTGTAGTGGTATCAGCACTGCTTGGTAGGAGTGGTGGTGGTGGGGTGGGTGGGTTGGTTGGTGGTGGTGGGGTAGGTGGGTTGGTTGGTGGTGGTGGGGTGGGTGGGTTGTTTGGTGGTGGTGGGGTGGGTGGGTTGGTTGGTGGTGGTGGTGTGGGTGGGTTGGTTGGTGGTGGTGGGGTGGGTGGGTTGGTTGGTGGTGGTGGTGGGGTGGGTGGGTTGGTTGGTGGTGGTGGTGGTGGGGTGGGTGGGTTGGTTGGTGGTGGTGGTGTGGGTGGGTTGGTTGGTGGTGGTGGGGTGGGTTGGTTGGTGTTGGGGTGGGTGGGTTGGTTGGTGGTGGTGGGGTGGGTGGGTTGGTTGGTGGTGGCCACCGGCGGAATTGTAGTCGCGTCCCTGCTGGTGCTGCTGGTGGTGGTCCCACATGGCCCATGCCTTCGTGCGCATCCGAGCAAAATCCGCATTGATCGAGTCCAGGGACGCAGAAACTCATCGCCATCATCAACCACCAACCAACCAAATGGCTCCAAACTCCACGTTCCTCTTCTGCACACCCGCACTCAGCCTGCAGCTCCGCACTCAATAAAAAGGGACCCGACCCATCTCCGACCTCGGCAAAACGCGCTCGGACACTTGCGCCGTGTGTCCACGAGTTGACTCAAGGCAGTCCTCGGTAGCCAGAGCCTCCTGCAATCATCATCATCTCTCTTTGCCCCCCTGAACATCACCATCAAAGATGATCCGCGCAGGTTGCACCGCAGTTGCCTGGTTTCCCCGCTCCCCCTTCCAGCGCTGCCACCTGCCCGCCGTCTCGCAGCTGTCGCTGGTGCACCATCATCAGCTTCACCATCATCAGCTTCACCTTCAGCAGCAGCATCAGCAGTCCCGTGCCAGCTCATCATCCTCCAGCGGCAGCAACTACGATGCCGCTTTCAAGTCGGCCAAGTCTGAGCCGGAGCACTTCTGGGCAGAAGCTGCCAAGGGGGTGACGTGGACCAAGAGCTTCGATCGGGTGCTGGATGACTCCAAGAGCCCCTACACGCGCTGGTAAACACACGTTTGTTCTTTGGTTCTTTCGGTAAAGCCACGTAGAAAGAGAATACATTGAATAGTAGAATACGACGTTTCGATTGCAACGCGAGCGATCATCATCAGGTACGAATTAATGAGAAAAACTAATTTCGATTTAAAGCTTTCGTGACTGCGGGGATTCATCTTCTTGGTTCTTTCGGTAAAGCCACGAAAGAAACAACAAAAGAAAAACAAAGCTAGTAAACTTAGAAATATAATGCAATACAACACAGAGAGTCGGCTAACACAACAGTCAACACCCTACCTGGTTGACAGTCAACAACCTACCTGGTTGATTATCGTTCTTCCAAAGAGTGCTAATTTCTCTCTCTCATTCATTCGTACCTGATGACGATTGCTTGTGTTGCAATCGAAACGTCGTATTCTATTATTTAATTTATTTTCTTTCTACGTGACTTTACCGAAAGAACCAAAGAGTAATTCCTGCAGTCACGAAAGCCCCAAATCAAGTTTAAAAGTTTGTTCGTTGCCTTTGGCTCCGGCTCCTCGGTTGGGTGTTGTGCGTGTGCTGTTGTTGTCTGTGTGCGAGCCCTCTCACGGCTAACGTCAGTGGCGAGTCATTGAACCGGTCAACGGGGCATCCTCCCTCCTAGGTCGACTCGGCCTCAAATGAGTACCTGGTGCGGTTGTGTGGTAAACGTCGCCACAGTGCCGGCCTTCGTAGGTGCTCGCGAACAGCACTTCTCCCCAAACAGTCTGTTACAGGCTACACTGGGATGGGGAGTGATCTTTGTCTTTGCTCTCTCATGAAACTCATTGGTTGTGGTTGACAGACGTGGTTTGTCGACTTCTATAAAACCTTGCATAACATGACCTCGACCAAAGGAAGGTGGAGTTTCCACCACTGCGCTGCCAGAGATGCAACTTCACCAAGGCTCAATTTTAGTTTTTTGTATTCGGGAGATAATCCATGACATGCCCGCTCATGTAAGTCCTGCAAATAACTCTTACATGTACAACGTCATCCATCCACCGTGTGTGTAGAATGTCAGGGCCGAGTGCTTGTTAGTGAGCAGCTCGGATTAGTACGGTTGGCTTCGTACGGTGCGAAAGAAGTTCAACAAAGTCCTGTACATTCATACAACCATGTTGGTATGGAACTCGTGATGCACCCACTATGAATCACTTTTGTCAATCCACTGCATGATGAAGACCTCCTTTCACGCCTTATAAGCTACTTGACTATACTTCACCACGCTGGTCAGTGCGCGTTGGGGCATAGTAGAGTACAACTGTAGATGTTTGCTGCGCTGCACTCTGCTGACTACATAGCCCCCGTAAGAGCCGACAAAATTTGCTTTATGCATGGTATGTTGCAGGCTCAAATACCACTTAGCTTCAGAGACCTGACGAGGTTGGGAGAGTACTCGGTAATTTTGGCATAGACCATCACATACGTATTGTGTACAGGTAAACAACAACATATGTACCGTATTGTAAGCCTATACTGATGTATATGGTAAGTGATCATGTAGCTGACATGCTTAATACTTATGTAGTACATTGCCAGTGTTTTACACCACCCCACCTGTACACTTACCTTCTGGCACTGATTGAAATTCCGAATGCTGATCAAGTAATTTGCATAACAGACTGCTTTGTGATGCTTATCATTCTATTCCTACAACGTGATTTTTGAACTATACAAAGATGGTACTTGATCCTCTCACTTATCTCACATTTTAATCATTGATTGTGAACACCGCTACAGTACCGGGGGAGTGCTTGATAAGCCCCTGACAATGTAATGTGTTTGCCGATGTGCTTTGTGCAATTGTTCTTTGCCTCTCTATCACGTGCAAATATGTTTATTGAACCTCCCGTTTGATAGTTCCTCTTGGAAGCCACTTTGGAAGTTCTGCTTTTAAAAACAACAATACAATACTGTATAAACAAGACCATCGCTTGTTGTAGTTATTTTTATACTTGAATTTTGTTAGTGCTACAACATCACAATTGACCATTATGTCATGCGAGATTAAGTGGCTATAAGCATTCACCGTTATAGTCGGGTTAAACCATACGTCTGGTATTTTTTCCAGTAGCTATACAGGTTACAACAACTGCTGCTTGAGTGGCATTACATATCTCAGGTGAAAAACTAGACAAAAAAACAAGTTTTACCAATCAAGCTTGACATCAGAGGTTTTAGCCAAATCAACGGACTGACTTCACTTTAAACACTACTGGGTAATTGCTGAAAAGTTCAATAGCGTGGTGAGTAATTATTTTTCGCTCCTGAAGCTTTAGGTCCTTTAGAAGATTAAGTAATCATCAGTCTGATACGGTTACTTCCTCCCGTGCATCAATGCTATAATAGAGACCTGAATCCTATTGTGCCTATTCATATAATATTACTATTAAGGTCTGTCAAGGTGGAAGATGATTTTCACAAATTGTTTATTGAGGCGTATGTGACCTTGGGCGCTGCTGTTGGGATACCCTGCAAGTGTGACTTTGTCTCTTCTTAAGTTGCCCTTTCTGAAATCTTGCACAGAGTTGCCAAGTCCATAATCAGACAAGTGTACATGTCAATCAAACCGTGGCCATTGTGAAAAGAGGGAATTTAATACCAACTTTTTTTCCCACCTTTCACGAATTATGACAGATCCATCTTCAACATTAAACTCGACGCATCCAGGCAAACCAATTTACACGAGTCTGCTTTTGAGCATGCAATTTTATATGAAGCTGAAGTCGGAATTACAACTTTTTAAGAACTGAGAATAGGTTTTCCCCTTTTTTCTGGCAACAAAACAGATGTTAAAACACCAAATTGAAACCTTTTACAAGCAATCATGTCTGCATTAATCACAATACTTGTGGTGAGAATGCAAAAAAAATACTCTGATAATATATGCATAGTTTTTTTTAACTGATTGGTCCACACCAGAGACAGCTTTCTTTTGAGCCTAGTTTCAAAACGGTGTGAGACCAGAGGACACCAAAAGGCGTACAGCACAAAGACAACACACTATCAGAGTAATGAGAGCTCGGGGTGAGCAGCTACATCATGGGACCTCCTTTTGCCAGTACCAAAATATGATAATAGGTTTTCCCCTTTTTTCTGGCAACAAATCAGATGTTAAAACACCAAACTGAAACCTTTTACAAGGATTCATGTTTGCATTGACCACGATTCTTGTGGTCAGAATGCAGACAAGAACTGTATGCCTCCTTTTTAGTATATATTTTATGCCGCAAAGAATGAGCATTTTTGATCGAGAAGAGGCCTGATGGCTCGTTGGGACATTCCGTCTACAGGAAAGCCACCCACACGGCCCAGAAGAACTCCCTCATCAAAACACTACACCATAGGGCGCACTGCATCTCCGACCAGCGCCACCTAGCCAGTGAACTGGAGCACGTACACCAAGCATTCAAGATGAATGGATACTTAGACCGCACAATCCGCAAAGCTGTATCCCCAACCATAGGGAGACAACCATCTGAGGACCCAATCAAAACCATCACCTTGCCATACATAGCAGGTGTTTCCAAAAATATTTCCCAAATCGTAAACAAACACAAGATCCAGGTCCGATTCAATACAGTACACAAAATCCGTCATTTGATCCCATCTCTGAAGGATATCATTCCTGACATGCAATACCCTGGTGTCTACAAACTAAGTTGTGTCTGCGGCATCAGTTACATTGGGGAAACGAAATGACATGTCACGGACCGTGTTCGCAAACACAAGGCAGATTTGAAACACGGCAGAACCAATACCTCTGCCGTGTCTGATCATTGTTATAACGCAGTGGGCTCACACCATATTGTTTTTTTCCGAGACCAAGGTACTCTGCAAACCTTCGGGCTACCATCAAAGATTTGTCCATGAAGACATCCAGATATATAAACACAGAGACAATTTCAACCGAGAAGATGGGTATAAGCTGAGCAATCATTGGAAGGACGTTATTAACCAAGCAAAGTTGTAACTTGCTGCGGTGCTTCCATTCTTCCCTGCCGTTTGGCTGTTATTTCCGCCTCTGAGTTGCATTACCCTGTTAAGTGCCTCTGCATTAACGGGCTGGGTTCTCACTAACATGGCCACCTCTGCTCCCTTAGCCTCGATGTATCGATGGTTCTGGCTGTGTGATGGGCTGTGTGTCTCGCTGGCGTGACCACCGTTGCGGTGGTTCTCTTGCGTGGACGCGCTTGCCTCTCACAGCGCAGTTGGCAGTGCCACAGCTTGTGTTACACATGGACATGACATTAACTTGCTAATCCCCCTAATCTCTCTGCCTAATCTCTCCCATCAACATAGTGCTAATCTCCCATGAACACTGCTGTTGTGCGCATATGCGGGGACGGTGCTCTTGTGCGGGGACGGAAGCTCATTTCATGCTAATCTTTCTCCCTAATCTCTCTCTCCCTAACCTCCCCCATTAACACAACTGACGTGCTTGCGTTCGGGGATGGAATGCCTTTCCAACTGAGACCCCGTCTGCTTGCCCTTCGCCACATATATAACCTTGTAGTAACAGCTCTCTCGCTGGTTCAGCAGTTCCATTGCTGGATTATTTTTTCCGCATGAGGACGACCGCTTCTGTTTATTTTTCTACCTACGTGGCTTTACCGAAAGAACCCAAGAGTAATGAGCATTTATTAACCCGTTTCAATGCATGCCATTCAAATGACGTTATTTGAGCACTGGATCGCTGTTGACTTCTCTGGCCTCAATTGTCAATGCGAGAACATACTGTTCGTTGCTTTACAAAAACAGCTGCTTTGCCAAGCGCTTGTTCCCCACGAGTTCACTCTTTGCTTACTTGGTGAGAGGTGCTGGCAGAGGCAGACGTTTCCAAGCACGAACGCACGCGAGCAGTGACACAGGATACATCACAAGCACATTACAGATTTGAAGCTGCCTGCACATGAAGCACCATTGCGCACATGCGGAACGATTGATGCTTGTGTCCAACGTGGCAGTGAATGCATGAAAGTAATGAATATGCAATACGGTAATTGGTACCCATGATGCGATATTGTAAGTGTTTACTAACAGCATTCATATATTGTATATATTTTAAGTAATATGCTCAGTAACAAGTACTATGCTAAACAAGTACACGTTCAGAAAGCACATGCAGAGTACGTTTAACTAATGAGCTTATTCGATTGCAAATTGAATACAGCTTTACAAATGTACTGTACTATACATTGTTACAGTGGATATGCCTTGTATTTCTTTACCTTACATGAACTATTTTTAAAATATGAAACCAATTAATAATTCTTGACTTAAAGCTTTCGTGACTGCAGGAATTCATATTCGTTGGGTCTTTCGGTAAAGTCACGCAGATAGGTTCAAAATTAATACAATTAAGAAAAGTTTCTCAAAAAATAATGTAGAATTGTTTTATTTGTGCTTTTAAGAAAAATCCAGTTCGTAACCAAAAATAACTTCACATTAACAAAAAGGCCTGACCTTAAAAAGGTCAACATTCCACACCATCTAACCGCAGAGTCAAATATGGCCTTCATATGACACGAGCCCACAGAAACCACAGAAACCACAGCATAACGATACGGATGCAAATTGCACAGATAAAGCAGAATGTGAGAGGTTGCAATACTTAAACACTACGAAGTTGTGGCTAATTCATCAATGGGGTAATACACTGTGAGGTGGCATTGAGGTGTACTGAGGACACCGAAGCATTCCTCACAACTGACATGCGACATTGAACTCGGCTCACACCACTTTTGTAAAGTTCAGACAAAGAGCGGCTGAGTCAGCGTGTAAGCCGGCGACGTCCAGATATGGAGGAGAAAGATTCAGTGTTGGCCTGGTGAGTTTGGTGTGCAAGCGGGGGGGGGGGGGTGTTGCATGGTTGTGCAACAGGTGGCAACTGGTGGCTCACAACTGGTGGATGACTAGATTAGTACAAGAATTCTGTAGTGGGTGACTTGTTGCTGACCGGATTGGTGGGTTTGAACTTAAACAATTCTGGTTATATTGACCAAAAAAGAAATCTACACACCACGTAACCAGAGTTTTCAAAGATTTTGAAAAGAATTTGAAAACTGGTTGAAGGTTTTATGCAATCCAAATCGTGTGATGGTGAATGTTCTTTTTTGTCCCCGAGGATTGTTTGACCTTCACCACGGGGGTCAGTGCGAGTTGGTGAATGTAGGACCCAGGTTTGATTTATATATATTGTTTGCCAGCTGTGGTCTATTAATGGGGCAAAGTTTTTGGCTATTTCGTCAGGATGTGAGTCTGCTACTATGTTCTATTAAGTAATTGCATGTGATGCATTGTACAGTATTGTATATATGCGAATGTGTGGTGAGATATTTAAGATTATACAGCATATGAACCTTATGGCAGGACCCATGGGTCCCGAATAAACGGAAGTCAATATCGCAATTAATTTATTTACTTTTGGCGATTCCTTCACATCGCGCACATAAACGCCGCGACCCACCTGGCGCGGATCATTCTGTTGTCATGTCGTTGCCGAAATTGCCGTAGTCATAGAAACTTTGATGGGCGCATCGTGTAGAGCTCGTCAAGAGGAGTAGATTGCCGTATCGTTCGCCTTAAACAGACGTAAAATGATGTCGCATCGCTGTTTATGCGAGAGCCGGGGTCCCGCCATAAGGTTCATATGCCTCTTTTAAAATTTCCACCGTTGAAATGAGATTATGCCCATCAAGGGAGCTTTTTGTGTGAGTAAGTGAATACAATTTAACAAATTAAATATCAACATCTACCAGCAAAACGTGTTCATTCTCACCAACACCCACGCTGGACTGCCAAAGTAATAGCTTGGCGCATACGATCATTATTAATGTTGGCCATCACAGCATCACGCTTTTATCCAATTACAGTGCTGTATGTTTAATGCACCACAATGTACTGTTGTATGTCGATGCATTACTCATAATTGTTATGCATATTGAGCCAAACAGATTTCATCAAACATTTGAGCCGAACTGAAATTCTATAAAGGCCAGGGTGCAGTCGTTTGTGCACTGAACTCTGAACCCGGTGTCCAATGTTCAATTCCCAGACATGGCTAACATCAGTGACAAGTGATACTTTCACCAACCCACACTGATCAGCATGATAACAGTTAGGTTGGCTGTTATTTAATCAGGCAAGTCCATTGAAATGTATGATCAATTAGGCAAAGGAGGCTTGAGAGATAATACATGAGAGTATAGTAGTAATTAATTGTATTATTTAGCCTGTGATACTGACACAAGGTCTTTCCTATCGACTTTACTCTCCATAGCGTGATGTGGTCTGATAACCTGGAAAAATGTTTCAGAGTAACGGTGGGAATTGGACAATTGCGCAGCGTTAAGCTGCTTCAAGTGCTATTCACACTGACCACCAGGCTGTCCAGCCACTCAATGTGTATACTGTAGTACAGACATGGACATTACAATCAAAGTCAACACTAACTAGTGTTACCAGGTTTCTAGTTAACTTTTATATTGGAATAATTGTCACATATAAACAATTTGGAAAATCGATAGGATGTTAAGGAACCTGTCCCATTGTTTCAGCTGCCCCGCTGGGAGATCGAACCAGCGACATCTGGATTGCAAGTCCAGTGTGATCACCATTGCAGAAATGCATTCTTGCCTCGTGACGTTTAAATGGCAACACTGGGCAAATGCTGGACGGCTTAATGTTGCATCTGCAAGCTCTAATATTGCATATGGGCAAAGTCCAACTGGTGCTGCGATGTTTCATTGTGAGCGTTGAGAAAGTTAATTGTTAACAACTGGTAGTCTACACTCAGCTGTTCTCTGGTATCACTTGTGATAGTTATACAAAAATCGTGTCCCAAAGTTACGTTTTATTTTGCAACATGTATTTTATTCAAAGTTGTACTGTTGCCATTAAAATGATACTGGTAGGGACCTCCTGGTTACACCAGCCCACAGGGGATTATTGTGTCCGTCCGTCCGTTGTGCGGGGAGGGGCCGGGTGGGGAGGGAGGGGCTGGGTGAGGAGGGGAGGGTGGGGAGGGGCTGGGTGGAGAGGGTGGGGCTGGGTGGGTATAGGGGAGGGTGGGGAGGGGCTGGGTGGGGAGGGTGGGGAGGGGCTGGGTGGGGAGGGGAGGGTGGGGCTGGGTGGAGGGTGGGAGGGGTGGGGCTGGGTGGGGAGGGGCTGCTCACCCCGTGGTGCCCTTATAAAACTCAACGTTTAACCTACTCACGCCGGCTTGTGCCCGCCCTCACAGTCGGCCATATTTGCGGAATACACCACGCCGCCGTTGACCCTGGCCATTGACCGAGCAACCCAACGTTCCATACCAGCTCCCTCCGCAGGAATGTGTTTTATAGGGTGTTAAGAGTAACCTTGGGGTATAGTGGTGCCAGTGCTTAGTGCACTCTATGGATCCAGAAACTGACGTTCGATTCCCAGATATGGCTAACATCAATCGCAAGCAATTTCTGGACTATTTCTGGGCATCCCCTTTCACTGCTACCCACACAGACCAGCATGGAAAAGCACGGTCAAACAACCCCCATGACTGACATTGGATTCCTCCAGTGTAAATACATATTCTGATTCCGAATCTGAATTTGCAAGAACTTAAATGGTGATTAAATGATAAACAATGGCCTTGTATTTTTTGTCCTGAATGGATTTTTTTTTACATTGAAAGTGGTATGCAGGATATTTTTTGTGGTGTTTTCCTCAGTCTAATTGGTTTAAGCTTTAATGTAGTCTAACTTTAATGCGTGACAAATGACACGTTCTATTTTCCATTTTCAAGAAATCATCCAATAAAAAAATTAGCTTTTACCAATTTGTATTCTTTGGAATTTAATTTAGATAATTATAGGTTTAAATAACATCAGAGCCACATTACCTTAAAGTAGACAATACATAAACAGGCAATATGTATGTTCATTTAACACTGCATGGCTGTTTATGCTCAAGCTCTGTATGTATAAAAGGTTTAGATGCTTGCTCTGGTGACTCAAAATCCATTAAAACATGACGCATCAATAAGTGTTCTGCGTTGTGTGCAACTATTAGCAGTACGTTTTAGTGCGGTTCATAGACATGTTGACGTGCTGGTGTGGTTGTGCTACTTATGATGCCGTGTTGAATGTGTGCAAGGGTTGACATCAATTCATTTACCCGTTGGTGCAGCGTGTTTTAGTATGTTGGTGTACCAATGTGGTTGTGGTGCTTTGTAACTGAAGGCTGTATTTCATGGCAGAGCACTGGCATTGGTGGTGGTGGTGCTGGGTCATTGGGGGCCCAAAAGCATACATTACTTATGTTTGCATCACGTGACGATAAACATAGAGTGGACAAGCTGCGTAACTTAACCACTGTAAATCACGGTTGGGTGAAATCATTACATTAATGAAATACTTCTGATTAGTTTAGCAAGCGTGATTATATTTGAGCTTTTTTTTATTTTAATAAGCATCTCTTGTTTGAGCTGATATTTCGTGCCCTCCATTTTTTTTTTTGCATGAACCCATGGGCCCCCTTTGAGCTGCTTGGCACCTTCAACTTTTGCTGAGTTGGTGCCTCGTGCCAGCACTGCGCGCTGGTGCTATTATTAAGGAGACATGCTGGTGCCAACGGCGGTGCGGTGTGTGGGCCCTGCTAGGTTCGTGGACGGGCAGTTGAACATGTGCTACAATGCACTGGACCGGCACGTGGAGGCTGGCCGCGGAGACCAGGCTGCCATCATCCACGACAGCCCCGTCACAGGCATCGTTCAAACCATCACATACCGCCAGGCTCTAAGCGAGGTAAAAGGGGCCCCCTTCACCTTGAACACAAAAAAATGAAAGTCAACTATTTAGTCACTGCTCTCAAAAACCGTGTTTCTCAACTGCATTTCGCACACAGTGCGCGGTGTGTTAATGGGTTAATTTACACATGAATATAAATATGTTGGTCATAAAAAAAGAGGATCGTGGTGAGGTTGTTATCGACTGGAGTTGAGAAACATTTCTCGAAAGCCAACCTCGCCGACCATCGTCAGGCGCAGCACATTGTGGACTCTTGCACAATGAAATGTATCAAATCTAAATTTAAATGATCAGATTTAAAGAGATGGGGCCAATTCATATGTTGGCAGAGGGCCTTTTAATTCCACGAAAGCACTTTGGGCATTTTTCCATTGGTTCCACAAAGACAGCGATATCCGCCAGGCTTAATTGCCCTCCGCAAACATGGAGCGGTTTTACCCATGGACTGGATTAACTTAAAGATGTGGTCTATCAGCTATGAGACCATATCCATCATTAAATATTAGACTCCCATAAAAAAGTAGCACTGGCATCACAATACACCAGTGCACAAATCACCAGCTGAGCAGAGGGCAGTGAAACGTCAGCTCTGCAAGCTGTACATCTGACCCAGATACATAACACCGGGTCTCAACGCGGTGATAAATGATGTGCAACCTGCTCGACCACATTGTTGTGCGTGCACGTTCATGTTTGTCCATGTATACGTGTGCATGCATGTGGACGCATGGCTGTGCAATCACACCTAAGAATGTTGTGCTCTTGTGTTGTCCTTGTTATGGCTGTGTGCGTGTGCAATGTTGTGTTAAAGGTCCTATTTACATAAACTGACTACTATAATGACTGAGTGAAGGATGTGGGTTGCATGCATGCATGTGCTTGTATAATTTGTTCATATATATTTTGCAAACAAATGCCTCCAATCATTATACCTAACTATATATATCTTATTTTTTTAAATCCTCGTGATGGTAAATTACATATATTCACTTCAGTGCTAAATGAATAATAACGACTTCTATTGGTGGTGGTGTTTGAGTACCGACAGAAATCACATTATTGCTACCATCATTAATGCTACCTGGCTCTTTTCAAAAGCAGTGTGGCACTCTTTGATCTGAATAGATGTCATTGTCCACAGTGCGAGCCTACTATGCTATATATCAATGCCAAAGTATCTGGTCAGGCTAGTACAGGGCAGCACCATTCTGTTTGGTGACCCCGTGTCTGAGCGTACGCATGTGTGTGTGTGTGTGTGCGCACGCGCCTGTGTGCAGGTGTCTCGTCTTGCCAGCGTCCTGGTGAAGAACGGAGTGCAGAAGGGCGACCGTGTGGTCATCTACATGCCCATGATCCCCCAGGCCATGTTTGCCATGCTGGCCTGTGCTCGCATTGGAGCCATCCACAGCCTCATCTTTGGAGGCTTTGCCTCCAAGGAGCTGGCCGTCCGCATCAACCACGCCAAGGTGTCCGGGCGTCAAAAACGTTCTCTTAGATGTGGGCTGTCTCGTTTTTTATATAAATCCATTTTTCTACCGATAACGGTTAGATTGTGTTATCAGATCGGACAAAAATATTTGGAAAATTAGTCTAACTTTTGTTCTCACGCTTGCCGCTGGACGGGAGGTGATGGGCAGGGTTTTCTTACTGAGGTCATAGGCATTGCAAGCCGCATCATGCTGGGCGTGGATCTTTGGGGGTTTCCTGCCTTCGGCAGGCAGGTTATTGGGGCATCTGCTATTTTCAATCTATGTCAAAAATAGTCGATTATAATTGTGAAGCACCTTAACTGGCTAAACATTCATGAATCAAATTCCTCCGTAACCGACTTGTTGGTATATAATTGCAACATCACCAGGACAGTACAAATCTTGTTTGCCTGGTCCCAGGCTCATTCTCTCAATAGCTTCACCACCTCTGACCTCCCACAAAGTGATGATGGGATGAATAGGCTTACGATAGATATGACCTACTTATTAATAACTATCTGAATATGTCTCATTTACTGGAGATTTGCAATTCCCACATTAAATAGTAACCATATAGTGTAATTGTAAATATTCAAGGTCAAGTAATCCACTTTTTTCCACAAATATCGATTTCCCTGTCTGATTGCCATTCATTATATATATCCACTTAAGTACTCAATATGTTGGTTATTATGTCTCCATTGATGTCTTTCATTGTACCTTGCAAGATTAAGGATGATAGATGTATTTCTGGTTTTATATTTTTTTCCATAAATCTTTGGCACTTTGCAGCATTGTGCCTTTAGTATTGTATTTCAGCATTTAACATTCAGATTACAGATTAGCATCACTTACTCCGACATTAAGGCTGTAGCTTAGCACATTCGAGCCTTGAACATTAAATCAATAAAAATTAAATCAATAGTTTGGGATTACATCAGCATGATATCCTTTAACATTGTACTTTTAGAATTGCAGTATAGTCATTATCTTTCAATATGAAGCCTCTGGTGTAGCAATCCAGGCATCCATGTTTAACCCATTGTTTAGCCCATTGTTTAACCCATTGTTTAGTGTGGCTGTGTTTGTACAGCAGTGGCACAGTGGTTAGCATGCCGAACTACAAACTTGGCAAACCAAGTTCGATTCCCTCTCACAGCCAACACCAGTGACAATGATCTGAACCGGTCCTGAGCCTGTCCTAGGTCGACTCAGCCTCAAATGAGTACCTGGTTCGGTGTGTGGTAAACATCGCCACGAGGGAGACAAAGGCGGCGGGTGTGGTGCTATCCACCCACCCCCTTGTGTGTCGTGCCAGCCTTCATAGGTGCTCGCTAACAGAACTTGCCCCAAAAGCTTGGTATGGCTACATGGGGGATCTTTGTCTTTTGTCTACAGCCCAAGATGGTGCTGAGTGCTTCGTTTGGGATTGAACCAGGCCGTCAGGTTGCATACAAGCCGCTCCTGGAGGCAGCGCTTGACATCGCCACGCACAAGCCTGAGAAAGTCCTTGTCTACAGCCGGCCTGGCATGGTATCATGAACACGTGCCCTCCTGGCCACACCATGCCACTCCTCCGCACAGCAGCTGCTTGCCGTTTCATACTGTTGAGCAGGAACATTGGACGAGCAGCTCATTCCCATGCTTCAAGCTCTCCCGAACACCACGCCACGTCTGGCAACAACATTCTGTACCACTCCCGTACCGTGTTGCACTGCATTACTATGCCATGCTGCTAACCACCAGCGAAGCACGGTTGCAATAAAATACAGCGAGCAAAAATCTTCCGTGACGTTTTGGAAATGTAAAGAAAAAAAAAGGCAAAAACGATTATTGTGCCTGTCAAGATGTTCCTGACATTTGCTCTTCCTTGACTGTGCGGTGACAGGCGCGGGCATCGCTGGTTCCTGGCCGGGACATGTGCTGGCAGGAGGAGGTCTCGGCTGCCAAGCCCCACGACTGCGTACCCGTATCGTCGGACCACCCCCTCTACATCCTCTACACGTCCGGCACAACTGGAGCCCCCAAGGTGCGAGCACGACGGTGCCTCCCGCTATGCAAGAACGATGGGTGGATCAGGATTGGCCTCAGACACTGTCCTGCCTCCAACACACAACTGCTTCATATCGCAGATGAGGCGCCTGCCATGGGGCGCGCATAGCACGTGTGATGAAGCCATGAATGTCATTATGTGGGCCATGGTAACGGACACACAAATATACATTACACATGTAAATGACCACTTTTTTTGACAGCCAAAATATCGTTAATTGCTTACCTAAATATACTCATTCAATAATTGCTTATTAAAATGTCTTATAAAGTAATTACGCTTACATAAAACCTACACTGAGGGGTATAATGATGAACCAGTCCCTCCAGAAAAACGCGATTATGCGATCGCAAGTTTCCACGCAAAATCAGCCAAAGTCCGCATATTTATGCGGGGGGCGCGTTTTTTCAAATACGCCGCACTTTCGCCGCATAAATTGCAGATTTCCGCGCGCAAAATATGCGGGCTTGCATGATTTCATAATCCCCGCATTTTCGTTGCAAAAAGTCACATATATCTTAGCAGAAAGTTGAAAAATGTTGCGTTTACTTCACACAAGCGCAGCCATTTCCCCTGTTGCCATGGGAACGTTATGAAGTGACGTCACTCATTACAGTTGTAAGATTGCACCTTTTTGTTAGTAGTATGTAAATTTACATTACTGTAAGACTGTACTGTTACTGTATTGCTTACGTTACTGTGCACTGAAAACACTTATTTTAACAGAAGATGTCTGTTTTGTATAGCTACCTCTGTAAAACAGGAAGCACACATTTTATTTTTTAATATTTTATTTATTCATTTTTACAGAAGTTGTAGCATATTCATTTTGTAAAGCTACAGAACTTGTTCGACTCAATGTTTTGTAAGTTTGAGCCATCTGTTTGTTAAGGTCTGAAATAAAACAAGATGAGAACTTAAATATTCCCAGCACTTTCTGTGATGTAGTATGCTTGCCTATCATAGGAAGTAATAAGAAATGACTCTTTACATTAAAGTAGTAGCCGAGTGAATAGGGTGTTGGGGGAATCACTTTTTTTTCTCTTTTTCATCAAACCGCAGTTTTTGCAAGTTCCCGCAATTTAATCGCATAAAATTGCATAAATATCCCGCATATTCCATCGCATTTTTTAAGAAAACGTGCCGCATAATCAACGATTTTTGCCCGCAACAATCACCAAAAAACTCCGCGTTTTTCTGGAGGGACTGATGAACACATGGATCAGAGAACGTACAGAATTCAGAGACATCACATTCACTGTTAATAAAAATAACTGGGCTTGGGCAGGACGCATCGCTCGAATGTGTGATGGCCACTGGTCAAGGTTAATGAGGGAGTGGAAGGTAAAGGAGGGAGCATGCCTGACAGGACATCCACAACGGAGATGGAGCAATAAAATCAGTTCATGCGCAGGAGCTAGATAGATTGTTTTAGTTTGTTGTTCTTCCTCCGCACCTCCAATTAGCACGGTTGGCTACGTACGATGTGAAAGAAGTTCAATATACGTACGTAAGATCCATGAGAGATGATAATGAATTGGACATGCCTTCATGCAGAAGGCGATAAATCACTTCTGTAGATGATGATGAGACCTTAACTTATATGGGAGGACACACAGACATTAAGATAAAGTGTCCATTAGATTCCATTGTTAATGAGGTAATGATATCACCCAGAAAGCAATATTACTTTTGTTTTCAGATTTCGATCTTAGCAATGTAATAATGGTGCGGTTAAGTTTATAGGAAGATTTTGTGTTCTTAGATAACTTTTTTATAATATTACATGCCTAAATCTGTGACCAATTCCTAATAGCCACAAACACAGATTCAGAATCTTTATTTATATCAGAGGAATCTTATGAGCTATAAAGCTTTTTTTTACAGATGTCCAGTAGACATCTCTCCAGTAGACATCTGTGAAAACACTAGCAACTCCTCTTTTATCTTCTCTCAATTCTGTTGTCCAGAAGTAACATTTTAAAATAGCTAATTGTGAGTGCTAATATGGCCTAAATATCATCAACGATATCAACAGTAACATGCATTCACACATTTTACACATATATATAAAATGCAATTTCATTTGCTTGACATCTGAAAATAACGTGGACTTCAAGTCGAAGTATCAATAATTGATACTGAAATGCGCTGGCGGTGTGTGAACGATTGTTGTTTCGTGTGTCTGGTAATGGCAGGGCGTTGTGAGGCCTACTGGAGGCCATGCTGTCATGTTGAACTGGAGCATGTCGTCCATCTATGGCCTAAAGCCTGGCGAGGTGAGGTTATAAAGGCAACCCGTTGCGTATCTGTATAGCGCCTGTTTACACAGACCTGAACTACGTAATAATTTTTTTTTGACTGCACAAACATATTTCCAAACATTGCATTTACTCCAACATCGAAATCATGGACCAATTCATTCAAATTTTGAGTATCTTTAGCGAGGCGTAGCCATCTTCCCAATTTCAGTACTGTATTTTAATTTTATGGACTGCTGCCAATCAACACACTTTCAGGCTTAAATGTATAATATAAGTGGCAACATTATTTGACCAAATTACACTTTGGCAAGAATATAAATGCGGTATATTGACAAATTCACCTCCTGAGTGCCGTGATAACAATAGTATAGCATTATGTTTTGCCCAGTCATCTGAGGCTACATGCAAGAGTTCCACATCACCACAAGTTAGTTTACAGGCAACAGCACTGTCCGATCAAAGTGTGAGGTTACAACAAGAAGATCCTTTCAGCTGTCGTAATAATACTCACACCGGCATTTAATGCAAGGGAATTGCTACTTCCATGATTCCATAGTACTGTACTGGCTAGCAGCTTTATTGGTGACGGTTTAAAACCTTGGCCCTTTGACCTTCCTACCCTGACAAGGATTCCCAACCCCCATAAAGGAGAGTGTCCAGAAGAAAGATTCTATTGCATTTTACAAGGGCACTGATAAGCAAGTTGAGCAAGACACTCAAGTAATATTTTTGTTGCCTCTGAAGGCGCAATTATTTATTTATTTATGAACCGCATGCTGAAGCAATTATTCGCAGGAAGTGTTCATATTTTTACACTGAGGGGCCGTGGAGGAGGAGGAAAATGTAAGTCAACATTCCAGTTTTACAGCCATTTTGCTGTCACCTTTGAGATGTCACGTGCTCACCGTGCGTGATCGGTGATGGTGCTACAGTGGCATCCCTATCCTAATTAGACACACATCGATGCTGTGGTTTGTTTGCCCACTTTACAATAGTTTAATGTATTTTTGTAACGTCCGTTTAAAAGACACTGCCTGTATTGTCAGGCACGTACAATTCATAACCCACGTTTTCATGCAAACAAATATAGGAATAATCTTTACTATACGATACAAACAATTGGCGTGTTTGATTATTTAAATGAAGCACCGACAAACTGTTGGTAAACTGAACCAACAACGCGGACGAAATAGTCGTGGAAAATAAATCGTGCATTGCAATGTATAAAAAAAAAACAATTAAAGGAGGGCGTATGCCAATTGCAGGGCAGGTAATTGCTTGTGGTTTTTCAAACACAAATAAACAGTGCTCTCTTCACAGGAGATCAAAGTGAATGTTTCTACTATCAGCATTGTTCAACACAAAGATAGCAGTACTGTGCCATAAAATATGAGGGTAGAGAGAGCGAGCCTTGAAACAGCTTTTGCTATTAATACATGTAACTGCATTGTAAATAGTGGCAGTATAATAATATTCAGCCACAGTAAATGTGTTTTAAGGAAAAATTCAGTCTGACATGCCCCTCATGGCAGATTTTTTTTAACGAGGAATATTAAAATCGTCTGCAGGTGAAGACGTCGTGATTTTGTATAATTTTATTATTTTTCTATCTACGTGACTTTACTGAAAGACCCAAAGAGTATGAATTCCTGCAGTAATACGAAAGCCTTAAGTCAAGAGTCATAGTAAGTTTTAGAAAATATAGAATTCATGAAATGTTAATATATATTTTCAGTTTTGTTCTTCTGACATACACGGTTGTAAGCGATGGAATTATAAGATTATTATTCTATCAAAAAGTTATTTTTGCTGAAACGCTCAGGAAAAAATTATGGTCTGAATGTTGCACTATTAACATTGATCAGTGAAATGTTTCTAAAGTTACTCGTTAATATTTTTCTCATTAAAGGGCGAGGTTATGTAGGGTATACGTTATGTAATTTAACAATTTAATTATAAATCCCAACTCAAGTGATACTCTCCCATATCAAACCCTGTTTGGAAGAGGAATTCATCAAAGCGTTGTCCAATTATTTAGGTAAATATACTTTGCTGCATTCTGTATGTCTCCTTTAGTCCTCAGTCGTAAGTATATGAAAGTTCAGACAGAATTTTTTTTTAAACAATTAAACAAATAATATCCAAAGACATACATCTACATAAATTGGGGTTTTAAAAGTTGTAGACTTCAAATTAATAAATGCAGCACAATGGTATTTTTATTTTAATAATGTCACGAGACGAGACAATCTATGTGTCTGGCTTGCAAATTTAAGAAACGTTTTCTCACCTCATTAAAAATATACGTTTCGTTCATTAGCTCAGTGCATTTAATGATTTTTGATATGTAGGGGAATGATTGTATTGGTAAACATCCATTTTCTAAAGGAACAAGCTCGATTATGTGTAGTACAAAAATCGAATCCTTGACCCCAATTAAAATATCTGTAAATGTTGCCACTCTGTGGTTTTGCTCTCCGAATATCACCGTGAAGTGTTTGCAAACGGTGAATTGGTAGCACAGTGTATTTAGCCAATGTTGTGATGAATTGAGTGTGGAGTTGGGCGTGCGTGCTCGGGCCTGCAGGTGTGGTGGGCTGCCTCTGACCTGGGCTGGGTGGTGGGACACTCCTACATCTGCTACGGTCCACTGCTGCACGGGAACACCACCGTTCTGTACGAGGTGAGATGGGGAACAGGTGCAGCGGTGACCACATCAAAGTTCAAAGTTTCATTTATTAGGTATAGCCCTGTGAGCCGTTCGGCTCTTGAATCGGGTGCAACCGCAACAATCAAAAAACAAAAACATGAACAAGAAAACATCTTAAAGTGACTATGTGCAAACAGAAAATCCAAGAAAAGACAGCAAAATATTGCAGAAAAATCACCGTACACCAACCCTGTGCAAATATCCCAGCCCCACTTTCGTGCCATGCTACCCCTAATAGGTGTTTACGAATGACACTTGTTCCAGCAATGTATAGAGGTTGTATGAATTACATACATGTCAACCCAAACGGTTTACCTGTATTCTTGTATAGGGATATTGAGTTTTCAGGTCCGTACGACATGATGCCGTTTTAAATGGTCAATTTGTTTGTGTTTCTCCCTTGCGATGGGATTTTGTAGGATGAACGTTGAGATTTATAAGGGCACGGGGTGACCATTAATGTCTGAATTGGTCTGTAATAAGATCGGCACTGATAACGGGTAGACAGGTGTGGAATTAGAATTTATATTTTACATTTCTACACTGTGGCAGTCTTGCACTATGAACTTCACATAGGGTTGGGGTTTGAGTAAGGTTTGGGGTTAGGGTTAGAGTTAAGGTTAGACCTAGGGTTAGAGTTAAGGCTGGGGTTAGGGCTAGAGTTATAGTTGGGGATACAGTTGATTACACGTGTGTATATGTGTATATGCTCGCTAACAGCAATTGCCCCAACAGTCTGTTAAAGGCGAGATGGGGGATCTTTGTCTTTGTATGAGAGCGGTAGTGCAGTGAGTTCAATTCCCGCTCATGGCTAACACCGGTGACAATTATCTGAACTGGTCCTGGGCCACCTCCCCTAGGTCGACTCAGCCTCAAATTAGTACCTGATGCAGTGTGTAAACATCGCCACTGGGGAGATAAAGGCGGTCAGCCGTGGTGCTGGCCACCCACCCCCTCGTGTGCCGTTGCGCTCTTTATAGGTGCACGCTAACAGCACTTTCCCCAACAATCTGTTAAGGCTATACGGGGGATCTTTGTCTTTGTGTGCTTGGGCAGGGCAAGCCCGTGGGCACGCCGGACAGCGGAGCCTTCTTCCGCGTGATCTCGCAGCACAAAGTCGTCTCCATGTTCACGTCGCCCACAGCGCTGCGCGTCATCAACCAGCACGACCCGACAGCTTCGCTCGGCCGCCAGTACGACATAAGCCGGTGAGGCTCACCCCCCTACCGCCTCTCCAGCTCAGCCATGTGCCCATCGTCAGCATCGTCACTTGGCATTCTCAGTCCGGGTTTTGGCCACTGCCCCCAAGATTATCATCATCATCATCATCCTCAAATGCATAATCAAGAGTACTGATATGCCACTGTATAATGAGTACTCTTCATGCAATGTTTGTGGAAAGCCTGCATGCACCCATTCTGGCAACTGTCATCTCTAATCCAATGCAGCACACTTCCTGCAGAAATGTACCAAATATATCAAGGGCAATCATGAAAGATGCCTTGAGCTTAGATGACGCGTTTTTGGTTAAATAAATCGATTACTTATGATAATGATGACAATGATGATTGCAAGGCACTATTCAGTGTATAACGTCATGGCGTATGGATAAAGCTGTACCATACTTCCGGTTCAACAAATAATCTTGTACCTGTATATTTAACCATCTGTATATCAAAAACTCCTTGCGGTCCCAGGTTCCGCTCGATGTTTGTTGCCGGTGAGATCTGCGACAAGGAGACTCTCAACTGGGGAAAGGCTACCTTCAATGTCCCCTTGCTAGACCACTGGTGGCAGACAGGTGAGGCCCGACGCAAATCATCGCCGACAGGCTACACCGACGACAGGCTACACCGCGGGCAGCGCTGTCGCCTGCCTTTTGAAGCGCTCGGCTGGCGACTTACGATTGCTTGTGTCGTCCTGCCCTTACTGGGCGCTTGCAGAGACGGGCTCGGCCATAACGGCCACCTGCGTAGGACTCGGCGGATCTCTGTACCCGCCAGCAGGGCAGTGTGGAAAAGCCGTGCCGGGATACGACGGTAAGTGACCCTTCAGATGTGACATTGAGGTGCCCAGCCCCAGATCACGTGAAAGCGAGCCATGATAACACAACCATGTTGACTGTTCCATAGGGTTACGATAAAGAATTTTTTTTTTACGTGACGGTTTTTTTACGCTGGAACGTCACGGAGCGCTTTATTCAAGAAAGGCGACTTGCATCGCATCTCATTTATGACTTTTTTCTCTTTGAAGGGCATCCCACGAGTGGCACCTGTCCGTGGTAACATGGTGACTCAGCGCCTGGCCTGAAGTTGGACTGCAGCCTGCCAGTAGGGGGGAATTATTATTAAGCTAATAGCCAATTGCATAACAATGGTCATCCTTTACTTAACTGAACTCTTGGGAATGCTAAATTTGAGCTCTGATTAAGCTAGTTTACAAAATGACGTGCTGGTAACAGTTTACGTTTAAATAAAATGCCTCAATTGAGGAATGGTACCCGAGTTAGTTTTCTATTCAAAAATGCAGACAACACTGATTCAAGAAATCAGGAACTTTAGCCTCCTAGCACCTGAACACAACAACATTCATGAACATAATAGACTTCACAGAGGCCTACCGACCACGTGAGCAACGTGGATGTGGAAAGTTTTGTTTTGTATTGACCACATAATTACTATGAATCATATCCTAGAGGAAAAAAAAGCAAACTAATATTAGATACCATTATGCCTGGCTTGTACAGATGGATATTCAAAACGTTTCTTTTGTTCACGTGTTTATTTCTGTTTTTCATTGAGATCATCGACTATTAATCAGCATTGGCATCTTTACTACATGACCCCTGATGTTGTGGAGTTTTCAGGGTTTTATTTCCACATTCATGCTGGACAACATGGGTCCTAAAGATGGCTTATGGCCCAAATTGTTATTCAAAGTTTTGATACTGAAACAAAGCATTGTGTGTTTAACTATTTTTCATAATTATGGTCATCACAATGCATTAAGTTAAATTAATTATGTTGAATGTGATTATAGACAATGGCGGAGCCAGGATTTTCAGGGAGGGTGGGCAACCCCTCCAGCAATGAAAAATGATAGGAGTTGTAGTAAGTAAGGACTTGTCCCTTGCTTTTTATTCGACAATCGAGGTTCGAATTCGAACCGTGTGTGATCGGCATCGCGCTCGCTGAAGGTGTTTGCCTTCAGGGAAGTCGTGTACTGTATACACAACTGCGCACAATTCTGAGTCACTTTAATTGCTTTGCTTTGCCGTTACTTATTGACAATTATGGACTCAGACTATTGTCTTATAATCTCATAAGAGTCCATAGCACGTAATAATATGCTACACAGTGGCAGTGGGGGTCGCAAAATGCCGATTTATCGAAATTAGGGATTTCGATCGGATCATTGGGGGGGCACGTGTCACCCCCCCCCCCCCCACTGGTGTAGATGTTTAAAAGTACGGTAATAAATGTTGGACTGTCTGTACTTTCAGTGTATTATCAAAAGAGTTGGTATTATCACTCGTCAAAAAAGTTAGAGACAATTGCATGCTCATGTTCCGTTAAATACCGCATTGCAGTAAGTGTCCACTGCATGGAGGTTTAAGTATGGTGCCTTGATGTGCCGTCATCTCCACAGTGAAAGTGGTGGACAGCAATAACCAGGAGTCAAAGAGAGGCAACCTGGGAAACATTGTCGTCAAGTAAGTCCATTCCAGAGAATCCCTAACACTGAACGAACACGAGGTTCATACTCTTTGTTTTTTCGGTAAAGTCACGTAGGTAAAAAGAAAAAAATTGCTGTATCACAGCAATTTTGCTGTGACGGTGCCACCTGAAGACGGAAGCTTGTGTTGCCTCCGAAACGTCGTGATTTAATTTATTTTAATTTTATTTTTACCTACGTGACTTTACCGAAAAAAACAACGAGTATGGACCCTTGCAGTCACGAAAACTTCAAATCTAGAATACGAGGTTATGAACAATCATTGTCTTTGGCTGCTTGTTTGACCGACGTTCAGACGAAAGAGGCTGTATACCCGCATTTGTTCTGCCCTGGCAATGGTATCAGTTATGATGTATACCTAGCGTGGAATACAACGTGTATCTTATGTAATGCATCAGCTTACAACCTGTGCCCTGGAATAGCTAATGAATCGAGACATCAGTGTATAACTTCTGTTGCTGTTCTAGAAATCAGTTGCTTATCTCTCCAACGCGCCATACATACCAATGAAGAACAATATTTGTGCGTGCATTTTTAGCTGGCATGCATATCCGTTTTACACAATGCTTGCAAATGACAGTAAAAACTTTTCCTTTACTGTTAAAACAAATGCGGTCAACAGTTCAATGCATGTGCCTCCTTTCATTGGTATTTAATAAGAGCTCATTAATGCACTGTCTTTTCGTACAACCGCCAATTTAATAAGCTTCTGGATTTATTATATTCCTGCTGTATAAACTTGTATCAAGCATTACAGCCCAGTGCCTCAATAGAATATTTATGCCCGCAAGGCACTGATCTGTTATATATTCTCCGCATAAGCCTGCGCTTACACGCATATATACAATCTCCATTGAGCCACGAATTCATTGACATATTGAATTTGTATCATAGCACCTTCACTGAAATCTGTGGTAGCAATGCATCGGAACGTTGATTAACTGCTGATTAAAAATAAATCTTGGAAGCTTATGATGATGGTGCTGCGCAAACGATCGGGACGAGGTGAGCGTTGGGTGTCCTGCCCTCTGCCGGCTGTCACCATCACACGCAGCGGCGACGTTGCACGAGCGGCCACATTACAGGCGGTCCCCGACTTACGAACACCGACTTACGAACAGCCGCACTTACGAATGAGCTTCCGTAAGATTGTTTTTAAATCCTTTATATTAAGTTCGCGCGCTTGCGCGCTTACGACCGTGCAAATCTTTCGGTCGTTTTTTAACCCACTTCCCGTGATCCAATCGAGCTGATATTTTGCACACAGACTCGTTGTGCGAGACAATAAAAATTTGTTTCCATAACTTTACACTTTTTAGGAATTTTTTTAAATATTTAATTACCAATTGCTTAATGGTGGCAGACAATCATCTGACCCATAGGTGGCAGCCATCTCAAGCCAGAGGACGAGAGGACTCTAGCCGCCACGCATATAAAGGATTTAGAGTGAACAACTTTGTTTTTACGGGTTATACTTATTTAACCAGTCCGACTTGCAAACGCGAACTCGCGCTTTGTGAACCGAACCGCGGAACTATTTTGCAGTGTCACGTGAAAATCTACAATATTACCTCCTATTTATGAGTTTAAAAATGCTTCCCCATTTATTGTTGAACCGTAACATGTTTCATAAAACTGACCGTATGTGCATTTAAATACAGCACATTATTGTGTTCCCACTTGTGAAACGTTGGACTTACGAGCGGGTCTCGGGAACGGTACCCACTCGTAAGTCGGGGACTGCCTGTGCTGACCTTACACCCCAGAAGCGGTTACAGAAACGTGGCATTTTAAACATATAAGTGCATGTCTTTTTTTCCTCTGATTTATATAAATAAAATACCAATTCTTTTTATTATTGTAATAATTTGTACGGTGCGTTCCATCCGTAGATCCCGATACGGCATGTATGGAAAGCAGGAAATCAACAGGGCCAGTGTAAATGGTCAGAACTAGCGGATGAATGCCAATTTAAAGAGGTTGAGTTTTCAAGACAAGACTTAAATAGCTCTAACGACTCTTGATTGCAGTTATGGCCAAAGACAACGCGTTAAATAGTCTGGGAACTGCAACTGGTAACTCCCCGATTACCCCAGGAACAGAACCTTGACCTTGGAGTACTCAGAAAGAACCAAAGAGTATGGATCCCTGCAGTCACGAAAACTTCAAATCTAGATTTCTCAGGGACATCGTTCGAGTTTGAAAATGGATAAGTTCCTGTGAATGTTGTGGGGCTAACACATAGGCCAGCAGCAGGATCTTATAGTCCACTCGATGCTTGGCGTTTGGGGTAGGCGATTACTCCACATCGTCACTGCTAAGAGCCAGATACAAACATCTACATATGACCGAGAGAGACAGGATGTTATGTTATCCGACTCTCTGTTGTATTACATTACATTTCTAAGTATACTAGATTTGTGTTTCTATTTCATTTATACCTGATGATGATTGCTCGTGTTGCAATCGAAACGTCGTATGCTAGTATTTAATTGATTATTTTATCTTTATACGTGACTTTACCGAAAGAACCAAAGAGTAGAGACAGGATACACACGGTGGTCACGCAGCGCCGGTTGCATGTGGAGTTTGAATTTAGAAATCTGCGGGAGCATGCCGGGAGTACTCTAGACTGGCTCTTCTGCAAGTGGCTAGTGTCCCACGTTGCTCCTCCTTCCGCACATGTTTTCTGTTTGAAATGAAGTTACAACAAATTAAAAAATGTTATTCACAAGATATGACCATTCATTGTTGGTGTTTTCGCATTCTAGTTGCTCTATTTTAGTTATTTCTCACATATAAATGTAAATTATTTAATACAAGGAATCCACAAATCACTGTTCCCAATTGACCACAATGCCATGATACAATTATTATTATTATTATGCTAAACATGAGGATAATTACAACAGACTCGATCATTATAATCTTAATAATCACTCACTGTCGTTGATGGGGATTAATGAGGTGGCAGTAATGGGTGCTGTGTTGGTATTGATGGTGTTTAGCATTCCTCACGTACAGTCCCTTTGTCAATCTCCTGCTGAATGAGGGCCCTGCCCATGCCTTGTGAATTATTTGTGAGTAATATTTGACCATAGTCCACCACGTTGGTCAGTGCAGGCTGGCGAAGGCAGGAGCACAGACTCGGAAGCATAGAAGCACAGTACAACAATTAATTTCCCTGCACTGACATTTACTGCCCATCACCTGGCCCCAAAGTTGATTACAAAGTTAATTCGAAAATAGAAAAAAAAACAGTCACGACTTTATTATTACTGGTGAGGATATCACCGTGTTGAGAATTAGGTCATGTCTTGCACAAACCTATTTGCATAGTAATTACGAGATGATAATAGTGATGATGACAGTGGCGGTGGTGGTGATTAATGTCTACGTGCTGCTGTTTAGGTTGCCCCTGGCGCCTGGTTGCATGGCCACGCTTTGGGAAAACAACCAGAAGTATGAAGACACGTACTTCAAGTCATTCCCCGTACGTACACACGGCGACCTGGGCAGATTTACCTGCCTTAGTGCATAGTCAGAGAACACACGGTCTTGCATCGCGTGCTTATAAATGAATGCAATCTGGTACGAGCGCAATGAGACATTGATAAATATTGATTCGTACGCTCATTATACGTGCGTTGAATCCCGCAACAATGCTATTTGTTCCTGCTCTCTTTCCCTGCACGCACGCACCGCAGGGATACTATGACACGATGGACGCCGGCAAGATGGACGAGGATGGCTACGTGTACGTGATGGCGCGTGTCGACGATGTCATCAACGTGGCTGGTCACAGGCTGTCGTCGGGCGCCATCGAGGAGGTACGCGGCAACGGCGCGGTGCGGCGCCCCAACCCGAGACGATGCCCTGACGCGCCGTCGCACGGCGAGGAGGCGCTCCGCGTGACGCGGCGCTGTCGAAGTAAACGCGGCCGGTGTGTTGTGTGCAGCCGATTAGCGCACTGTTGGCTACTGATGGTGCGACAAAAGCACATTGCAGGGTGATCCATTTATAGACAGCCTACTAAGCCGTCATGGGGACATGTTTTTGAGAAAACAGAATTTTATCCCACCATCCTCAATACGTGGTAAAGGTGCATCGCTGGCACAATCCACTACTGACAGTCGGGGCTCCACTTGAGAGCCCCTCTCGAGGGTTATTTGAGCTAACCAGGCGCTGTGGAAGAGGTGGAAGTACCCACACTTTATCCCCACCGCGTGCGACCTGCCGATTGACTAACTGTGGCGAACCCATGATAATTGGGTTTTTACCCTTCTATCTGGCAACAAAACTGACACCTTTTTTTACAAGGAGTCATGTTTGCATAGACCACAATACCTGCAGTCATAATGCAAACAAAAAACATAACTCTGATAATGTGCACTCTCCTTGAAGTTGATTGGTCCACACCCGAGACAGCTTTCCTTAGAGTTATGTTTTTTGTTTGCATTATGACTGCAGGTATTGTGGTCTATGCAAACATGACTCCTTGTAAAAAAAAAGGTGTCAGTTTTGTTGCCAGATAGAAGGGTAAAAAACCAATTATCATATTTTTTACTGCCAAATGAGGTTCCAATGGTGTGGTGAACCCATTTATACAGCTGGGTGGACAGGGGCCTTGTGGGGGGGTGGGGGGGGGGTGCGGGATTATTAAATCTTGCCTTTCATTTCACTTGCCATGCTGGGAGATCGAACAAGCGAGCTCTGGTTTGGAAGCGACTCATCACGAGTGTGCTATCCGTGACACCACGGCAGCAAGGCACCACCAATTACAACACACTTATTGAATCTGTTAACACTCTCCTCTGTAAATGATGGCACCATTGCTTTCACAATATTTCATTGCCTGTCGAGATTAAAGTAAGAGGGTCATGATAAATCAGTAGGACTCCTATAAATCAATCACCCTGTGAGCACCTGCAAACTCATAGACCCGGCTCAGTAATATCCATTTTTTTTACTGAAGCTAAGATGTATTTGATTGTGTGTGATGCTTAAAACGTGCACGAATGTTGAATGCACTTTGGAATTAAGTCCAATGAAGGTAAATAAATAACTTCAAAAACAACTGTCAGGTTCTCAACATCCGGCTTGGTTGTCGCATAACTTAATTTACATGGCAATTGACTTCCTCGCCATTGTCAAGAATCTGCCAACTGATTTTGTGTGCCCTGAGTTTCATCCATGTCAAAGGAGTTTTGTAATGAATATTGCACAAGTGCGTCCTATTTTGAGTGTGCTTTGTGTCATATTTTCTATCCGTATTCATGCCCGCCTATTTTTGTATAGCACCACAACAGAAATGTACTGATTATTATCTTACGGCTCGGTGACACAACCTTTGTGAAATAATTTAGCAATCAACAAACGTACCAGCATGTGGCAATAACAGCACGTGTACAGCGGTTGCTGTCACGCCGAGGATTACATCGCAGCGCTCGCATTTTCTTCAAGTAGCATTCACGTGCCTGACCTCATGGGTAACAGCTTGTTCACAAACATCAAATCCATGCAGGCAAAGGGTGGCTGGAGCAGGTCTCTAAATCTGTCTCTTTCATCAGTCCCAGGCACATGGCCATGTTTTCTTTGAAGTTAAGGTCGGATTTCCCTTCCTTATTTTGTCACAACTGCTGCCTCGTAAGAACTCATCTGGTTCCTTCTACCCGAGTTCCGTTCGACCAGGTCCACCCTCACCTGTTCCTCTCTGATCTCCCCGTGACCCTCCTGGTTTCCCCGTGCCTATTGAAGGCCGCCCTCGTACGACCTCCCCTCCTCCGTCCCTGCTCTACAGGTCTTCTCTTTCTTCGGCTCTTCCGCCTGCTCACATCCATCCGCTTTTATCCAAACCTCACTGGCCCTGATTGTGCCTGCCAGCTTGCCACTCATTGGCTTGTTTAGTCGTCGTTGTTGTTGTTGCAAAAACCTCTGCGACTATTAATTCCTGTCCTCGTGTAACCCTCCCGCTTGCTGTTGATCTTCAGTGGCTGCTGTCCACGTCTTCTGTTTCTTACTTCACCTTTCCCCCACCCCCTCCTGTAACGCTGCCTCTGGAGACCCACGGCTTCCCTGACCTTGTTTCCTCCCTTAACGTCGTAAATCTTCCTTCACAACATATCGCGAAGCAGAATATTGGTGCTGGATACAACCACAATTGTAAACGCGATTTGTAACTTTGATCCGTGTCCATGTATCGATAGTTCAATGCTAATGTGCAGTTTCATTGAGAGACTGTGCGATTTCTTGGTGTGTTCTGGGACTGTTGTTGTTGTTGTTTGCTGCCCTGCTAAAGCTTGCATTTGGTATTGAAACATCGGCAGAAATGTATGTACTTGTGCAATTTGTACTTATGTACTTTATTAATTTATTTTTATGACTTGCCTACACTACGATGTTTTTTATTGCGTGTTGTTGTCACTTGATGACCCGTCCCTGCTGGACATCTTTGGAAAAGAGCTTTATAGCTCATCGGATTCCTCCTCCAGTGTCTACATATTCTGATTTTCCCTTCGTGTATCTTGATTACAATGTCCTGTCCAGCGATCCTGGTCTGTGCCTGCGGTACAATTGTCTCTCTTGGCTTTGTTTTCCTGTCCATAGCGGTCCCTGCTTGTCGTTTGCCTCACCTTGCCTCTAGTTGCTGGTCCTCTCTTCACGTTACCGGTCTTCACCTGCACTCTTTCATTACCCTGACCAGCCACTGTGTACCTGAACCTCATCTGGCCTTACTTGACCTTGCTTTGCCTCGTCTGCCCTTGTCGTGCCCTGCCTGTCATTGGTTGCTCTCACGTTCCCTTGGCCTTGTCTTTCACTGCCTACCTCTGCCTAGCCTGCGTCCCTCCACGTGCTACTGGTCGCAGTGGCGAGATGTTAACGGCCTCGCTTGGTACAGAAGGATGTCGTGGGTTCTATCCCAACACTGACGCCTGTTTATTTGGAGTTTGCATGTGCTGCCTGTGGTCGCGGGGATGTTTCTCTACAAAATCTAGCAACAGCATGCATTTAGAGTTTTTGGCTGCTATAATTTCCCCGTGATAAGCCACTTGGTTGAGCTGTCATTTGTGACCAGGTCGCTTCTGAAAAAGAGCTAGACAGCTCAGTGGGCCTTACCTGGTGGAAAAAAAAAGTTTAAACTTGATCGTCTCTTGATCATCACTGCCACGTGTGGCTCACCCACGCTCGCTTGACCCCTCCAGGCCATCCTGCAACACTCGGCGGTGGTGGACTGCGCCGTGGTGGGGCTGGAGGACTCCGTGAAGGGCCTCGTGCCCTTCGCGCTGTGTGTCCTCAAGAGCGGTAAAGCCACACGCGCGGCACGGCACACTCGCTGACGTTGAGCGGTGCAACTTTCAATTGCGATGTTATCAATAACACTGCGGCGGGGAAAGTTGCGCTATTTAACGTCGGCTAAGCATCTCTCCACTCTTCCCCTACTCCCTTAATCAAGCTGCCAGTCGCGGATATTTGTTTCCATCTGCAGTCACCGCCACTTTTGCAGGCTCAAGCGAGAACGCACGTTGCGGTTTCTCTTCCCCGCTCCCTATCCACATCTCAGCACTCTCGTAAAAGAAATATGGCGATAATTAAGTACAGCCCTGTGTAATAAACAGCGTGTAATATGCGACGAGTGTAGCAGTTAACCACCCGTGGTGGATTAAATCATTTACAATTTAAAAACACGCGCCATCTATTTATTGCCTTCTGCTTTGTGAGCGGAGAACACCCATGATGAATGCACGGGCTCGCGCGTTTGTCATTTGCACGCTTGCTTGCATTAGGTTAATGCAAAAGGTTTTGCGGCGCTATTTGGCACAAGAGTGTCACTTCGTTTATCGTTAAGATGGCGAGATGTCTGCCGAGCAGCTGCGCAAAGTCCAAGCGTGCATGGCGAGGGAATTCCCAAGCGCCGGCGCAAAACGAGTTGAAAAGGGGACAACTGGTCGGAGTGTGACGAATCACCCCCTCACGTACCGCTCCGTCCATAAACCAGTGACCAGCAGTCGGCTAAAGGCGACGCGGGGTGTGGGTCTGTGTCTGCGCGCGAGCAGGTGTGACCAAGAAGCACGACGAGCTGCTCCGGGAGGTCGTGGACCTCGTGCGTAACAGCGTTGGCCCCGTTGCCGCCTTCCGGCGCGCCATCTTCGTGCAGCGGCTGCCGCGCACGCGTTCCGGCAAGGTTCCCCGCTCCACCATCGCCGCGCTGGTCAACCGCAAGCCCTACACGGTGAGGCCCTCGCTCCCACGGACGCGCAAGCCCTGACGCCTTGATAGCGCTCGCTCACAATTGCGGTTGCCGCGATATGGCGATGTTACGATACAACGTGCGCTGTAATGCCCGCGATAATCGTATCATCTGTTTTGCAAAATTTCGCTACGTCGTAATTATTGCCACTAGTTTTTTTTTATTAAACATCTTATTTAATGTGCAAACTATTTCTGAAACGATAAAATTATTACACGAATTATGTATGGATATAGGTAGAATGAGTTTGCGATTACACATATGGGAATATAATCACACAGGACCAGAGCATGTTCCCAACATGCAGAGGCCTTCATCCAGCGATAGACTGACAACCACTTGTATGATAATTCTCATGATGGTAAATGTGCAATGTGCTTAGTTTTGTAAAATGTGGCCCATGCAAGTAGCTGGTTATTTCGTATGTCGGGGAGTTGATCAGCAACATTTATTTGTTCATATCGAGAGTGCAGAGCTGGTGGATGGCTTCAGGATTAGAATTGCGAATAATGATAGAAGCGGGAACTGCTGTCAATTTTTGATCCACGTTTTCTTGGTTCTTTCGGTAAAGTCACGTAGAAGGGAAGTAATAAAATCATAAAAATAAAACATAATAAAACAATTCTCACGACGTTTCGGCCACAACGCAAGCAGCCGTCCTCAGGTGAAAACCAGGTCTGTCGAGGCGACAGCGTCATTCAGACGTTGTGGCCGAAACGTCGTGAGAATTGTTTTATTATGTTTTATTTTTATTATTTTATTATTTCCCTTCTACGTGACTTTACCGAAAGAACCAAGAAGATGAATCCCTGCAGTCACGAAAGCTTTAAATCAAAATTGTGATCCACGGTTTGAGATTGATGGCTGCAGTTGCACTGTGGGTTGTTCTTAATTGTCCATTATTGATGTAGGAGGTAGCTCGTGCATCTGCCATGCGATGTAGCTGATCATACCAGGGAGAGATGGTTTGAGTTCAGCGCTGGTATCGATCATTTATTTACGACTCTCTTGACATGTCGTTGCATGTGCACACTGTTTTACTGTAAAATAGCAACATTCCACACACATGGTTTATTCTAATTTCACATTTCGCTATGCTCTGGGTGTGCACGAGTTTACTGTGATGTAGCATTAATGCATTTATTTACGTGATGAGTAATGCACAGCATGTTGCTGGCATTAAAATAGTGAAATAAAGGGGTGAGTGAGAGTAGGCTAAAGTTATTTTAGAAAGTTACATTTTGAAAATTTTAACAAGAAAATTACATTCTGTTACGGCATATGCATCAGTAAGATAGGCACTAAATAAAATGGATCATAAACTGAAAATGTACACAAAGAATCATGGACGGGTACAATATGGAAATTTCAATAAGAGGTGAAGAGAGAAACACACGGAACTGACAATACATGCAAATTGGAGAAATCGCATTAACTTTTAGAAAAGTAAACAGGCTTTCCAACGGCGCATTGCTTGAAGGTTGATGGACAGAGTGATGGAATCGCAGCCGAAGGAGGGAACACACCAAGAGGACGATCGCCACAGAGATCGGGATCGGGCAGTGAAATCAGCTCATGTGCAAGGAGTGAAATGGATTATTGCTTTGCAAGACAATGAGGATTGGCAACAACATGGGGAGGTCGCCATCCAGCAGCGAATAGAACATGGCTGTTTACGATGATGACGAATGCACAGCTAAAGAAATGTGATCTTATCCAATGTGAACATGCATAAAAATGGATTGTATGACTGTGCTAATACAAGAAAATACATTGGCCAGCGTGATTCATTAGGTGCATGACTTAATACCCGACCGGTACTGACGCTTCCGGATGTGTTCTGCTTTGGTTTTTACCCCCCAGATCACCTCCACCATCGAAGAGCCGCTCGTGTTTAAAGAGCTGGAGGAGGCCATGAAAAATGTGAAGTGAACGCTGTGAAATGCCACAAACCAAACCGGGACCTGTGCACTGGGGTCTCGCGTTGTAGAGCAGTCGTAGCCTGTGGAAGGGCAGTTACCTTAGATTGACACACACACACACGGGCATTGTAAGTGGCCAATTTGGTGCTGGGCTACACAACTGAAATACTTCATTTTCTGACAGATGCAAGAGGTATTCTTTAAACAAACCTATTTTTTACCCTTTCCTGTATATATATATTTTAAACAATAAGATACCTAAAGGCAAGCAACGCATAGAATACATTTTTGGTGTCACTACAGTGTAAACAGACAGTGGTTGGCAAAAGGCCTTATTTGCCTAAATTATAAGAAAAGAGATAACATTTAACTTTAGATAAATTACATTTAAGTTCGACAAACTCTTTAAAAAATCAGTTTCCCTATCTTGGGAGGCAGGTATTTTGGTCGAATAAGATTGCAATAAGTTAAGTTGTTTTAAAACCATTGTTGTCTGCATGGCCTAAAGTGTTAATACATATTGATACCTCAAATGCTTTAAAACAAACATCTTTTGCCAAATGTAATGGATTTACACCCTTTGAACGTGCACTCACACTCGTTTAAATTAGTCTCAAAGTTTGGTCATTCTTTATCCTCGTCTTGTTTGAATACATTGCCTTTAGAAACTTCGAGTTTCCAAATTACATTCCCAGGCACCTTGCTGACTGTCTTACAACTAGTCAGAGAGCGTGCAATCAAACACAGCAGCAAATGTCTGGGATTAGATGGTTTATTTTTTTAATTCCACAATATATACTATAGTTTTACAGAGGATGCTGATGTAAAACAGGCCATGTACTCGTACCACTCACCAACAACACTCTGCCTAAAGCCATTGAAAATATAAATATTTGCGGTGTACATTTGAGTATTGTCAGTGATCGTTTACCACTTGACATTGCAGATAATGATACTGCTCTGAAGAGCACGTTGTATTACATATGCACTCACGAGAAAATCGTGTGCAAGTTTAGAAAATGCTTTTCGTAGAATGCACTGATTGGAATACCTCTTGAAAGAAGTCTGGATTACAGGGTCTTCTACTTGCAAGTCAATTAGCAGCGACAATTGGTGGCATCGCTGCTTATCTGTGTTAATCGCGATACAATTTGACACCCTCTGTGGAGTGTGCATACATCAATGGCCGTGTTTTTTTTATCCACTGGATGCAAATGGTGATGAATTGCACAGAGGCCATTAATCCACTCGTGTACAATAACGGTTTTTGACCAACAAAAATGACGTGACCAAAATGTAGTCGATAAAGTGCCTAGGGAAGGTGGAAATCTGTAATTTAATAATGTAATGTGAAAACACTTACATTGTCTTGACATTCTTCAATGTTACTGGAATGTATCCACTATTTTCGATATTATACATATGAAAACGAGACACTATACCGCGTTAGATATTACACGTTTTTATCGTACTCTACAATGCATTTTAGCCTGCTCTGTGAAAATGACCCAGACCAATGATCACACCATGCTCTCATTGTTATTTACAGGCCATGCCAAGTAACCAAACATGTATTTAAAAATATATGCAAGACAGTCATGGAATGATGTTGACAATACAAATTTGCACAGTTAAAATCGCCATGTTATTTAAGGGCATTACTGAAATGAAACTGATTCATATGTACATCTGTGACAAATAAACAATGGTGTATATCCAACATTCTAGGTGCCATCGGATTATTTTATTGCTGCATGAAATGACCTTATCACGTGAGATAGTCTGACAATTTTGGTGATGCTGCATGGGCAGTGATGCACAGGCAAAATCAACAACACTCGTTCATCAATTACACTGTGGCCTGAAAAAGAGAAATGAGCTGTGAGGAAGGGCCGTCGTCCAAAACGTGGCCGATTACGTTTTCTTGACAGCAACTTAAGAAATGTTTTTTAGTATGAAGAGATGTTAAGTGAAAACTACTTTTGAAAGATTAATGTCCAAAGACATTAACCCTACTCTGCTTGTTGACCTGCGACTATTACATTTAAATATACTCGTTCCAAGCTTATATTTCCACAAGTCAATATTTATTCTAAGTAGAATAATTATACGAGTTTTGTACAATTATGAAATATTTTCTGTGGTAGAATCCAAAGACTTAAATACATTCCTGCGGAGGGAGCTGGTATGAACATTGGGTTGTTCGGTTAATGGCCAGGGTCAACGGCGGCGTGGTGTATTCCACAAATATGCCCGACTGTGAGGGCGGGCACAAGCCGGCGTGAGTAGGTTAAATGTTGAGTTTTATAAGGGCACCACGGGGTGACCAGCCCCTCCCCACCCAGCCCCTCCCCACCCTCCCCTCCCCACCCAGCCCCTCCCCACCCTCCCCTCTCCACCCAGCCCCACCACTCCCATTTTTGGATGCACGACGGACGGACACAATAATCCCCTGTGGGCTGGTGGAACCACGTGGTTCCTACCAGTATCACTGAACTACGTGCCTCTCATAGTTCTGCTGTACCTCATAGGTGGAGGCCGAGAGATGGTCACAGGCCTCATGGCTGCATCAGATCAACCTTTGCTCTTAACACCTGGAGATACCAAACTCGCTTGGTGGTTTTTCCAGAAGGGACCCTGGGGGTTGATACCGGAGGGTGAATGATCCTACGTTGTTCTCTCGGCGGATGCTCCGACACTCATGTCTCGAGAGGTCTTCCCAAGGCTGTTTCTCAAAGCACCGCTATGATCTGCGAAGCTCGAATCTTGAAGCACACAGACGGCATGTGATGTAATACAGAAAACCAAATGACATGGTTTAAAATAAAATAACTCGATGTTTTACCACAATAGCAAAAGCAACCACATAGTACAGAAAATATGATCATTAAACGACCTCTTCTGTATCTCCAAATCTTTGGATGCCCACTAAAGTCAGGGCAATCGTTTGCGCAGACAGGTCTAGGGACCAAAAATAATTGTGCCACTCCAGCAATCTTGTACGGTTCCTTTCATATCAGCATTTCTCTTAGCAGGCCATGTACTCAAACAGTGGCTAGTCAAGACACATTTACTTTGTATTGTTCCAGTCTCTTCTTAGAGTCTTGGGTCAAGATCTCATCATGGCCAAAGCCACCGATAGCACCCAACCTCACCAACACTTTCTACCCTCTCCCCGATCCTACTACTGCTGCACCGTAGACAATATACCTCGAAGATCTTCCCTAGCAGCATCTTGGGTCGAGGCATAACATGCTGAAAGACGAGGCAATCAACCGCAATTCATATAGTTAATTAAATAATCACACGAGACATTGTTGAACCTTCATCCTCTTTTTTATTGGCAGTGGCATTGACCAGAGAAGCAATTACCTCTTAAAATGAAATAACACTGTTCCAGATCAGCTTTTGGAGCATGAATAGGACACATACACTGTACAAAACCTGCCGTTGACTTGCTTACAAAGCTGGGTGCAGGCATGGGGGGGGGGAGGAGGGGGGCGAGTGGCTTTGCTGCAGTCATTTGGCCGCCTTCGTGCTGCCGTGAGAAACAGCACCTGGGCTTGGCCACAGCACAAAAAAACCCATTACAAAAGTCGGGCAAATAGAAAAAACTGGTTTTACCACGCAGGAGGATTACCGTTTTGTTGCTGTTAGTTGGGACACTTTCATTCCTTGCTGGATGGCCAGAAAAGCAAGGGCAGAGACTATGTTAACCGTAGAATAAACATACATGTTGTCTTTTCCCCATCCTAATGTTTTCCTAGTTTTTTATATGACTGCGTGGCATCGCTGTGGGTTTAACGGGGGGGGGGGGGGGGTGGTTCAGTCGGGCTAAAAACTTAAACCTGGGGTCTATCTGGATCAGTGACCCGGGTTTTTGTTGTTCTTCTCAGGGCAGGCAAAAACAAACACATCTCAGCATTACCCCTCGCTATGGCTGTGGCTACGAGTCGCGCGTGCCACCTACCGCAGTCCACCAGCGACCCAGACAATATTGGAGCCCAGGTCGGGTGAATTCCGAGGTCTTGTGGCATAAAAAAAAGATGGCATCATAATAATATTTTTCTTGATTCACAACTTCTAATGCAGGTGATGATGCAAATGACAATGACCGTGCCAGATACTAATTATGGCGATGCGCATGATCAGGCCAACGATGACAATGATGACCGTTGATTACATATAAATATTTTCTTTTGGTGCGAGGATTATTCAATAAAATATCTAACACACCTGTAGGGTTAACACCTTGGCAGAATAGAACACATGCAAGTATATTTTGGTCCTTCTTTAAATAAAGTTAATCAATTGCTTGGCAAGTTTTCATTACAGATGGTAAAGTAAATATTAAAAAGATTGCACACTCCGTGCCTCATTAGCAGAGGTGTAACAATTCACCGCTCTCATAATTCGATAATGAATTGCGACGATCAGATTTAAGAAATTATTCACTTTAATATTTGTTTTTACATCGTGGTGAATGTAGCAGCAGCCTTTGGCGACTGTAGGGCAGGCTGCCCAGAGGTTCAATAATAGCCCGGGATAAAATGTCACTTGAGGCCCCCATTATTCCACCATCCATAGGCCCACTGTGGGCCCCCCTCTGTTGTGCGAGGCCTAGCCCCCCCCCTTCCCCCCCAACTCTGGGCAGCCCTGCCCTGTAGGGATCCACTTGAACCTTTTACGTACAACATGTATGAAGTGAAAAACATTGATGACGCACGCGGTGCGATGCGTGCGTCGTATACACCTCAAGAATCGCTACCAATCGATGACTCGATGCATCGCCGAACCCCTTTCTAGGCAAGTTTCCAAAGAAACCGTCCGTAACTTTAAATTCCGGCGCTGCTCGACTTGACCGCCCAGAGTCCCAACGTCGAGTTGCACGGCAGTGCAGCACTTGTGCTTTGGCAGTGCGACTAGCGGGTACAACCATATCAGGGTCCCATGAAAACGTGCCAAGTCTTGTCAACCCACACGGGGTTCGAGATTCAACCGTGAACCCCCACTGCACGCGCTAAGATCCAACCGGTCACACCGTCGCGTTCTCTCCCGGTGAGCGAGCTCAGCTCGGAGCTGTCCCATGCATTGCAGGGGTGAGACGTGGATGTTAAAATGCATTGCCGTGTTTTGCAGGAACACGATTGTACTGCGGTCAAAAAGGAGAAAATTCTCTGGGAATACTGCCCCGCGTTTCCAAAAATACGGAAACACAAGCCGGACACACTGTGCTTTCATAGAATGTCATCATAGAATGTAATTGCACAATTGAACGTGTAATTGCACACGAGAACACATAATTGCGCAAGAGGAGGAGACTGTCAGTGGGGGTTTTAAATAAACTGCTGTTACTTGGCACCGTGAAATGGACGCTACGTACCTCGACCAGCATGCATTACCCAATTACACTCACAAAAAACCTGCGTGTAGAAATTGCTTTGTTGAGCTGAGCCTGCATGATCTGCCTGTGAATCCTCCCTCAAGAGAGTAATTCACCACATGACTGTCGCATTGTTTATTTTACTCCCTGCAGCCACATTTACCTTCCTCCTGCTTCCTCGGGAGATCTCATTCGTCGTGTCCATGGTCAGTGGGAACCGGCCTGGATCTCTGCAACGTAATCCCCATGGCAGTCCTCCTTAACTGAACTAATCCTAGAGCAAAAGCTTGGCATCCTATCTTCGGGCATGGGTTATCAGGCAGTGCCAGCCCGTGCCGCACCCTTTTTATCTGGGCCGACCCCGTAACCTGGCGTGACGACATCATCATCGTGGGGTCAACGTGAACATCACTTGATCGTCTTGCCAGGCCTGTTACATTAAAAGCACATGGTGAAATAAACACAAAGAGTGGACTCAAGCTTCACTCAGCCGAACCCAGGAGGGGTCAGCAATCAAAATAACAAGAGGCATTTTTTTCGAGTGCGGTAACAAAAAAAAATCCCAGCAATATTTCAAGAGCCGGAATGCACGTGAATAACGTCACGACGCAAGCCGCATGCGACTCCCTGGCCGCGAGATTGACGACCTCTGACTCTGCCGAACCTAACCGACGCCTGTATTCAACTTTGTGTAAAACCAACGTTTTAAGACTACTTTCAGACCGCCACCTTCGAGAATGGGGGGAGTATCGGAGAGGGAGGCATGGGTTTAGGGGGGAGTAGCAGCAGTGGGCGATGTGTCCACAGAGACTCGAGGCTCGTGGGAACGTGACCACGTGGAGTGGGCCACTGGGCTCGCAAAACCTGGTTCTCTGTGGCTGTAGAACCGTGGCATTTGCAGTGGAGTAGAGTTGTGTCCAGCCAGCCAACGAGGTTTAGCGGGAAGGATTTATTTTGGCTTACAGCTCCACGTACCCAGAATGCAGGTTTGGTGTTGTCTAATTCGCCCGACTGACAAACATTGCCCCATCTTAAAAGCCGATCAATTTGGCCTATGCCTGCAAAATTGGATTCCACATTGTAAATCGGAGACAGGCTGGTGTGTATGATGTATGATAACAGCATACCTAAAATATATTACTTTTATTTAATTAAAACACCTTATTGTTGGAGTGCATTCCCAGAGAATACATGTTGCTTCAAATCAAACAATGCGAACAAGCAATGATTCTAAAATAAATCATCGGTAGCAGTCATAGCAACACACCATTTGGTCAACCGCAAAACAAAAAAAACGAGGATTTACATATTTGCCAGTGTGAAATCCAGGGATCCATTTGATAGGGAACTCAACACCAATCAAAACATAAGCACATTTGCGTGCGAGTGAATGCGCGACTCAAACGTGAGGTGGGTAAATATCGCAAAATCTTGCCAGCCACTGTTCAGGAGAGGTATAGACATTTCTCGACAAAAAGAAAAATACGTATACGCATGAGGTTGGCGAATGCAGTGAGCCCGACAGCCGTGCCGGGGGGGGGGGGGGGGGTATAGGTTCAAGAGTGACGTCCTCGCTCATAAAGTAGACCACGCTCGCTCAAAACGCCCGCCAACACGCGTGACTATTCTCGTCGCGGGAAAAAAACAAACGTAACGTAGCCGCGTAGACCTGACCGCAGCGAGGGTGCAGCACTCTTTGTGCTGTTGACATTTCCCGACATCTCTCTCTCTCATACACACACACACCTGTGCAGCTTTACAAAAAGAAAATCTGCATATTACCTGGTAATTACATTTTCCCGATAAATTTACAAAACATCCTCAAAGCACAATTCGACCTTTTAGGTACATATACATACATTAGTATCGTACACAACCTGTGGAACAGCACGAAAAAAGGCAGCCGTCGCCAGCAAAAAAAAACGTAAAACGATAAATAAATTTCCAAGCAGATTAATGTCATTGTGTACATGATATGCAAGAGCAGACAGTAAAAGGTTCTTTTTACCGAAAGTGAAGAATTTTACACAATACAGTCATCGTAAGGTCTGGATCGATGGCAATATAAATATGAAGAGAAATTACAAAATGAAAGACAATTGATCTTTCAAAAGATTGTACAAGGAGCGCGCTTGGTCCATGCCGCGTGTGAGAGGTCCTCCCGGGAGGCATAGAGGGATGTCCTTGACTTGGCAAGGCCCCACTTCATGGCGGTGATGCCAGGTCACCGACCGCTGTCGTCAAGTGGAACTCCACAATCAGCGGAGGTAAAGGGCGCTCACTGCAGCAACAATGACAGCAACACGAGCAGATACATCCGCCAATCAACCAACGGCAGGCAATAGCGCACAATTAGCTGAGAAGTGCTCTCTGCGTGACAATAAATCAACACATTTCGTCTGCCGTCAAGAAGGGCCATTGCCTGAAACGTCACCTGTAATATTAATGATTTATAATATAATAATTTATTTTAATATTCTTGGTTCTTTCGGTAAAATCACGTGGATAGAAAATATAAATAAAATAATAAAATAAACTAATACCAATAAAAAAGAAAAAAATAGTGCAGGACTTGAGACAGATGGACTGTGTTTTTGTTATTTTAGCTTCTACAGCACTGCCAATGCACTATCACGTGTTGTTGTTGTTCTTGTTGTTTGAGTAACTACCTCGCCTGGTATACAGGAGGGTGTGGGTTCAATCCCAACCCTCACTCCTCTATATTTGGAGTCGGCAGTGTTCTCGCAGTGGTCGCGTGGATTTTTCTCCGGGTCCTCTGGTTCTTCTCTCCACATTTAGAATCATGTGTTTAGAGTAGTAGGCTGCTATACATTTCAACATGACAAGCCACTTTGTTGAGCTATCATTTGTGGACAGGTCACTTCTGAAAAAGTAGCGACATAGCTCAGTGGGCCTTACTTGGTAAAATAAAAAAAATAGTTAATAGTTTTAACATAATGAGTGGGTACTGCAGGTGAATGCCATCTCTTACACAGGTCCGTGAAGTTCAGCGCTGTGATAAGGAGCACCGTTCTGGACAAATGACCAAACGACTGAATAAATGCCTTCTTGGTTCTTTCGGTAAAGTCACGTAGAAGGGAAGTAATAAAATAATAAAAATAAAACATAATAAAATAATTCTCACGACGTTTCGGCCACAACGCAAGCAGCCGTCCTCAGGTGGAGAACAGGTCCGTCAAGTAGACAGAGTCTGAATGGCACGCTGCAGGCTTGGAGCGACTATTTATGCTGGGATGGAGGGGCGAAGAGCGCCTTGACAAAATAATTTGCATATCAAGAGAAATTTAGCATATTTATGGGAAATGCAGATATGCGATTAGCATTACTTGTGAAATGCGTAAGAGGTTTGGCGAGGGGTTTAAAGTCATTATTATTTTATTACTTCCCTTCTACGTGACTTTACCGAAAGAACCAAGAAGATGAATCCCTGCAGTCACGAAAGCTTTAAACCGAGACTGAAAAAATGAACTTGCGGGCACATGGTACAAGGGGGAAAGAAGTGACAAGTAATTAAGAACTCTCAAATCGCTTGGGACATTTCAACTGTGGGGTGCTGCTGAGAAAACATTCAGCTTTACACTCAAAATGGAATGAGAAAAGACTACTTCCAAACTAATGCAATGCTGAAACAATCTATAAGGGGATTTCACCTCCCAGCTACCCATTACCTCCTCGCAAACAAGATTTCACACTGCAATACGCGCTCCCTGGCAAATGTACTAAATAGCTTGTCTTTTCCCGCCAGTTGTATTAAATTACAATTGTGTTATCAGTGTCATGTCACGAGACAGGTTATTGATTAGAATCTCTCTCAGTGCAACTCTTCACGTGAAACAATGGCCCATGGAAGCCGATATCGCAGAACTATCTCTGAAATTGCCTGACGTGATCTCTGATCCACAGAATGAGGTGGCCCCTTTCCCAACTGCTCTGCCACTGAGAGGTTTGCAGTTCACATGACACTGAAACAGATATTACACGTTCTAGATTTGAAGTTTTCGTGACTGCAAGAATCTATATTCTCTGGTTCTTTCTGTAAAGTCATGTAGGTGAAAAAAATAAGAGTATTTTTTTTTAGAAATAAAAAAATTAAGTCACGACGTTTCGGAAGCAACACAAGCTTCCGTGACAAGTAGCTCTCTTTGCCCACTACAGTAATTTTGTTTCTTGCTGTGGTTGTCCCACCTGATGACGGAAGCTTGTGTTGCTTCCGAAACGTCGTGATTAAATTTATTTATTTCTATTGTTTTTATTCTTATTTTTAATAAAAAATTTCACCTACGTGACTTTACCGAAAGAACCAGAGTATATTACACGTTCTCAGTTGATATAAATGCAAAAACTAGGAGCAGAACCAAACTTAATGTAAGTTTTTTTTAGTGGAGTCATTGGTTACTGGGCGGAGAACCATCAACTCACTACACTCGTGAACCTGCTTTAAGTGGCTGCCTAGATTCGAATCTAGCAATGCCAGCTCAGTGCCACTGAGTCACCCAGCCCCCTCTGAAATTACATACAACCTTAATGCCACTCTTGTTTAACATCAGACTACTTTGGGATATGGGGCAATGCAGAATAGTGCCTTGTATGATTATGATATATTTTAGTGTATTATTTTATATCATTAATAGCGCTGTGACACCTCTCCCACCAGTGATTCAATCCCACGATTTAAGATCACGTTCTGATTCAAGAATTGATCACAAAAAAATTGGTAAATGTAGCACCTCGAGTAGCTGCAAGGGTAAAAAGAACCCATGACATACAACATCTACGAATCGAGGCACGTACCACGACTTTTGGCGTCATCTGGTCCAACCCATGTGAGACTAGGCTCTAAGGAAAGCTGTCTCGGGTGTGGACCAATCAACTTCAAGGACAGTTCATACATTATCAAAGTTGTGTTTTTTTGTGTCATCTGGTCCAACACCATGTGAGACTAGGCTCTAAGGAAAGCTGTCTCGGGTGTGGACCAATCAACTTCAAGGACGGTGCATACATTATCAGAGTTATGTTTTTTGTTTGCATTCTGACTGCAGGTATTGTGGTCTATGCAAACATGACTCCTCGTAAAAAAGGTGTCAGTTTTGTTGCCAGATAGAAGGGTAAAAAACCAATTATCATGTACCATGAGCTTAATCATTTATATTAATCATGGAATCGATTCATTGGTCCACCTATTTTAATTCGTGCATTCTGATTGGCGCTCAATGCGACTCTAACATTGTTGCAAAATCACTATTTTCGAAATATTTTCGAAACGTTTAACCACCGTGTAGATTTTCACGGCTTTTGCTGGAGAGCTCTCCGATGTGTCCGGCAGGATGTCCGACGTTTCGCTCCCACACGCGCCGGGATCCCCGGCCTGGCCGATTTCAAAATTCAGTCCCAGCAAGTGAAACGTCGGCGGACATCGTGCCGGACAACGCGCGGTACAACCCGGCAAACACGTCGGGGAGCTGCGTCTCAACCACGAGGGTGAACGCACAGACGGACAAGCGACATGCGGGACGCAGCCGCACCCATCGTGCAGCGATGTTACACTGTCACGTGTTGTGAACGTTGCGGGGGGGGGGGGGGGGGGGCCGTAGCCTCGGCTAGGCCGACACTCACTTGGATGGCGCGAGGGACCGTGGCACGTCTCGGGTATCAGCACGAGTACGTCCGCACGACCGAGGATGGGTCAGCCCGCTGCGTCCCCGCCGTTGCACCTGGGGATACCAGCACACACACGCACACACGCACACACGTATATAAAAGATAAAAACAAAGATCCCCCGTATAGCCTTAACAGAGTGTAGGGGCAAGTGCTGTTAGCGAACACCTATGAAGGGCGGCACGGCACACGAGGGGGTGGGTGGCCAACACCACGCCCGGCCGCCTTTGTCTCCCTAGTGGCGATGTTTACACATCGCACCAGGTACTCATTTGAGACTGAGTTGACCTAGGAGCGGTCCAGGACTGGTTCAGATAATCATCACTGGTGTTGGCCGTGAGCGCCGATCGAACTCGGGCCGCTGGGTTCATATCGCAGCGCAGCGTACTAATCGCTACACTACCACACAAACTCAGACACACGCACGCACATACATACACATATTTCACATATAGCCTGAGAGAGCATCGTGGCAACAAGCGCTACGATTACCTCGTGCTACTAGACGACGACGTAATGAGCGGTGTGGTCAGTACAACAACCACCATGTGCCACTAAGTGGTGCTGATGTCACCACGGCGCTTGTGGCAGGCTATGTGCACTTTAAGGCCACGTGATGTGTCGAACGCCCCGTTGGCAGGAAGTCACAGGACAAACTCAGGTGCCGTGAGTTGACCGACTGAGACGACTGGCAGATGCAGCACCTGTCAGTAGGGTACGATGCTCGACCGCTTTTGCATCTCCATTGGCGATGTCCACACACCGTTATCACCGCTCATGTTTAATCTAATGCCGGATGAAATCCTTCCTACGTTCTTTACTCCCCAGAGTTCTGCGGGCCCAACAATCCACCTCATTCCTGCAGGAGCCAATCTCATCCCTCCATCTCGGCAGTGTGGACGTCTTTCCCGGGAATGTTCCCACCCATGGCTGCAATTCTGTTGTTAGTCTTGACCGCTGGCCATCATTGCCACCGCTCCCCATACACAACACATATGCAAGCAGACAGACAAAGAGACACTCATGTACACACACAAATTAAACCACCCATGTAACCTTGTAGACTATATAGGCAAGAATTGGACACACAGCGAGTACTCGTTTAACGAAGTAGATGCATTCGTGAAGAGTGCAGCGTGAAACGAAAAACGCGTTAAGCGAAAACTATTCCCCTACAAATAATATAACGATAAAGTTTGGCGAGAAACGATGTACGCACACACAGTAAGATGGCGGGACTAAAAACTGACGGGATTGTCATGTATCATTCAATGTACTGTATCACATCGCTCATCTGCGCAGCTCCAGAAAGTAGTTTGTCATTGACCGTTTAGAAACCGCGTTATAACGGTGCTGCACTCCGCGTTATGATGGCGTGGTCAATCACGGAAGAGTCGCGATATAGTGAAAACGAGTTGTAGTGTGAATACCACGAATTAAGCGAGGATTTACCCTATACAGACAAACATCTCTCAGCCTTAATAGACTTTTGGAGCAAGTGCTGTTAGTGAGCACTTATGAAGGCCGGCACGGCACACAAGGCGGTGGGTGGTGAACACCATGCCTGGCCGTCTTTGTCTCCCCAGTGGCGATGTTTACACGCCGCACCAGGTACTCGCACGAGTCGATCTATATATATAAAACATATACACGCACACTCAGACATGAATGCGCACACACAAACCCATAAGCAGACAAGCATAATAAACCAAATAGTTTCGAAGACAAAACCACACACGCGCATTCAACTATAACCACGGCAGGCCGTAAACACAAACTTTAAGAGCACGTAAAATAATTTACACGTCCAAAAACTCTGAACGCAGGCGCACATGCACGCGCACGTGCCCATAGACACACAACACAAGCACACAGAGCTCTCTGTTAGTATGCGCTGCCACACTGCCATTCATCATGCTGGCAAAAGCCATCCGTGGTAAGGAAACAATGCACCAAACAACATAAACACATGTTAGGCAGCTTGACAATTAATGGAGCGCGGTACATCTGCATCCCACGCATGCTGAAAGGTCACCTGCCTCATCAATAAACGACTGTCGGCAGGAGACTGCCGTTAAGATTCACAGAAATAGTTTCAGCTCCTTCGGACCTCACCCCCGACTGCAACGACATCTTTTGGCATCGCGTAATTTCGCCGGTGTTTTGCGGCAGCGTTGGAGAAACATCTTTGCCCGAGGTCTATTAAACTATTTTTTTTATTTTACCCGGCAAAGCCCACTGAGCTATATAGCTCTTTTTCAGAAGCGACCTGGCCACAAATGATAGCTCAATGAAGCGGTTAATCATGTGGAAATTGATAGCAGCCAAATACTCTAAATGTGCGTTTCTAAATTTTCAGGGAAAAACTGGAGGACGCGGAGAAAAATCCACACCAACACGTAGAGAGAAACATGGAAACTCCAAATAGACAAGCGTCAGAGTTGGGATCAAACCCACGCACTCCTGCATACCAGGCAAGGTAGTCAACATCCTGCCACTACGGCGCGCCCCTCTGCTTTGTGGCATAAGTTTCCACGTTTCAGCAACAAACCCGGCACTCTGGTGTACCCTGAGAAGTTATTCTTGTGAACAGAAACTCGTGAGGCTGTTGGTATCAATATTTTAAATATGTTGCACTTGCGCGATGTTACTTTTGCAGCACAACTGTTATCTCAGTGGGACGTTGGGACGTGTGTACTTGAAGTTCCGTGCAGGAAAGTTTTGGAAAGAATCAATGAATTATACGTGCATTGGTCATCGATGCGATACATAAAGACAGGATTGGGTTATGTATAATTCCAGTTTCGTCAAAAATCTCCACAAATGATGGAAATGTTGATCTATATTTGCATTTTTATAGAATTTTAGCGTATTAAAAAATTGCATTTAATAAATAAACCCACAAGTTTGTTCTCAGCAATGTGTGATGAGCATTTAACATCATGCTGCGAGTAAAATGTTTAATGACCATATTTGTTATCTTCTCCAAACACTTGTGCAACTTAAAACAAAGTCTCCGAAAGATGACAAATGTTACTATTTAAAAAGAGAACTGGCATTTATTTACATTTGAAAAGTGGCCCTATTTATTTTTTCCAATAAATTAGCTTCTAGAAAACAGTGCTCATATGTAAACACTGCACTGGTACAAAGACAAAGATCCCCCAAATAGCTGTTAATAGACGACTGGGGCAAGTGGTCTTGGCGAACTCCTGTTAAGGATGACATGGGCACATGCGGTGCTTGTTTGGCCAGCACTACACAGAGCCCGCTTTTGTGCACTCTGTACACACATTTAAGGTCAAGTTGACCTAAGTGAGAGCCAGTGTGGATTCCGATTTCACTTGCCACGCAGCAGAGCTCAGGTCACATGGTTTGTAAGGCAGTGTGCATAACCGCCACACGCTACCGCTCCGCACGGGCAACATAGCCAGAGATCAGGCATTAATGCCGTTTGTTCTGAAGCGATCACATTAGTGCTCCACTTTAGGCCAATTAAACACAAAGTGATGACTTCCAGAAAGCCAGCATGATCCATGAACGCATCCGTGCACTCAACGTAGTCCGCGTGTGGGATCTGCAAGCAGCCCTGGGGCTCAGAGCCATTAAGAGCTGGGCTGCTACGGACAGTGGGAATTGGACAATGCGTTGCTGCATCTCGCGTGCAGATTTCTAGGAACGTATGTAATAGGATTTTTTAGCGGCACAGCAATGCACGCTGGCTTGACCTGCAACATTAATGAGTTGGTATACGTTATTGAGATTAGAGAAATACAAAATCCAATTTGTCAGATCATTTAACATGCGAATGCATTTTCAATGGCTTTGCTGGGTGATACTTGTTTTTTTAAATTAAGTTTCAAAACCCAGTAAATTAATTCTTCAAAATTTCCCATAAACCTCGCCTATCATCTCTGTATTCAAAAAATTCTTACGACTTTGGGGGAAGTCAATGAGACTGGCGCCCGCCATAGGAATGTGGGATTTCAAACATCGGCTCAGGATTGTAAAACGAAGAGGAGTACAACCCCAAGCGTATTTGAGTCAGGAGACACCGACTTTCTCTACTGCAAATAAATAACATCACTAAATACATTATTTTTGGGACAGGTCACAATGACATCTAGTGGTCGAACTCAACAATCAATTACAGTACGAATATTGGCAGAAAAAAACCTGCACATTGAATTCTCAATTAGTTTAGATGCTTATCGACTCATTTAAAATGCTCTTCCACAAACACCCCCCCCCCTCCCTGTTATGGATACAGTACGCGTAATTAAAATAATGCGTTTTGTTCAGATGAAATTAACAATGCTAAAGTACACGTTGTACGATAGATCCTTCCTTGCGCCGAACACTTTGGACATTTATTCTAGTGACAGCACTTCGAAGCACTTATGTACTCCGCTGAACAGCAGACTCACACGAAACCCCGTCTGACTATCAAGAGACAAATGCATCAAAGCCCCCTGATGACACTAAAACAGAAGGCTGTCGACACTCTCTATAGTTTTGAATGATTCAAGTGCAAACTAGTAGATCGTATGAGGCTGGTACGCTCGCACACACAACGAGAGGAAGGGGGTGGGGAGTGTTGGTGCAGTGGTAAGTGCCACTGCCATATCAACCCGGTGACCTGAGTTTGATTCCTGGCCATGGCTGGCATTAGCTGCGAGGTTTCTTTAAACCGGTTCTGCCCAACCCTCTGCACCCTTTGCCAACATACACAAACCAAAGTGGTGAAGTATGGTCAAACAACCAATGTAACGGACACTGCATGGAGGGTCTTTATCCAGCCGTTGATTGACAAGGGGCTATAACACTATGAGACCTCCTTTACCAGTGGCAAAATATAGTAGTAGGTTTTTACCCTTTAAACTGGTACAAAACTGACACCTTTATTCAAGGCATCATGTTTGCAATAACCACAACACAAGTAGTCAAAAAAGCAAACAAAAAGAAACAACTCTGATAATAATGATAATAATATGCTCTGTCCTTGAAGTTGATTGGTCCACACCCGAGACGGCTTTCTTTAGAGCCTAGTCCCCA